AGGATTAGATAGGATTAGATAGATAGATAGATAGATAGATAGATAGATAGATAGATAGATAGACAAATAGATAGATAGATAGATAGATAGGTAGATAGGTAGGTAGGTAGGTAGATAGATAGATACATAGATAGATAGATCGGTAGGTAGGTAGGTAATCAGAAAAAGCGAACAAAAGAGAGAGAAAGAGTGAGAGAGATCAATCACCTTTCGATCCATCAGTGGCTTCGCTCTTCCATCCCTGATTCACAACAACCAACCTCTCCTATAGGTTTCCTATTTTTGAAACTTCCGCCACAGCCTTGTGCGGTACTACTGGTAAATATCAACGAGGAAGGTTGAAACTCACCTGTGAATATCATCAAAAACAGAGGGAGTATTTGAGTATCTGGTTCAGTGCAAAGATGAGCAATGCCAATTCTTTGTCTGTTTGAGTAGTAAGTAGTAGAGGAAATCAATGGTTGTTTCATTGATTATGCTCAGTAGAAAATTATCCACCAGGACACAACCACCTGTCACAAAAGTGGGAGCCCATGAGCACCTGACTGGGACATGTATACAAGAATATTCAGCTTCATTTGTACAAAGAACCAGGGTTCAAAACTCATGTTGGATGATAGTCTTCATTTGACTTATGCTTTCCTGGTACTTTTCCTGCAAGCAACTGCCATTTTACTTGGCTCTTTGCTCCAAACGCAGCCCATCCGTGCAGGACTTGGCATATCGACCTGTGGAGCTGATGTTCGGACTCTTGTGCCCCGGCTCCGTTTCTGGCTGTGTCCTGAAATGGAGAAGAGAAACCCAACAACCAACACATAGGGCGAAACACAGGCGTACTTTGAGATTTGGTGTTCAAAAATTGACATTCAAAGCATGGCCAAACACATTAAACCAAAGTAAAACTCAAGTTGAGATTGTTTTGGCAGCTACTTTGGGATTTGTTTCTCCAACATCAACTTTCAAGCCACTTGGACCATTCGGCAGGTCCACCGATGGAGACCCTGTCTGGTCCATGCCACCGTTGGGGGCCCCGGGCAGCTGATTCCCGTTGGGTGACATGGGGTGACACTCACTGGTTGCATTGGGACAATTATTCCACTGTGAATACCATGGAATACCTATTTTGGCCAATGAACACGAGTAATGATGAGTAATGTATAGTAAATGGATGACGTAGGTTTTACCATGGCCCGTGTTCAACGCAAGTTTGGACATTTTTTTTCTCTTTTTTCTACAACTTAGTCATGGTGCGTCATGGAACTGTTGTGTCTTGTGGCTGTTGGAAGTCGCAGAATCTACAGATACCCTCAGGTGTCATCATTTCCGTGGCTGGGAAATCCCCGAACTAAATGGAGGTCTTCATGGGAAATAATCATAATCTATAAATGGGAGATTTTCCAGCAAACCATGTTTGATGACACCGGAGGGTATTCACTGCTTGACGTTTCTAATCTTCAGGAGTGAGTGAAGTTGAAGTGAAATGCCTGGGTTGTGAGCTGTGCTGGTTGTTTAGTATATCAATGGTAAAGCCCATTGGTACTCCTAGAGGTCCTAGTGCCACCAGGCTACCTTTTGAGGGCCTCCAAGGCATAGTAAGATCCTGTTTTTAAAGGGTTGGAACCCAGTTTGCTGAGCGTTTTTCTTTGTTGATGGGGATGATCTCAAAAGTTCCTGGTGGCAGATCGAAGAGTGCAGCTTCGCAGATGTTTCACGGTGAGCCTCTGAAAGCGGAGGTTCACCGCGCTTGCAACGTCTCGAAACTTCTTCAACAAAAATGAACGCTGAAGCAATGTTACTTCAGGAAGATGAGAAATGAGTCTTTTCCAAAGAAGCCAAACACCAGTGACTAGTGTTCCTCGTGTTTTATTTTTGTTTTTGGCCAGATCACTTCACTGATTCACCGCAGCTGCTGCTCCATCTCAGAGTCTCCATGTTGTGCCACAGCGGCGATGGGTTCGAGCCACCGTGCTTAGGGCCTGAACCCACGCCCTTGACGCACCGGACCGGAGAAATCGTCTTCCATCCGCATCCGCCAGGATTGAAGTTGCAGCTATGGTGCCTCGGCTCAAGAAACAACTCACAATGATTAGAGGATGCAAGAATCGTGGGAAATTTTGGGCAAAATATGGGAATAGCTATGAGAACAATCATGGGAATTGTTATTATAGGCATATAAAATTATGGGATTCATGTCGATTTTTATTGGGAAGCCAAAAGGGCTGGTACCAATGGCGATAGGCTTTATCATAATTTATCACTGTTTTAAGGGACTAATCCTACTGAAAATTTGTCAACCGAGTCTATTAATCCGAGGGTTGACATTCATGAGGTAAACCCAGTTACAAACCATCTACAGTTTATTGTTTTAGGTCTATTTGGGAGGATGACGTCAAATGACCCCCAAGTGATGACGTCAAACTGTGGACGTTTTTTAATGGTTTGTCCACATTTTGCAGACACCCTAGGGTTGACCTTCCTCTAATGCATCAACCAAGTTTAGAAATCTGGGGTCGATAGGGAAAGAAAACCAACAATAGACTACGGAATGTAGAATCAAGAAAGGGTACGGCAACATTCGGCAACCCAAAAGCCCAAAACTTGGGTAGCCATGGACCCACAAAAAGAGATGTACGATGAAGCCTATGAGACCAAGATTGGAATATTTTGAGCCATGGAAATCCATCAAAGACATTCAAAGACGTTCAAAGACAATGCTCGTGAGATATCCAGCTTTTGGGCTAAGGATCTCCGACCCCTTGACTTCTGCAGCTTTAGACGAAACTGGAGCAGCGAAAGCCGGGCTGCTTGACTCAGGTTTGCACAACCTTGCACCACCCTGGGAGTGAGACCATCCTGGATATTTTTCATGGGAAGACCCTAATACATCCTAATACCAAGGATGAATCAGGATGAATGGTAAAATTGGAGCAAAGGGGATGCAAAAAAACGGTCGAAATCCGCTGGTTTCCCATCCAAATTGGACCGACTCACAGGAGTAACTGGTTGTCGATATCTTGATATCCTCAAACCGATCATTCTACGTGGACATCGCTAAACATCTCAAGTTTAGTCATCCTGGCTGTCGAGGCTCGATATATATATATATATATTATATATATACGCATACAATCACAGAAAAAGATATGTATATATATATATATACATACTAAAATATATATATATATATATCATATCCAATATAGTCATCCTGGAGTCCTGGAGTAGCTCACTTTCTTCCCTATTCTTCCCTATCTTAATGCATTCCTTAGGTGACGTTTGGCATCCTGGCTCTGGGGTTCCCTGTTTCGGAGGTTTAGCAGGTTTCGATAGAATATGAAAGTTTCAACAAATCCTCAGGAAAATGGACATATGCATGAAACATCCCATATTCTATGTACTTCAGGATGATTGTATATATATATATACACTAATATATACAAACATAGATATCACCATATCATTCTAGATCCCTGTCTAAATGGGATCCCAACGTACTCCAACTGAGCCAAGGTACAAGCACCTGTCCTTGATTGTGCCTCCGAAGTTCATTGTCCAGAAGAGACCTGTGCCTCGGGGCTAAATGGCTTCAAACGCCATGTCGGATAGAACATCGGAGGTGATTTTGAGGAGGGAAGATCCTGGAAAAAATTCCAAAAACTGCATCACTTGCTATTACTTGTAAAATGGAAAGAGGCTTTGATGGTCATGTGGTTATCCCTGTTTCTACCCCCATAGTACTTTGCTTCCCGCAAAACCACCAGGTAGTGGAGACATCCTCATGAATGGCTACAGTCTTGTTATGTTACGATTTGATGAGTATATTTACATACAGTATATGTATAGGAACTGTATAGATTGCATCTGTTTACACATGTTCATAAATATTCATGAACTATGTTATTTTGCTTACAACCATATCACACACACATACATAGTATATATTTGTGTATATATATATTATCATAGAAACATATATATATATAACGTATGTATTAACAAAACAATATGTCCTATCAGAAATCACAATTCGTATGATGTAATTAGATCTCACTGTACATAGATGTTCATACTACAGTATCAAATGTGACTTACAATTCGTATCTTCCCAGATTGGAAGGGAAAATCTGCAACCCCCCATCAAAGATCTGGTCAAAACCCATGGTTTCCGGTCAAGATTTTCCCTGGCCCAGGATTGATCCACTTCTCCTCATAGCCCAAAGGTTTGCAGCCCCTAGAGCCCGTGGCGATATTTTCGTTGGACTGCAAGGCGGTGTTGTCACTGTGACCTGGCAGTTGGGTAACGGTGTCGGTTACAGAAGCAAGCCTACCCTAGTATTTTCATGTATTTTCACATTCTTATAGCTGGGGTGAACTAAACCACTTACTGTACGATTCCTGGGGTAAGCAGTTAGGAGACATGTTTATTGTGATCACAACTATACTTGGATGGGATTATACACCAATTTGTAACTAGGTGGTGCCACTGTGCAGGACCCAAATGGAGCCACATTTGATAGGAAAACAACATAGTACAAAGATGTACCAAGTACTTAGTACTTGAAATAACATTTTCTATCCGTTCCTTTAAACAAATACATCCGCTACTTTGCGTTTTGAGGCTTCTTTCGGGAAGCCTCAAGATCCCTGTGACTCCATTGCCAGCCTACCCTGGAGCGATGGTGAGAAGCAGTACAATCTGTGGATCCACAACGTCATCTGCAAGCACCATATCGAGGGAAAATGCCGAAGGAGCCGATCCAAAAATCGAGTTCCATTTTTCGGTCCATTTTCAACATTGTTCTTATAAGTCTTACAGTGGTTTCCCATTGGCCATTAAAATATATTAAAATGTCCCTTTCTAAATTCCAAGCCTCATCGACTCATCATCTTGGAGGACGCCGTGTAAGTGGGAGCACCCTCCCCTTCCAGACATCACGAGGGCATTGACCCAGCTGATGGACAGCGTGCGCGACGTCACCTCTGGAGCCATGGAGCTCCTGCGACCGGTGGCGATACAGCCCTGGGATGCGGAGCTGCCCAGACTCAGGTGCCCAGCCGATCTGAAGTGAGGAAGGTTTGTTTTTGATGGCTTAGTATAGAAATGGTCAGTAAATACTTAGTAATTGCTTAGTAGATGGTTTGTAAATCTTGTTATATGAGTTAAATTGTTGACACATGATGTGTATTGCATGCGTATACTCATACCTTCAAAATTGTGAGGCAATGGGGTATCCAACTGGAGTTAGGACCTGACCTATATAGGATTTAGGCAATTTAGGCTCAGTAGGTGGGTTAGCAACCCAATAGGATCATTGGCAGATGGATGGGCTATGATGGGCTAAAGCTCCAAACCATTGGATCTTGAAAAGGGAATCGCCAGCACGTGGGATTTCGCATTTTATCATTGATCTATACACATTTGGTGAGATGTAGAAGCAGTCAATTGGGAGATCCCTCAAAATTGGTGGATTCTTGGAGATCAGCCTATGAAGGGATGATAACCGCAGAAGATATCTGCATAGTTTGGTGGATGGACACCTAGCTGCATGTGACTCGCACATGGTACATCTCATCTCCCTGCCTCGGTGCAAATTGACCAGGATTTCGTCAGATCGATGGCCGAACATCGATGAGAGCTGCTAGCTCTAGCAGCTCTCCTGCCTAGTACCCGCGCATATCTTTTACAGCAGCACCTCAAACCGAAGAGATTTCTCCCTCTCTCTATGTGTATAAAACGCGCTCCCATTGTACAGCTTGAGCTTTTTGATGACACGTGTGTCCAGCTCAAACCTCTAGTTGGTGACGGCTGGTGGCTTGAAATCAAAGCTGGTTTTCTTTGGATGAGAATCCTAATCACCTCACTTTCATCTTTGGAATGTGCTGAAACTGCCAACCAGCCAGTGCTGCACTCGTGCCTGCGGTGAGTCGCCGCCTGCCTGCGTAAAGATCAACAGACTGATGATGCACCTGTCATCGTCCCCAGATGTTCCCAGAACGCATGAGAAAAAGCGCGGGGCAACGCACTGCCAACGGAACATTGCCTCCAGACCCAACAGAACTTTTGAAGGCAATGCTTCATAAATGTATATAAATGGTGATGGGAGGCAGCAATGGGTCCGTGCTTTGGAGATGGAATGGAGAAGGGTGTGGTGGACATTCCCTTCTAACAGAGGTTTCTCCATTTTGAGTGGCTGATGATAATTGCACACTCTGAAAGAAAATAGTTTCAGTGCACATGGGCTATCTTGGGGTACCGAATTTACAGGCACCCAAGGTTTTTGGAGTCGGACAGATGATATATGCCAAATCCATTGCAAGTGGTGCATTTATCTGGATAGCATTGGATAGCCATAGAATTCATTTCTGGTGCTTGTCCCCGCAAGTGGCTCAGCGGGTCATTTCTTCCACCGCTGCGCCCAAGCTTTGGCCATGGAAGCAGAGCGGTGGAGTGGATGGTGGAGCTGTAGAGCTCACAGAAGCAACGCCCTTTTGGACCCAGACCCAGATCCATTCTCTCTGGATCCATTCTCTCTACCGTGGCCCGTCCAATTCAGCAAGGCAAGCGTCAACAGCCTGGGGTTGAAAGATGTTGAAAGATGTTGAAAGGATGGTCATGAGATGTCATGCTTGAGTTTTTGGACTTTCCAAACGGCGTCCGATGTCATCTGATGTCATCTGGAGGTTTTCAGTAGGATGACCATCAACCCAGGCACTTGGATCAATGCCGGACACCAAAGAGGTCGCTTGCCAAGAACATCATGTTTTTCTGCCAATGTCGAATTGAAAATCATGCAAACTCACTCTGGATGTTTTTTGAGAAACTCCAGCACTTAGCATGGTTAAAATTGGTGTGGATTGTTGCTACTTTGCTCAAGTCGGATGGGGAAGAACCATGAAGAACCCCCCAATCCCATTTTGTGGAGCCAAGGACACACAGAACAAGGCCTTGATGCGTTGGGGTGATGTTTTTTTTTGCCAAATGTCGACACCTAACATGACGTACCCTCAACGAGATTTCCATCAGTCCCAAAGCTGGTGAGCCAAGGACACACGAACATACACCGTCAGTGTGTGTACCGCCAGAGTTGCTTGTCAAAAAATATGTCAAAGGGTTGGGGCAAATGTCGTCTACCGATGTCGGATTGAGCATCAATCTGCGAGCAAGTATGGGTTAAGGGTGAGGATCATGTGTCATGTGTCCATGCCTCGTTATGTTTCTCATCCGACTTGACACATGGGAGTTTCCTAAAATAGGGGGTACCCCGAAAGCATCCCTTTTATTCTCGGATTTTCCATTATAAACCATCAAACTATTGGGGTACCTCCGTTGATGGACACCTCCATATTGTATACCATCCAACGGCGGAGAAATACCAACATATACCAACCACAACAAACAGCTGCACAGCAGGCACAAGACGGACTTCACCGCGATCCCGACGGCTTGTCCCTGGGAAGAGTGCAGCCTGGAATTTGCGATTCCCGACCAGGAAGATTTGCTGAGGAAATTGCTGGGTGATACGGTGCCAGATATTGTCACCAGCAGCTGCAGCAGCACGGCGATTCCTTCCATGGAAGCTGCGGTGGACGGCACTGTGGATTCCTCGCATGCGCCAACGAAGGACGAGGAGTGGGAGATGTTTAGGTCCGGTGAATGATGATATTTGCCATTGATATGCGCACAGCTGTACAGCTATACCTTGCATACAACCACATACAGCTGAATTTTGTCTGATTACCTGCGGAATCACGAACCTTCTTCAAATACATCAACTCATTTACCACCAACTTACTCACAGACAGCCCCCAAAAACACGTACTCACAGACATTCAAAGATTACAACATATTCAGACTATAGGTATACACAGACACACATGTAGGACTCGTTCCCATTCACATACAGACACAGACGAACTGAAGCACCTGTGCATATTGCTTGTATAGTCTTGTAGACAAGGTGTAATAAGGTCCTGAACTTGCATTTTCAAGACGCACCACACATGACACAGAAAGTGGCAATCAGATTCAATGTCCAAGGGGGCCCTGCTGTGCCTGGCTGTCAATCTGTAGCACTTCTAAGCGCCAATATCCAGCGAGAAACAACTCCTGTACATCTACCTTCCTTTGTGCCAAGTTTTGGACATGAATGCTTCCCTACTCTTGTTGTTTCATGTATATATATGTATATATATATATACACAAACAAATACACAATATAAATATACATGTTACATGTTGTATATTTTTTTTACACACAGGATGACAAGTACCAACAGGCCTGGGAAAACATCAATGCGCACACGTGCTCATTGTGGCCTCTCAGTCTCTTGTTGCATGAGAATGTCCAGGCACTTTCCTGTCGATGCCAGGAGTTGTCAACAGCAAATGAGTGGTGCGGCAAATTCCAATAACAGCCATGGTACAAAATCCAATGTTCAGGCGCTCAATATGTACATAGGATTACATAGCACACAGTCAAGCGGCACCTTACTGAAATGATCTGAAACGATTTGTACATTGTTTCACTATGTTCCACTTGTATGGGTAAAAATTCTTTAAATGTCTCCAACTTCAAAGTATGGACCAAGTTTTGGATTCAGGGAAGGTGCTGGGTCGGCTCTCGACAATGTGACATCATTTCACGTCAAAAAGTGCAGGCTGCTAGATTTGCGTTTCAAGTTCAGTATGGCATGACTGCCAACTTTGGAAGCGTTTCTTTCATTCAACTTCCAGATTTCCTAGAAACTTGATGTCGTGACTGTTCAAATCACATAAATTCACATAATGTAGGGTCCGGGTGCCATCGGTGGCAAGAGAATTAACGAGATTGGTCAAACCTATTGGACCGCATACGGGAGGATGAACCATGTTTGTATACCGGCGATTTTTTGGGCTACATCAGGGGTACGAGGGTCTTGACCCATCACGAATTTATTGAGATATTTGGTGAATCCCCCATACTTTTGCGGATGAAATCTCTGTTTGATGCTATTGATATCTATTGGATCCACAATTTTCCCAAGATTTTTGCTGATGAAATCCACATTTTATGGTAGGAACATCCACCATGTTTTGGCTCGAGACGGTTCGCAGATGACCGAGTGACTGGGGAGTGCCGTGGTGCTGCATTGGGGCTTCGCGGTCGGAGCCTAAACCTTGGGATGGGTAGTTTAATACTTTAATCATTCGCCATGATTATATATAACTATATAACTATATAATATACATAAATGTGCGTGCTGTGTTTGATGCGGCACCCTGTGACTGAAGATATCCAATCGTAGTTTTTTTCTGTGAGTTTTTGTGTTCAGTTTCCTGGCAATTATTATGCACTTGCTGGATAGCCACTTGTTGGCTGCTTTCATCAACGGCAGCGAAGCGGGTCTTTCTTGAGCTTCCGCGGGAGGCTGTACAGTATGACCATGTCACAGACAGCAGGGAAACCAAGTACTTCCAGGGAGATGCGGTTTCAGTGCACCAACTGGCAATTGCAACATAGTTACATGATGGAGAAACACGGAACCTCAATTTTCTATCCATGAAATTCACAGACCTTTTTCTGGATCAAAACAGATCCCAAGTTTTGCACCTCGAATTCGCTTGACATCATTCGCCAAGGCAGGCAGCAGCTTTGCTCCAGGGACTACGGGCTTTGGAAGCATTGCATCTGCTGGCACCACCGGGATGCCGAAACGTAAGGTGCCGGGCCTTTCGGGCCTTTCCGGGCTGTGATGATATCGTGCGTTTGGATCGATTTTGGAGTGCTGGGCTACTGAGCTTTGGGAAAGACCAAACAAGTTGCTTGAACATGGTTCTGGTATGTTTTGGTCGTTGGCTGGTAGCAACCCATCCACTCTTTTCTGCAGGCATCCAATCCATTGAAAATCATTGAAATATTTCTTTCCCTCAAGTCAAACCAATCCATTTCAGGGATGTTCCTAATTTTCATTTCAGGGAAACCACTGATCCTTCACCGATTTTTTCCCCTCAAAAACAATGGTTTCCCAATGAATGTAACAAAAGAATCTTTCCTCAGCCAAGCCCCAACCCTGCGCCAGCAAGCGAGCGTGGTGGAGATGCTAGAGTGAGCCCAGCGGGTTCAGATCTCCGCTATGGGAAGAAGATATCCAAATAGAATTGGGGATAGAAGCAACACTTGTAGATGTACCACGGAACAATGTGTATGCACACACACAGTTACATAAATATATATATTTATATTATACACACATGTGATTTGGTGCTTTCATTTTGTTTCTGACTTCACATCCTTGTTTGAGATGATCAAACTCCAGTAGACTGAACGTCTTGGGATGGCCGTGTTTAACACAAAAGCTCGTTGTGTGTTCCCCAACAACAGTGGAGTGGAATTTAAACTGAGCAGGTCCTCAGGCATAGCCTCAACTCTGAAGGGCCGGGTTGAGTCACTGACCATCAGGCAGCAAGACCAAAAACTAGAACCAATTTGCATCATTTATATGTAATCGGTCTGAACCACGGTGGGGGAATGGCATGGAATGGCTGAAACCGTTGCGTCTACCACAGGTACGTCAAAAGCTTGAACATCGACCCGATCAGAGAAGCGGACATGCTGTGGATTGCAGAAGAAGAACTCCTGGCAAACATTTCTGCCATGTGATCCAGCTGTAACAGCCGTTTTAGGCGTAATTTTAGGCGTAATCTCAAATGGAGGACCCGATTTCCCTTTGTTATTCACTTTCCAATCTTTCCATTTCCATCCAAAAATGGCATCATTGATTGGACAATCTGAAGTGGTTGAATGGTGATCCACCATGATTTTTCGGTACCTTTTTTTTCTATGGCAAGCCGCCAGGCTTTCAATGCACCCTTGCCGCCCGGGTGGACGGAGCACCAGGTGCGGAAATCAGAAGCTGGGATTGGATGACCGTTTTATTGGTGATCTATAGCTATAGCGCTATAGCGATAGTGTTTATGGCTATTTATTGGTATTTATCCATGGTTTATATGGTTTAAATCACTAACAGTGGTATCTATCAAAAATTGATCTATAGCCATAGCCTCCTAGGCTTTTGATGCTATCACTCTTGGTGTGAACTTTCCTGCTGAATCATCGTCGTTGCTTTGATAGGGTCGGACAATCAGGTTTGGTGGATTCTGTAATTTTTTTTGTTCCAGAATGTGCTAAACCCAGTGATAAACCATCGCACTTTGACCAGAAATGGGTATGAATCATCCATCAAAAAATCAGGTGGGGTATTACCATTACAGTAGTTATTATGATTATCAATCTATATCAATATCTATCTACATATTAACCTTATTAAGCTATATCAACCTATGCTTTCCTGGTGATTTCTTAGCAGCTCCAGGATGAGCAGTGTCGAGTCTACTTCCACAACAGCTCAACGGGTGAGTCCACCTGGAAGCAGCCTGGATGCACCGATCCGAAACCGACCGACCTGGCGGCAGAGAAGCGTCTTGGAAATGGCTGGGAAATATCTGTACATATATATATATGGTATTATATGGTATTATATTATATATGTATTATTATCATTATTATTATTATGATTATTATTATCATTATTATTCATATTATTATATATGTATTATAATATATATGAACTACCCTATAAATGTAGGTTTTGATGTGTGTATTTCTTTTCAACAGTGCGGTTTTTGGCGAGCTATTGTTGGGTTGAGATTGATTGAAGTTATTTGGAGGAAGCTTTGATCACACTGCGGATGATGGGGTGCCTGCAAGATCCTGCAAGGGCGTGGATGATTCGGCACAGAGATTCTGATGTTGGCAGGTGGAATGAATATGTATTATGTTACCCTATATATGTATTATAATTATAATATATATGAACTACCCTATATGATGGTCAAACCTATGACATCCCTGTGAAATGGTTGACCAAGGCATCCCATGGACGATTTGTTCCGGGAAATCGTAGACTACCAACGACGAGTTGGGAAGCTCAGGGATGGTCTTCCCATGGCATCCATGGCAGCGGATGGCGTGTCCCGGCTGTCTCCAGGTTGTCGAAGTTGGAGGCTTTTGGCAGATCGAAGATGAGATCGCCGAACAGGAGGAGTCACGTAGTCACTGTAGCAGAATATGGGGAGGTTCAAATACTCATGTGGATACATATTGATAGATACATATATAATGCATTCTAATAGAATATACAAGAATATCTACATATCGTATTATATATATAATATATACATATACACACATATATTATGTATTATGTATATGTATGTCTTGGCCAAATATACCCGGATGTCGTGACAACCATTGACGGCCACTGTGGCCTGGAACCAGGAGAACATCCGAAAAGATCTGGCAGATTGGATGGAACTCTTTTCCGAGGAGCTGAGACCGAAGCTGGTGAGACCGCTGGTGAGACCGAAGACGGTGGAGGATCTGTTTACCAACTGTTTACCAACATCACTTAAAACAAAAGATGTGTTCTCAGTTGGTGGCTTTTCGACTTCTGACATTTGATTATTGATGTTATTGCCTTGACTTTTTGTAGATTTCACATCAAGAAAATCTTCCCGATTCAAAATCCGTTGGGTTGGACGGGGCCAGCGCTTTCCTGCAGCACTTTTTGGTCACTAGGACGGCGAGAAGTTCTTCTACAACAAGCACACCGAAGAAAGCAGGTGTGGAGTCAAACATGCGGTGCTGGGGTTGGGGTAGATGTGCTATGAAATGTGGAATATAGATGGACATAGACACACACACACACACGAACTAAGTACATGCCCTCATTATAATAACATATTTACAATATATGCAGAGATAGAGACACCAACAATCAGGTCCAAGGTATGGAACTTCATCTCACTTTGCATGAATGTCCCGCTACAGACATCTCACTAATTCCGACTGACTGCCTTGAAGTGCCCTCCGACTAGACCAAAAGAGTTTAAACTTATATAGAGACATATAGAGAATATTTGACCATGCTTATACCCATGAAAAGGTATGAACATTCACTTGTCTCATTTTATGGCTCTACGAAAGATGGTATCCCATTAATTAGAGAGTTGTGCCCTTTCGAAGACAAAATGTTGCCGTGCCAGGTTTGACGATCCCCGCATGGCTGTCTACCACGTACTCTATGCAAGGAGAAATCTCGGTCCTGCTGTAGACCTGTATAGGGTCCCTAGATGGAAAGGGGCAACCCTTCGAAGTTGGGCACGCTGAGACATCATGGATCTTCTCACAAATCAAATAGAGACCCTTCGAAGTACTATAGGAAAGTAGTCCATCAATTTGGCATCCAGGAAACGTTGGTAGTATGCTTTCAAGATGTGATTCTTGAACTTTGGGAATCTCCAACCGAATAGTTCCCGGTCACTGAAGCTCTCAAAACGTCATCCAAAACCGAAGTGCTGGCGAACCAAGCCTTTCAATTTAAATCAGATATGCTAAGTTTGAATATATATATATATATGGTAATCATAAAATAACTCTAATGTCAGAAACCCAAGAGTAAACCTACCATGATGGAGCTGTTTTTTGATGCCACCGGGCGCTCCATTCGAGACAGGATCAAGATGGTGGCGCGAATGAAGGAGCGCTTTCCCATCTTAGCCAGGCAACCTCGACCTGAGGTGCCTCAGCCATCGACTGGGTGGGGGTTGGGAAAGTTTCTGTTATTTAAGAGTGTAGATTCCTTGGTGCGGTGCACTATATATACATATGACATATACAATCATATACACATATGATCACATATGTATGCATTTTTTTGTTAAAAAGAAGCGCTTGAACCGCCTCTGATTTTTCCAGAGTACCCTTGTCAAAATATTTAAGGTGAGCACCCAGGATCAAGAGACAAGGGCACAATGGAGTTCAAAAAACACTTCTTAAACCAAGCCCCTTGGTGCATTGAGTACCCATTACCTCCGACTTAAAAAACCGTCTAAGGAGCCTACAGAGGCTGAGAAGGAACTCAGAAGGCGCTACACCGGGGGCGACGCTGAAGAGCCCTGAAATGCGAAAGGGGCCCCGACTTTGTGGGATGAACATCTGAACTCAATGGTACAAAGGAGATATGTTTGATTAAGATGCACACAGACTACCAGCCTTGTGGTTGGGTGCCAGGGACAGTTTTAAACCAATGCTGCGAGAGACAATTTGAGAGATCTTGCGAGTTCAAAGCGTGCGCAGGAGGAGAGAAGAAGACAGAGAGCACTATATGCCGCTTGACAGCCTCTCCTCGAGGAAATCCTGCTCTGCTAAAGTGACAAGAGAGAACCGAGGCAACCAAGGTCCATGCCAAGCATTGCCAAACTATGAATTATATAATTACTCAATGCTTTTGGTCATGGTCCCTACTTTATCTACTTTTGATTGGGCACATCATCACCACATCAGTATTTTTTTGGTTCACTTTACTGGGTGACCCACATGCGGAAGCACAAAAAATCTCATGCCTCTTCCAGAGTCACATAGAGTCACGTTCCTGGATGGTGACCGAGGTCTTCCCTCCTGAAGATTCACACCTGGGGGCGAGTGGATGCCCTCAGTTCAGCTGCGGGATTGACGAAATGGGGTATGGGTCAATACCTATAGATACATGACTATAGTGGGTTATTCACATCCATAAATCCCAGCTATGACTTGGGGTTCACCAGGGGGATAGGGTTTTGACATGTTTTGACCCATCCCCATGGAACGATATGGTTCTGGATCAGCTATACACACCATTTTTAGGGGGAGGAACAGATGAACATCCAGCGAAATCCGCCTGGACAGCAGGTTGAAGGGCAATGCACCTCGGATGATTCAAGCCCTCGGTTTTCCATTCAAATTGCCATTTTGAGGGTATGGTATATCCCATTTCTGATATTTCTGGGCAAACTCATATTGATGCCGTTGTTGTGCGCATTTATGCTTGATAGTCATAAGACCCCACGAGCCTCAGATTTGACCGGCCATTCTAAGCATGCGACCCAATTTTTGGGGCTAGTCTCCACATTTTGAGTTGCTCAAATCATGTTAAACCCCTGTATGAATCTGTATGCTATATATACATATTATACATATGTATATGTTCTTGGGTTTTATCGCCAGTTCATTGCTTGAACATTTGTCCCATGGGTGAGACTCGGTGAGACCTCAGAGAATCCATGCACGAATCAACAGGTCCTTCTGGCGAAGAAGAAGCTCCAGAGAGCTCGTGAGAAGGACGGTTCCCACGGTCCCATGGTGAGATGGCAGTAGAAAAAAAAAACAACCTGCGGGAGGGATATCCCAGCAGATATTCTTGGGTTGTATTGGGTTCAAGACTTACTCATGACTGGAATGGCAAGTTTCAGGAGATTTCAAGTTGAGTGGAAAGCAATTGATCTTGATGATCTCTGGTCATCCGAACAATCTGATCACATGCAGGCGATAGTTCAAAAGGGGCCACAGCCTCTCAGAGGAATGCTCAGGCGCTCCGCGCGCTTGTAGAAGAAACATTCCAGGTACCATGTATATAGTTCCATCATAGGGTGCCCAATAGACATGAGAATTGGATGTTTCATGCTGTGAAACACATCCAAAACTGAAACTTCCTTCCTGTGGCAAGATTGTGACTGCCGAGATCTTCATCCGTGCCAGGAATTTGGAATCCCATCCTGATGTCCTAGAATTGGTCAGGGGACTCATGAGTATTTTTAAGGCCCTAATGACTCACTTGGTCATCTTTTGAAGAGTGGATTTTGACCCATATGGTCATCAAAATCCACCCAGATGGAGGTTTCCAAAAATGGTGGATGCCCAAGTCACCATGGCTGTTTCAATACTTTCAGTCACGGTCATCCATGCCTTGTAGCCACGGCCAGGTTACGGCTGGAGCGGGTGGGCACCACTGGCGCCCGACAGCTCGTGCTGTCCCAGGCAGATCTCATGAGAATCACCCTGGTTTGTGTTTTTTTGGGGTAGCCTATATTCATTATTCAGACAAACCCAACTGGGGTTGTACTAAGACAAAGCCAACTGGGGTTATACTCTGTTATACTAACTGTTTGTTTGGGGGGTTATGTAGCAGCACTAACCGATTTGGGGGTACAGCTTAGTTGAACTGGGCCAAGATTGAGGCTTCCGAGCCCAATAAATTGTTCATTTCCGGCGTTGCTGGTACTGTACCAATTTCTGGACTCTGCACTTCTGGGATGCTGGATGGATAACAACACAAGGGTTTGTCAAAACACAGGGTACCCCCCAGTTTGGTGGTTTGTCATCGTTTGTCATCGTTCTCCGCATGAAATAAACCATAAATTGGGGTTTAGCTCATGTCTGCACAAACCCATGAAGACGAGCAACCAGTGCCGCTGCGCCCAGACGACGCCTGCCAAACGGCATCGGGCGGCTGTAAAGATACAGGACTGGGCATAGACACTTTGTGCATCTTTGTGCATCTTTGTGCTGCCTTTCCAAATAAGTTTCTTGTTATTTGAAGCTGTTGGAATGTTGGAATCACATCCAAATAGTGCTACCTTTTCATTTCTTGTTTCGTTTGTTTCGTGGATTTTTTTTTGTCGGTGTCGCCGATGCGTGGCATTTCCACATTCTATGCCTTTGCCAGAAGCGGATGCGTGGCATCCTGACGCGGAAGAGGTTTCAGCGCAGGGCTCAGCGCAGCTGGCGCAGCTGGCACGACCATCCATGGCTGTGATGGCTTAATCCAGAAATGGGGATGAAGTAACCATGGGGATATTTAATGGGGATACAATGATATAATGTGGTAGGGATGAAGTCTAATTAGAGTATGATTTTATGGTTTGTCCCAATATCTGGGACAAACGGCTAGATTTTGGGGCAGCCCATTTTCAGATACCCATTTGGATCTTCGGACAAATGTCACAAAATTGGTGAAACGGTGGATATTTGAGGGGTACACAAGTGGGCTATTGATCAAAATCCAGAATACAAAGTACAATAAATGCATGTTCACCACCCAAAAAAACCCAAATATGGCACTGTAGTCTTTGAATGTCATCGAATTTTGGACACTCCCCCAACAACGCCCTGCATCTCTGCAAGGCCTTTAGTGCGGCATCGCTGCTTCCTGAGCAAGGCCCCTTGTCGCTGCTCACTATGAGCAGCCTGCTCGTGCTAGAAGACACTTTCATGTGGCACACCCAACAGTTCACGATCCTACCAACTCTTTGGAGGTCATTTTGAATCATCCCAAATAGAGGTGAACCCAATTCAATTAAATAAGCCCGAATTAGGGATGGTTTACTATTGGGTGTACCTCATCATGTTTCTTGACAGGTTCAGTTGCGGCCCCTCCGAAGTTGATCCTAGAAGCATTTTCCAGAATGTTTCGAAGTTGCATCCCCGAAATGGGAGGATCAGATGAGGATATAAATATGATATAATAATGATAATAAATAATATCAAATTAATCAACTGCTATTTTCCAAACAATCTGTGTATCCCAACATATTTAGGCAGGTGTTAGATAATCACCTGCTGAGTTCTAAGGGATCATCCCTCTTCACTTCGCGTAGGAGATGACCAAAATCCAATCGATGGCCCGAGTATGGCTAGCAAGGCGGGCTGTCATTGGATGACCGGCGCGCTGCTCCGGTGGAAGATACAAAAAAACACACACCGAAAAAAATCATCGTGGAACACCATATTTTTGATTGCCTTTGAAGGTTAACAGCCTTTCTTGGGGTCCACCATACTTTTGAATGTGCACAGTGGCGATGGTGGCTGCAAAGGATAATACTTGTCTGTCAGCCATTTTGACGTTCACAAGGACTTGGATGGCTGAACATGGCTTTGGATATCTTTTGATGCACTCTGGAACGTCACCAATTTTAATTGAACACGTGGTAATACGCTTCATTTTTCCTGAACACGTGGATTTTGACATTTTAGCATTATTTTAGCTAGATCTTCTGGGTCTGAATCGGGGTTTCTGCTGTTTCCAAATACCTTTCTCACCAGAAGCTGCGAGGAATGGTTTGAGATTGGCATCCCTGATCCCAGAACTTGGATTCCTCTTTGATTTCACCTGAAGTGAAACGTCGGGTATGTTTGTCCACATTTGAGGGGTATCCTGGGTATCCTGGGTATCCTGTACCCCTCAAATGGCAAGTTTTTTTGTCGAGGAACCGGGTAATGGGGTCCCATTTGGAGACAAACCCAGGTATGTTTTGCAGCGCAGTGGTGATAAGTCCAAGTGAAACCTATTCCTGCCCAGGCGCAAAGTAGCTCGGAAGAAGCAGCAGAAGCTGCACGTAGCAGCGACAAAAGTCCAGAGGACAAGGGTTGTTGTTTGAACCGTCGCCAGTAGACACACTTGTCGGGTTTATCTGCATTCACACTCCCTGTCTCTTCTGTCTTAGCTGGGGTGGAAAAAAAGTGGTCCACGTTCTCAAAGAGAAGTTCGTCAAACACCCCATGACACTCCTGCTACAATGTCTGGATTTGTTCGGACACAAAAAAATCAGGGCTCCAAAGGGTCTTGTTAGCCAAATGTTTGGGTTTTGTATGGTTTCGTCATGTCTATGGTTTTGTAGACTTTTCGGTTTTTTATTGACCAATAAACTCATATACTGTAAGAACCACTATAAACACCATGTATAATACATTGAGGGCAATCAACCCCATAGGTTTTACCATGGCCTCAACTTTGCAGCTCAGCTCAGTCGGTCGCGGTCGAACTTTACCATCGCCAGGACTTGGCGTGGCTACAAGGATCGGCAGTACGTCACGGCGCTGCGGATTGACAAGGTGCCGTTGCTGAGCGCTGCTACTGTAGGTCTGGCCAAATGAGGTGAAGGTAGGTGAAGGTGATCTCTAAAAGAATAGCCATGAATAGCCCAAAATCCACTGGTTACTTGGTGAATTCATGTGAGTTCATGAATTCGTTCCAGGTTTTTCTCGAAGTGTTTAATGGCTATTTGAAATGAGTATACTGAGTATACCGCAGTTTTTTCGACACAAATGGGTTGATCCACTATGGTTGCGATTCCTGGGAGCCAATGAGAATTTTTGAGGATGATCTCCTGGCACCTTTTTTTTTTCAAGGGTCTACGATGGCTTTTCGAAAAACATACTTGGATGGTACCCAAATAGCAAAACTAGAACTGTAAAATCAGATCCTATACATATGATTTTATAAACTTGTTTTGTTATTGGGTTTGCCATGGTGGTCAAACATGATTGCCCCACCTGTTCTGTGGTGTGCAAGTGTGGATTTTGAGTCTTCATAGTTTGTGCAACTTCTGTGAATCAAGCTCTTGGCAGGCTCGCTACGATCGATTGATGCGCAGCGCCATCGTCATCCAGAGCGGAGGTCGGAAGATGCCAATGATGGTTTGAACATGGTGTTCCCTATTCAGGTCTCCAGGGTTGTAAGACTCGAAGTAGGGGACTGTGGTTTGGAACCCAAGTGCAAGCTTGTTCATGCTGTTCCCCCTTTTCTGAGGGCTATATCCCCTAGGCCCCACTGTTGGGAGGTAAGGTTCTCTAACCCGCAGACTTGAGCTATTTTTGAGGAACAACCCATTATTGGAAAACCATGTCGCATTTTTAGATACTATATAGACAACGATAAATGTTGCTTTAACTACCATTCTTGTTGATTCTTAGTCTCTATTTCTTTTCTTGATTCTGAGTTCCTGTTTTTGTTGCACACAAATTTGCAGTAAACCATCTGCCATTGGAAGAAACCATCCTTTTTGGGTAATCAGGTCATTCATTCCCCCCCTTAACCAAACTAAAAGCCGTGGTCTAGTACTGGATCTATTTATTTTGTGAGCCCATTTGAGGGCGGATATTTAATATTAAGGGGAAGCATTCTTCAATGTCTTCAACTCCCAATACAATTGATGGTTAAATCATGTTAAGTCCCCACAATGGTTGGTGTACAATTATATATAAAAATCCACCTGTGATGAAAATCCACCCAGATCTTCACATGTCCAGTCCGAATGGCCTTGGCCCGGCGGGAGCACGACCGGCGGAAGCTGATTCGCTGGGCCGGTGGGGCGTCCACCATCCAGCGGCAGGCGGCTATGGATTTGGGGCCCAAAAAATGGGCTTTGAAACCAGTGAACTCAGGGATTAAAAGCCAGCATGGGGGATAAAATTGTCAATGTCTTTTTGTTAGCAAGGAGAAACACGATATATATATATATATATGTATATATATATATAAACGATGACCAAAAGATAAGAACTGGTTAAACATGAGAATGAAGCAAAAAGATCGAACTTGGGGATTTTCACCAGCATCAGGATAGCTGGGGATAAACTGTTCACATACTGTCAAAAATGAACGCAACATCAACATAGGGGATCATGGCAGATTTGACCCGCCGCAGTGGGCGACAACATTTGTTGGTCTTCGTTCCAGATTCTCACGCTTCCCAGTGTCAGGTTCGTATCTTCCTGCAGCGCAAAGAGCTACATGAGCTCGCGCTGAAGGATCAGCCAGTGCAGGCCCTGCAGTCTGTTGGGAGAGTTTGAGAGCTGGCTGCTGAAAACAAGAAACTGAAGTCAAGCAGAAGCGTTCGCAAACTTTCCACAAATTGTTGCTAGAAGAATGGGACCCCATTGCAGCACGAACCAGCATTCCAACCTGTTAGACAGTTTTAAACTGACAGATCCCCAAACAACTCCCTTCCTCCATCATATATTTTCCCGAATTTCTCCTTCCATTTCTTCCTTGAACATGTTCAACATGTTCATGTTTCATCATATTCCCCCGGGGTTTCCCACATTACAATATTAGGATCTGTCAAAAAATGGGCTATAGATCCACTTGTGGCCGAAGGGAACATGAATTTTTACCTCATGATTCACCAGTCGATTTAGGGCTAGCGACTTGCACCCCAGTCATCACAATAAATAGATGATATAGGTGCTATATATAAAGCATTCTCAGTCATGGGTGGTTTATTTATGGCATTGTGAATTTCAACCACCAATATATATTTGGTGAATATCCACCATATATATATATATATTTATTTATTTATTTATTTATTTATGGTATATCCACCCACTAGTGCCCTAATTTTTGGAGCACAGGCCATGTTCACCTTGAACACCAACGGCATGCACCGCACTGTGATGCCATGGACCTGGCGAGTCTTTGTGGCACCCTGGGCAGGTCTGAAAAAAAGGGGTGACAACTGGGGGGAACGCCTTGCCATCTGAAAGCTGGATCATATGGTAATTTTCATGGGGAAAATGCTGATGAAACTGTTGGATTCATTAGCTTTGGCCACAATTTCTGGATTTTATGGCAACTTTATTTTTTTTGGGGGGGGATCATTTAATACAATTTTTCAGGGGGAACATGATTGGATTAATCATTGGATTCATTGGATCAAATGGGGTACTGGAAGGGTTTTTTCATGCTGGAGGTTTGGGACTGGCACATTCAACGAAAAAAAAAGTCCTCAGAAAACTCATCCCACCGGAGCCACCTCTTTGTTTAGAAGTTTAGACAACAGAAATGGATGGTAGACCTACCAGGTCGGTTTGATCCTCACCTATGGTAGACCTACCTGGGTTTGATCCTGGGTTTGATCCTGGAAGATCCCCTATGGCAACTTGTCAGGCGAAGAGGCTCCAGGTGAAGAGACCGGCTTTGTGGACATCTTCAACAAGGTCTTGGGATGTTCAAACCACCAACCTTGGGGGGGATCGATTTTCAACATTTTTCAACGAACCAATGAACTATAAAAAAAATATGGCAACCTTTAGGGGAAAATGAGGGAAGATATGCCAAAAACCACGGGATTCATGGGATTTTGGGGTGCCACTAATGAAGATATGCCCAGGGAGTGGCTGCTAGACATCAAGCAGCGTGCAGGTGGGTGTCAACAACTGGCAGACCATTGCGGTGGTGAACTGCCAAAAGATGGTCAGAGGCGGTGGGCTCAGGTTTTTTTTGGCTTCAAAAATTGATCTCGGTGCCAATGTCAGATGGATGATTGCCAATGGAGGAAAAATATGGAAAAATGGGATTCAACCAGGAAGGGTGGGCATTCTCCATGGAGATTTGATGGAATACCAAGATTATTTCAAAGAATTTGGACGTTTGTCCAACAGAATTGTCATGTATGAAATGAGAAAGTTGGTTTCCCTCTCGGCATTTTGTGTTCAAGCTTTCCAAGAGCCTTTCTCTTGGGTCACAATTGATACTGAAATTGGTTTCCGCAACACCGCAAAGACTCTCCTTGCTGCTGGCATGTGAGACAAACTCACATGCGCCATGGTCAAAAGTTCGATTATTCTATACCCATATTGAGGAATGGTCATCAATTCATTAATAGGGACGAAGAACCCGATTATAAGGATGCCCATCATGGGATTACTCACATGAGAATGCTTCGAACCAGAGATGGCATGGTGAGGAAAAGATCAGCCAGAAAACCCGCTTTTCCAGGTTTTCTGTCGCGCATCCGAACTCAGAGATTGAAGACGGCTGGGCATCTCAATTTGGCCACTGGATGTTTGCATAGTTAGATCCCAAAGAAATGGGTTTCCTTGATGAAGTAAAACTGGGGCGCCTAAAGTCTTCAATAAATACCCAAATAGTAAGAGAAGGAAATGTAAGAGAAAGGAATAAACCGGTTTTAAGCACGCACTTGCTTAGTGGGCTAGTAGTGCCACTATTCAATAATGGTTCTTGTCGGATCGTTCTTGCTCCCAAACCCACCAAATTTATGTAGGTGCCATGGAGAACATGCACCATGACGAGGCAAACAGCAAAAAACACATGTCAATGGCGATGTATATTCAATCCCCAATATATTCCAACATATTCCAACCATTTAATGCCATCATTTACACATATTTGGGACATTTTGCGACCATTTACAACATCTTTAACATTGGAGGATGGGATTTTTAAACCCATAAATTCGTAGATCTCCCCATCCCTTTTTCAATGCGACCGGCTGAGATCGCCCTGTGTTCGGTTCGCAGCATGGTGGACGGCTGCTTGGAGGCTGGACGTTACGTTTTCTTCGGCTCCGCTGATTTTTTGTTGGTTTAGAACCACCATAAAAACTATAGAGATATCATGATATGGATTGATATGGATTGATATGGTGGTTTCCCAAGTCATGGGGGTACCCCATTTCATCATCCATTTTTTGGGGGACTTTCCATTCTAACCCATCTATTTTGGGGATATGGCTATGAGATGCTATGAGGCAAAAGCCAAACGGCACCCGGATGGTACACTCAGCTGGTTTTCATGGATGTTGATTCCCCCAAATATTTTTTGATAGGTTTCGACTCTTGATCCATCCCCGTATATCATCATATATCTATATCATTCTATATCTAGATACCACTTAAATCACATAGTTGTGAAGCAACTTAGCATGGGACATCACGCATCATCACCTGCCAGGAAGTCACTCGAAGAAAGGCAGCTGCCATCAAAATCCAGAGTTCCTTGGAGCGGAGCATCCAACAAACCCCCGACACGGTGCAGGGGGAGATACCAGGGAATTTAGCGTTGAAGTCTAGCTTGACCGGAAGGGAAGGGAATGGGTAGGTTTTCATGATTTGAAGCGTGGATTTGGCCGGAAGGTTGTGGCGCTGGTTGGTTGTTGAGTGTCCAAAACCATTATATGTTCGTCACCAGCTGGACGGTTTGCGTTGGTGCAAACCAACCACAAGGATTCGGAAAGCCTTCTTTTTTATCTTCAACCTTCTGGATTTTCCATTTTGGAAGCAGTGGCGCTTGCACAAAATCTTCCCAGATCTATGCCCAGCAGCCAACTGCCCGAAGTTCTCTTGGTGAAGAGTTACGCTGTTTATTCCTTTGCACAGTACACATCAGTACCGTATCGTACTACTGGTTGACCTGGTTGGATTTTTTATTCAACACTAGAGGATGATCTACATGGATCAAACCCCACCCTTCTGTTCACACCCAAACAGTTGATAGTCATGTATGTCAATCATCTTTATCCTCCAGTATTTCATAGTATTTCATCGGTTTTGATCCATACCCAATTCACCATGTCGAACAAAATGGGTTTCAACCATCAACCTTTAATCTCGCGCAGCGTGGTCACAACCAAGGCATTGCGCGTGGCTTCTTGGTGCGGCGTTGGGCGCACCCAGCGGGGGCATTGGTGATTTCGGATGAGATCTACCAAAATTGGAACATGTCCCAGGTTTACTGGTTCGTACCTTCTAGTGGTTTATGTATCAGCACCTCTAAAGGTTGGAACAAATGATGTGGAACAAATGATGTATATATATATAATATATAGTATATATAATTATATATATATATATTATACATACAAACAAACAAACAAACAAACAAACAAATAAACAAACAAACAAACAAACAAATAAACAAACAAACAAACAAACAAACAAACAAATAAACAAACAAACAAACAAACAAACAAACATACGTACGTACGTACGTACGTACGTACATACATACATACATACATACATACTATATACCTATTTCCTGGCAAATTTGCATCGGTAATTTCATGGTCCTCCACCCTGGATCTTTGCAGGCAAAAACCTCATCTATGAGAAGAGGAATGTGTGGAGCTCAAAGTTTGAAAGGCTCAAAGTCTACCCGCGAAACTGGATGCCTTGGTCGTTCCTTTTGGTACCAAAACATTGTGCCACGCCCATTCAGTCTGTATTCTGTCTACTGCAGCCCTTAACATCTTTGAGGCCGCCTGGGAGGCCAACGTGGATAACATCGTAGCCGTGCAGGCCGGGGATGGGCGACTGGATACTGGGAATCCTGCGGAGATGAGCCAGATCCCGACACTGACGACCTTCGCCCCAGGCTTTTTTCAGGCGGTACTTGGCGCAGGTCTGATTCTCAGGGATCATGAGCAGCTATTCACTTCACTTCAGTGAGAGATTTCTGAAGATTCTTTCCTGGAAAACGTCTCAGAAAGACTGTAAGACTCTATTCTTTGTGACTTGCTAGCGTTTGTTTAATATGATGGATGAGAACACATTCGTCCAGTTGTTTGTTCTTCCAATCCTATAGCATCAGCAGCAGGAAGTGGTGGTCACCGGTGTCTTGAACAACACCGCCTATTTTGCGGCCACCATGATCCAGGCGTGGAAGTCCATCGTTTCGTTTCGGGCAGGGTGGGTGTGGGAGTCCATATGAGTCCATCGTTTCTTGGCAATGTATTATTTTTTTCCCATATATTGGGAATAATAATCCCAACTGACTCATATTTTTGGTAGGTAACCATGGCACGAACACAGCCAATCCAGAAGCCCTTTGCACCCCTTTGCAGCCTTTTGCAGACCACCTGGCGCGGTTGGCTGGCCCGACGCCATGTGGAACGCCTACGAGAGGAGGTGGGCTGCCCTGATTTGTAGAACTTGGAATCACACGGTCAGTTGAAAAGGGGATTGCTCAGCAGATTTTCACAGATCCTTTTGTCGACAATGACTTTTACAGGTAGATTACAATGGATGTATAGCAGGGTTGTGTTTTCCTCGCACCTGATTTATTTCAGTTTTTTTTAATCTTTATTTTTTCAATTTTTTTCCACTTTCAGTGTTGTTTCAAGTGGGATACAGGTGGTGTCGCCCGCAGGCCCTGTGGCCACTGAAGGGCTGGTTCGAATTCACCGCCACTGGCCGCGATGCGGTCCAAGTGGAGGCTGGGAAAGTGGCCAACATGGCCACTGTGGTAGCATGGGAAACACTACAGACTATAGGGTTTCTGGTAAATAATATTATATATACATGTTATATATACGTATATACATATATAATATATATATATTGATTGGATATATATTAATATAGTATAATATAATATAATATAATATAATATAGTATAATATAGTATAATATAATATAATATAATATAATATATTATAATATAATATAATATAATATAATATAGTATATAGACATATTGGGAAGTGGAAAGAAACACATCCAGCCACTTTATCTGCGGTATTTTTCCCTTATGAACAGTTCGTTCTTTGTTCCTTTGAGTTCCTTTGACTCACATCTTGCAGGTTCATCCAACTCCGGCCAAAAAAAACCTGCGAAACAGGTGTGTTTCCTGGCGAATCCCAGCTTCAACGACTACAAGTACTTCTTGGAGTATGGCAGCACCTCCACGCTGCAGCTCACCCTGAAGGTCGCTGGGATTTTCTGAGGCCAATCCGATGAAATCACCATAGCTCCAACCAGCTGAGTCACCAGGAACTTGAAAAGGACCTAGCCTCGGCGATCACGGCAGTGCAAGGTGCCGTGACCTGGTCTGACCTGGTGGTGGTTTGTAGCCATGGCATCATTGGAATGTCGCTGTAGTTGGAAAATGGTGCATGCAGTTGGATATAGTGAATGGATATAGCTCACCACCAGTTGGAAAATGGCAGATGATCTTCATCTAGAGGATTTGAGAAAAGGTAGTTAGTTAATGTTAGATATAGTCAGGTTAGGATATGTTAAGATGAAGGATCTCTGAAAGGTTTGGAGGACTTTTCGCAGTGTGCCCATGAAGACCTCAAGGTGGCCGTGCCCATCAGCTGCGCGACCGTCAGGTAACCAGTTCCTGAAGGACGACATGTCAAGGCTTCGGAGGGATGATGGACCCATCACCAATTGCAGCTCGGAACTGCATGATGTACTGTGTTATATTTGTGTATCCCAATGACAGTATGGATTTCAAGTAGAAAATGGATGAACAAGGATGAACATGATATATATATATAAATATTATATATTAATTAATATTATATATTTGTGAAGAATCGTCACGGTACCGGTTCTGAAGTTTGTGATTCGCTCTCTTGGGGTCCATCCTTTGTGTTTGTACACCGTTGATAGGCGGCCTTCAGCATCCAAGGCTGGATTTGGGCCCTGCCACCCGCCTTTGGTCTTCCCAAATCCAAGTCTTGGAAGATAGCCATTGATATTCAGCGTTGATTGTTTTACACATTTCGATGGATTGCATATCATATGCAGTTATACTAATCAATGCATATCAAGACATGTATGTACATAATGTATGATATATATACATAGTACATATACATACTCTATATACGATAGCTACCATTCTTACTCTTGAATTGTTGAGTGGGTGGCATCTGGACAGGACCGCAGCAGCAAGGCGCGAGTCCCATCGCGAGTCCATCGGGCGCTTTCAATGCGACAGCCACCCATGAATCAATGGTGTTTTTCTCCAAAAACATGTGCCCCAATCATTTTGATCCATGTCTGGGAACATCTAAAAAATCTTTGGGAACACTTAAAAGGAATTAAAAGAACAGCTTTAATTTTTAGGTTCGGGTTTGAACATGGACCCAGTCACCCAGTCATGGTACGGCTGAAAGCAATCCTGTGACGTGCCAGGCCCGACCCAAGCCGAAGAGCGAGTCAAGGCCGAAGTGGGACATTGAAACCTTCAAAATTTGGTGCCACACACATTGGAGGGAAATGAAAGGACACTATCAGAAGAAACCTATCAGCGGGAAAAATGGCTCAGCAAAGCAACGTCCTTTTGGATTTGGCACGGTTCCAAATCTGGACAGCGAGAATGGGCTTAAGGCAGCTTGTACATTGGCTCAACCAGGAAAGAAGACGGCAAGCAGGAGCAGAGGTGCCAACAAGCAGCAACAGTTCAGCGGCCGGCGGGTGCTTCAGCATTGTTCGAACTGCGGCTCAATAGGAAAAGTCGCTCATACACCTACTGTAATCTGCAAGAATTCCATCCAACAAAGGTTGAAGTTGGAAATCCCATGGGCCAGGTCAGAGGAGGCTGCACAGGAGGGCGACCCCAAGGTCGATAAGAAGGCCGGGAAAATTGGCCAAACATGTGATACACGGTGGAAGATGGATACCAATTACCAGTTGGTAATCAAATAAATCAGGGATTTCACATGATTTCAACCAATGAAAATTAAAGCAGAAACCAAAGTTCAGGAGCGGCTAAAGAGCAGAACGGGTTCTAGAGCCCAATGCTCATGGGTTGAGGTTTGGACCTGGGCAGTTTACTTGGATTCATTTTTGTTGCAGATGAACCAATTCTCTGGGGATAAAATCCCGAATCAACCAACATTTCCAACAGCACCAGGAAGCAAAGAGCAAGGGAAAGGCCACGAGGCGCTGCTACAGCTGTGAAGTTCCACTGTTGGTCCTGATGGTCCTGTCGGGGTGACGGACCATGGACTAGCCGAACATTTAGAGGTATGGGGGTGGAGTACGACATGTTACCATGCTATCATATAATCTGCAGATATACGCCATACATGTTCCAGTACTGTATTACAGTTCCAGTATTACAGTATAGTTTTCTTTTTATTCGTTTGATACATCATATCATAAACAATAATCATAATAATATACATAAAAATACATATTATAACGATTTGCTGCTGACACTACCTTACCCTTGTGCCCTTGCGAACAACTTTGTTTGCATTTTGTTTGCTTTGCAGGGAAGCTCCGACAGCGAAGGAACCAGGGAAAGGTGCTGGTTGGGGCACCTCAGCCGAATCCAGCAAGACCTGGAGGATGTTAAACGGGTGGCCGTGGTGTCTTTGGGGTCTCTGGTAACGCCTTCCAGATTTCAACCATGGTCGCATATGGTCGCTGATCACTCGCCGAAACTGGCATGATCAGTCAGGGATTCCGTTGGGTTCCACGGCTTGTGTCTGAGGTGAAACAGCGGATCCGGCCAGTCCAGGCTGCGACCCGGGCTTGGAGTTTCGCATCCAAAATTTGGGCACAGTGTGGGTCACGAATTGTGGGGTTCCCATCCAACGTCTTTAGGGAGTGTCTAGAAATGGCTTGGAACCAGTCACTATTCCCCTGATCGGATGAGAATTGGACAGTTTGGATCATTTTGGTGGATTGGAGGATCATGATGCCTCAATCAGCTCGCAGCGGGTGACTTCAACAAATATCAATGAAGAGAGGATCCTCTCGATGAAGATCCATGAAGTCATTTCTTCAGGTTCCATTTTTCTTTCAAACACATCCCCAGATTTGTTGGGTGGCACACCCTCCATTTTTAGTCAGCGATGGTAGCAGGCGCGCAGAGCGAGAGTGGGAAGAAAGCCTCCAAGCCGTCTGGGGACCCTTGGAACTTTGCCATTTTTTGGCTGGAGATGACCATGTGAGTGGCTAAACCACTGTTGGCTGATGATTCTACTCCAGCAGACGAACAGAAGTTTCTGGAGTCTGGATGTCAGCATGCTGGTTAAGAACAAAGTGAAGACGGGAATCAAAAGCAATATTTTTTCAGAGCGCAGTTAAGTGCTTTGGATTCTATTCTACGTTGATCTTGTATTTAACTCGAAAGCAGGCTCTACGTGGTTGTAAAAATTGGTTGGTATGGTTACCCAACTTGCCCTGACACATCCATTTCACGCAATCTGAGAGCAGATCGATCAGTTCGGATGATTTCTTCACTTTTCTGACCCTTTCTTTCATTTTCTTCAAAGAAAATGGATGAAACTGGTTCATCAACAACCTTCATCAATCATTTTTTGGATGTTCCCCGCCGAGGCCCAAAGACTCCGAGGCGGCTCAGCCGGAGGGTGAGGCCAAGCCCAAGGCACGGGGAGAGGAAAAGTGGTGACATCAGTTGAGAAATCCCATCAGAAATCCTATCAGAATGGTGAATTCGGGTGGTTAATGATTAATGTGAATACCAGATCCATTGAAATCTCGCTTTTTTCTACCCGAGATTGACTGGACTCTGGAATGGAATTCCACTGGGCTCACGGCAAGCGACAACGTGCAGGCAGCTGCCAAGGGATCTGCAAAGGCAGAAACCAGGCCTGGGGCGAAGTGTGGAGAATCAGATTTCATCGTTTTGAAGTCCTACCCATCACCTTGGACTTTGGACCTATGAAGCACTGGGCACCCAAAGAGGTCTGACACAAATTCTAAGGCCGCAATTATCTGCAGGTTCTTCAAAATCTCTTCAACCAGGTTTTCGGTGAAGCTGAAAAACCAAAATGCTGTCTCTGGCTTGGCAGGAAGGCAGAAGCTGGCAAGAAGGCAAGGGCTTTGACTTTCAGAGATAGAAGGGGTATGGCCATCAGGTTTGGGGGCACTAATGTGCCTAGGTCAAACCTTGTATTCTGTCATTTTTCTTAAAGATTGGTGATTAAGACAACGCACATGAAGAATACACCCAATGATCCCAATGACTGGACCTTTCTTGGGAACAAACAGCTGATGTCCCGAAAAATGCATAGGAAAGCATCAGTTTTCTGGTATCCAAAGGGTCACCCGCTGGATTCAGTCCAGAACTCCCAAGAATTGGGTGCTTCCGGTTCCTCCTCGGCATATTCAAACTGGAAACAGACTTGGTGGGGATTCGGATGCAGAGTCTGCAGGAAACGTCGAGCGGAGAAGCGACGGGAACTCAGTTGGACGGATGATGACGGATGTGGGTCAGAGATCACACTCATGGCAGCAAGATTTGGCCAAATTAGCAGCAGTTTGTTACCAACTGGCCTCAAAGAAGCCATGATTTGTGTTTTGGGGGGATTGGCAGGTTGTGAAAAAAGTTTGCTTATGTTTGTTTATTTTTGTTATTTTGTCATTTTCCATTCAGATTTTCTGGCCAGATATGGCCAGCTTAGAATGCTCGAAGGCAGCCGCCCAAGCCGGAGTCTGCGCAGCCGAAGCTTGGGACCCAGATTGATGATCCGAGATGGGGATAGGTATAGATTCTACCAGATGGACGTTCTATTTTTTAAATCCAAGTTTTTGGGGCCCAGATTTTGATTGGAGCCATATCCTGAGACTCTTTAGAGACAACGCCACCGTTGCCGTCGGGAAATTTCAGTTTGGTGCGAGCCGAAGACGCAAGGCCACCCACCCTGGGTGCAGATGCTTCAGTGAGGCTTGGACTTCTGATGCAACAGAGGTGGATAGCTGCAACAGATGTTCCCTTCAAACCGTTTCAGCTTCGCGGTGCATAGCGGTGCCAGGGAGATGAGCCAGAGCACGCAGGCCAATGAGTTGCGTTTGGGGGGCCCAGTCCAGTTGAGCCCTGGGATGAATTCTGGGGGGTTCCAGGTGAATCTTCAATGGTGTACCCGGTGTATTCATGGCTTGATGGATCCAAGGTTAAGAATGATCATAATGGTATGAAAAGATCTCCAAACTTGTATGACGATGCCAAGACATACAAAGATTCCTTCAATGTGCGCTCAACACAGCACAAACCTTTTGTTCTCAAGACTTGCTTTCATGCTGTCGCAGATTTGTTCATTTTGTTCATCCTTAGAATCTCATAAATCATATCATCTTTTGCCCATCAAGAAAAGGAGGACCACCAGCCCACAAACCTCGAGGCAAAGCTGCCTCTGGCACTGCCGCTGCTCCTGCTGCAGAACAGGGTGTTGCCGCGGCAGCCGGAGTCGAGTCGGTCGATTTAGGCGGGGAATGGATGGCGGGAAAAATCTGATGGTGGCGAGGGGCTGAGACGCCTGGCCAGCAAAAATGGAGGGATTAGAAACCAGGGGATCTAAGCAAATTTGGGATACTTGAGCAGATTTTGGGCTTTTGGGAGGGGATATCATTGATATCATCAGATCAGGAAACCTACCAAAATATTCAAACCATGTGCTGCAGGGTGATGCTATGGCTCCAGACTCAAGCCCCACTGCTCCCTGCGCTAGGCAGTGTCAAACCCAAGCCGGCAGAGAAGCCGCCGAATCCCAACCAAGGCCTACTGGGATGTTTCGTTCAGGTCATCCCAGGTCCTGGCAGGTGTTGCTGGAAGAACCGCCTTCAGCCTGTCTGCTTCTATCTGCTTCTATCGATGCCTCCAGGCAAAAACTATGCTGGTTCAATCAAGAATGGCAAGTGCGGAGTCTTAAAAAATCTCGATGGACCTTGAGACTCTGCGGATTTTGCGAGTTTCGTCGGCAAAGTCGGATTTATTGCTCCAAGGTTTGAAAAGAAGAAGGTCGACAGTATAGAGGCGGTCTCTGCAGCAAAGATGACCACGTGATTTAGGATATTTCGGTAGGTAATGGTAGGTATATTATATTTAGGTAGGATATTTAAGAAAACATAAGAAAACTATCCATTTAGGATATTTCGGTAGGTATCCCAAATCATAAACCCTCCTAAATGGATCTAAATGGATGGTTTACGAAATATCAACCAGCATTTCTGGGCCATAAAATGGCCTTGCGATTTGACCAGGAACTCAGCAAGGATGAGAGGGCAGCGATCATGGCGGATATCGAAGAAGAAAAGCAGAAGAAGCTGCAGGTGCCGAGCAGGATGTACGTGAAAACCATACCCTCTGGTAAACTAACATAGCTATGGAAAATCACCATTTTTAATGGGAAAACTCACTATAAATGGCCATTTTCAATAGCTATGTTAGTTTACCAGAGGATAATTCTTGGTCCAGTCAAGCCCACAGTTTGGACAATTTTGTTGACATACACCACCAGTGTTTCAAGCCACTCCTGATTAAGCCTCGCGGCCTCGTGTGACTTGCGGATAGGTGTAGCTGGATTTGCATGCTCATGTCCCAAAGAGATTACATCCTTTTGAATAATCATTTTAGAAATTGGCACCCATTCCTTCAAAAATCCTGCGAGGCCTTGCAGGAAAAACAGAAGCAGCAGCAGAAAAAGCTCGAATCCCAGGGGGTCTTGATGGCCGCAGCCAGATTTCAGATGTCGTGGTGTGACATCATCTTCCCCATGAAGACAATCATATTTTGATGGGCTATCCCCGATTTTGGAGAAAGCTATAGATGTACTTGTCTTACTTGTGCTTGCCCAGGAAGAAGCAGCAAGAGGCTAAGGTGCACGAAGCACAAAGGCAGCTTGGATGAATGGATGAATGGCTGGATGGCTGGATGGTCCATGATTTGGGGGGTGAATCAACAGTTTTAGGCGGCCAAATGGGGGATGGAATTCATGAGTCTACAACCATGGTCAGATAAGCGAAATCTCATGACGGGTGAACGATGCATCTTCGGAATGCTGTCAGGTCCCAAATGGAGCAAGCCGAAGCCCAAGAGGAGGAGAGACGAAAGCAGAAGGCCGCATGAAATGCTCAACAATCTCGACGTGTGGAGAAACGGGGTGTAGACTCTAGGCCACTGTTTTCATGCTTAATCCATCGCTTGAAGTTGTGGACTCTTGGATAGATGTGATTTAGTACGGAAAGAAGCACACCAAAATACAACTTTGCAGACGAAGTCTGAGTTTTCTTTGTTGATGTCTTGAGTAGCACTGGCAAGTATCCTGTAGTGGGTGGACGTTGCATGAACGGTGAAGTCACTTTGACTGTAGCAGGTGCAAGAACTCAAGAAGTGGCTGAAACAGTTGGTCCCCCAGCTGCTAGTTGGCGAGCCGTTTGGAGTTGTGAGCCAGTGGCCTTGACTCTCAGTCGACATGTACGGCTGTTGTGTGGAGAGGATCCAAAATGCCATGGTAAAAACCAGCAAAAACCAACATGTTCCGAGATCTTGCAGATTTGAGAGCAGCCTTGATAGCATAACCTGCAGTCATTTCAAAACCATAACCATTTTATTGGGTTGTGGAGACTCTGTGGAGATGCTCCCCAAATCTGCATCACTGCAAGGAAGGAAGACCAGGACCGCGCCAAGAAGGCAAGTTCGAGTGTCAGATGTTGGATTCTGCTACCATCAAGTTCAGCCTGAGCGCCACGACAGGAAAGGGATGCCGTGCTCTTGCAGGAGTTGCAAGAGAAGGAGCAACCTTTCTATACGAAGCGATCATTCCGATCAAGGGGGACAGTTCGGTGACTAGGCCACTAGGCAGTTGGTGGAATCCCCAGCAGCTGCCATGGTGCACGCGGCCGCAGGAGGTTCTAAAGCAGGAACAGCAGAAGGTGCTGGAACAAGCGAGGCCCAAAGCCACTTCCGATTCACCAGGGCCAACATAAGTGCCGTGGGCTTCCCCAAAAACCTGGGTTTGAAGGGTTTCAAGCAGGACAATAGATATTCAATAGATGACAATAGTTATTATCTCGGGATGAAATGATGGTCTCGGAAGATCTTCTGCTGCATGTCATTCCTCAGACATCCCTTGCTCAGGCAGGAGCAGCGAGACAAGCGCCTGCAAGCCGTGGCAAAGCAGAAGGCCAGCCGTTGATCACTGGAAGGAGTTTTGTCAATCTCAATGTGAGGTGGGTGTGCTGATGTTGCCAAATCCGTCCAAACCTATCAGATATTTACTAGAGATGCACATGTCATGGAGGTCGGAACAGCTATAATGGGCCGTTCATGTGTGCTTTCCACACTTTGTAGCCGTCAACATCATATCAAGTTTGCGGGTCCCACTCGGCATGTCCAGCCGCTTTTTGTTGGTCCACATCGGCATGTCTGCAATGGCCCTTTAGTTGGGGGTATGGCATGGTCAATCCATTTGAACATAGGGATCTATGATGATCTATATACCCATTGTATCATATTGTATCATATTGTATCATCATGAATCATAAGTTTAATAATGTTTAATATATATATATATAATATAGTTTAATATACCGACTACAATGTCACTACAAGTGATAAGATGTCGATGTGAAAAGGAATAGCTACGGAGGGTGGGATGACCCTACCGAGCATACCCTGGCTTCGATTTTATCGGCGCCGCGTGGCGTTTCCCAGGCGAAGTTGGAAGCGCAGTTGTTGGCCTCCCGAGAGGCTGGGGATCCAGTCAGACTTCCCAAGTAAAGTAAAGCTTCTGTATATATACATATATATGTATAAATGATTATAAATGTATATACACATGGTGTCATATCTATATCTATCTATCTATCATATACAATTCCAGATGTAATATAATGTAATATATAATGATATATGCATGATATATGCATGACTTATGCATTATATGACCATATTATGGCGGTTATACTGGCTCCGCAGGCGGCCATTCAGGAGAAAATCAATGCTTCCCAAAGGAGTGAGACTAAGCCTTCAGGCGATGCCGAAGTGTCACAGGCGCGGAGATGTTGATTTTTTGTGGGACTGCTGGGCTGATTGAGCTGACGTTGACGTTGAGCGGTCTGGGGCTGGTTCAAAAGGTTGATGTATATATCAATATTTGTCAGAAGATTCTGCGCCTGTATGAAGGAACAAACATTCTTCAAGCGCAGAAGATACTTCACCATACAGTATTCTTTCACGACATTCTTCATTGATGTTTCCATGTTTGGGGGGCAGTCATGACATGGTCATGACATGCAGTGTAGACTTCACCCAATGACAGGAATCCATGGAGGGCCAGCCTGAAGAAACGGATCCGAGGATGCGAAAGCAGCAGCTTCTTGGATGGTTCGTGGTCAGTAGGATTTGCACATCATCACAACATTGGCACAAAAGGTTGGTTGATGTCGAGTCGCACTGCGAAGAATTTAAATCTGAACACTTGGGTTTGAAAGGTGAGTTTATCATTGGATATGGCCCTTGTGGTGGGTCCAGGGTCCAGTGGTGGTTCCACAGTTTGATTTGGGACGCCAGATTGGAGAAGCTGCAGCACCCAGGTTGCTGATCCAGCAGCAGCTGGGGAACGAGCGCATGGGCTATGGTCCTGGGATGCCTGGAATGCCTGGAATGCCTGGAATGCCTGGAATGCCACAGGCCTGTGGGATGTAACTAAGCAACTTTGAGAATTGGATACGCAGGTGACTCAGTTTTTGTAGACCCCATAGCTTCAGGTTGTTTGAGCAGATAATTATTTCATATTATTTCTATTCCTTGCAAACAAAACATGGATTTCACAGACGAGAGTCTTGTGAAGCCGCGCCCCTTCTCTAACCCAAAGCAGCAAGATCTGTAAAGTCTTCTCACTAACACAATTGAAACCTTTCGAAGACTGTGCCAGGGCACACTTGGACTTCAAACTATCATCCAAATTCATGTATATACTACAACTCATACAATTCATGGATTTTATCGCATCTTGTGAATTGAATTTGTGACACTCTCGCAAGTCTAAATTTGCTCCGCTGCCCAGCGCGTCGTGCACCGGCACATCCACCACCACGTGCACTACCACGAGGTGTGCTGTTCGGATTGCCGTTGGGGGTCAGCAATCGATTTGTTAATGTGTCCATGTTGTATTTGAGGCAGTAGGATCGAGACTCTACCATTCCAGTCCAGAACCGGGATCTAAAGTTAAGGCTCAGGTCGCCTCAAGCTGAACCGTTCTCGTATTATTTCTGTGGCATGATTCCTCCGTAGCAATGCTTATTCAACATACATGTAGACCCTGAAGATCCATGAAGATCCTGAAGTAATGTGGAGTTTATATAGCCAATTTATATCAATTATGTACCAAATTATTTGAATCAGCCCCAATGACTTACCACAAGTGGTTGGTATTTCACCCATCCCCACATTGCTCAGCTCAGCATCGGCTTTTTTATCAGGGTGATGGAGAGGAGCCGGCACTGCCGTCCATGGAGGAGCGACGGTTCCTTGGCATTTTCCGATCCAGAAACGCCACTTTTTGAAGAGAAACCACTCAAAAATGAAAGCAATGTGCTTGAGATGACATTTATATATATATAATATATAATATATATATAATATAATATATAATATATATACATTTATATCATGTTTAGGGATGTGTAGGGATCATTTGGAATATGTTTGCAACAAACATGAAATATGTAATTTTTTTCAGACAAACTTGGGACTGGGACTAATGAAGCCAAGGAGGGTTGTATCATGTTATGTTAGATCTAGGACATCGCGCAAATGCAGCCGGGCGTTTGTTTAGTCAGCAGGTTTGCTTTCCAAGGCTATGATCTACAACTGTAGTTGGTATGGGTCTAAAATCATTGAGAGATGATGCACAGATCCTCTTGGACATATCCTTAAAGATCCCATTGCAAAGCACGGAACGAGGCGCATTGAGCAAGCCTCAGAGGATCGAGTGAAACAAAAACTGGCGGAGCAGGCACCTGGTGGTTTCTTTACTTGTTCTCTACAGTCGATCAACCACTGATAGCAAGCTTTATTAGAAGAAATTAGAAGCAAGAATCTGTTGTTTTTGAATTTTACTCACTATTTGAGGTTCTCAGGCATTTTCTTGATTGTGAACTTTTGTATATAATTATCCTGGGCCTCAAAGTTTTGGAGTTTGACCCACACTCACATGGGAACCTAAACCACATCACGAAGCCAAAATTCACCCATACCTGGGAGAACTCCAGCAGGAAGAAAAGGCCCAGCCCTGTGTCTTTATTCATGTGCCGGATGATCATGAGTAGTTGTACATTGTACCATATAAGATGTATAAGGTCTGTCTGAAACTATAGTACATTATCCACCCAAATTGATGGTTCAATATGCCCAAAATTGATTAATTCATCATGGTTAATCATCATTTTTTGCTACCAAAATGGCCACATTTTGGGGTGTAACTCTCACCTTCCCAGGCCCAAAAAAAGACAGAACTGTTGATCCATTGCTGCCAGGGCATGGGCGAAATGGACCAGGGCTTCGGGCCCGGCGGGCCCGGCGCCAAAGTGTGGCACAGCTTGGTTGGAAAATCGGGTCCTCCCAAACTATCCAAAGTATCGGTTGATCGGTTGATCATCATGTTCCCCGTCAGAATTGGCCATTTTGGGATGTACCCCCAAAAAAACTGGCCATGTTGGGAGGATTCTGCCATTCTGCGAGGCCCCATGGAGTGGATCCCATTGCTGAGACGCCGACGATGCAGCCTGCTCCCTGAGATGGATATACGCAATACCATTGTTCTTTAAACGGATGGAACCGAACTAAACTTGGCCATGGGAAATCATGTTAGAAAAAACACACACACACACATGATTTTGTGCGTTTTACATTGGTACTCAGAACAGGCTCAAAATTCACAAATACAGTGCCCAGAACCCTATCATTGAAAAGGCAGAGTGGGGGTGCACCTAAAACACCATCCTCAAAACAGAACACAAACTACTGAGTGCGAACAGATGGCATTCCAAGACCAACACTGAGGCAATCGCGCTCCCTGCCGGCCCTCCACTCGAGATCTGTTCAAAGGACCCAGGAGGCACTGCTGGCCTTGGTGGTGTGGCAAGGGGTCCATCTAGTCTTGGGCTACTGCTGTATTATGGATCTGTACCTTGGACAGACTTCGTATCCATCTGAAGCCTCACATTTCATGTCAATTTCGATCCGTCCCAAAAATGGAGGCCCCAAATCCATCAGATTCTCCACTGCGGAATATGTGTCCTGGGTGCTGGGTGACAGTTGCCACGGCAAGGGCCCCTTCAGACTGCTGCCGGACATCAATGCGCGGGACTGTCGGGTCAGCGATATGATCCTGGTTGTTGCATTCCACTTGCTGTCAGGGAGCCAGTTGGCGAATCTATGCACAAAGTTGTTTGCACTGACATGTGCAAACACGCGCAAACACAGGCATTTCACATACATCTCAAATTTCAATAGGTTTCTTACCCATGTGACTTTTGCGTGGCGCGACAGAGAGGGTTGTCGAGCATTGTCCGTTTGCAGGAAATTGGCGCCAAACACGGTGTGCCCAACTTTGGTCAGAGCGTTGACCGGGCCATTCAGTAGCTTGGCGACCAGGTCAATATCTGCTAGGTATAGAGGGTACTTCCAACACTTCCCGTATCCAAATTGTTTACCTTGACTGGAGGCCTTTTTTGAAGATCTGGGGTGTTCAAAATGGATTACCAATAAATCTAACTGCATATCATCCTTGTTCCATTTCTGGTCAAATTCATTTGCGTGAGACATTTTGTTGCCACGGCTCGCCAAAAAAAACCTGAGGTCGTATGCGAACTCTGGCCGGCCACGATTCGTGAAGTCTGGAATGGCCCGCACCTGAAGCTTCAGTGGACACCGATTTCTTCATGTTGTACCACGTTAGCCTTGGCCTCTCAATATAACATGTATATATATATATATAACTATATATCTATACACACATACAAATATCAATTCAATATATATATATTATATTATATATATACATTATGAGAATAATGATAATCATAATCTTAACAATAATAATGATCATAATACAAATAGTAATAATAAAAGTTATGATAATAATAATGATAGTAATAACAATAATAACAATAACAACAATAATAATGATAATAATAATAGTAATAATAATGAAATATATATATATATAACATGCTGAATGGAAAGGTGTAAATTAAATGGTAAATTTAAGTCTTTGGAGGCTGCCATTGGAGGAACTGCAGGAAGCTGGATGGAAATGGTCAGATGTCCTTCGGATGAGTCCTTACTGAAATTCTTCCAACAGCTTGACTTCAGGCACCGCCTCCCAGATAGATGAGAGAATCCTTGGTTCTGTCTATGTCATTCCGTCATTCCTGTTGCGATATCCATTGGCAGAGAAAGCCTGCAAGGGGTTCCTAGTCTCACGGTTCTTTGAAAGTTATTGCTCCCCAAGCTTGCCAGAAAACTGAACAAGTTTCCGCAACTCTCGGGATCGCTATGTTTTGCGAATGACCCATAGACAGGCCGTGCACATAGAGACAATTACACAATGACAGAATCGGCAAAGCCGATATATGTCAGTCCTATTGGGCATTGAATTTGTGCTTGATGAGTTTCATTTGATTGTGCTGTGGCAGGATAGATTTTTTTAACATGGCCGTCCACTGATTGGGCTCTTTGAGTACCAGCTCTTCCTGAGCCCATTACAACCCAGATTACAACAAACCTTCGGTGCTTCTCTCACTGTTCGTTTCGTGGTGTTGTAGCTGCAGACCAGAAAAACAAGAAGCAGGTTTTCCTTCCATGTGCCAGCCAAGTGATGGTAGGTTATGATAGCACTGTTGGCAGGATATATTCCCGCCATATTTTCCCCCTGCTATGTTTGCCCCACAGCGCAGAGAATTTCGACGTTTCACCTGGTTTCGTTCGTCCAACAAAGGCCAAGTAGGAAGGTATTCGGCCACGGTGACCACCGTGCGAGAGGTGCGAGAAAACAGAGCACTGCAAAGGCTGTTTCTGAATGCACCGACTTAACAAACTGCACAAGGAAATGGTAACCAAAACAAACTTAACAAACTGCAAAATTTAAGTGTCCAAAGAAAACATCTTACACACATTTACAAACGCTAGAGTTTTGACTTAGCTGTCTTAGCTCTTATGTCTTATGCATAATCGGGCAAGATGGGTGCTCATAGCGGAAGCTCCTGATGGCACAGAAATGGGCAAGTCTTAGAAGCTTGTGTCAACTTGTGTCCGATAAAGTCTCTCACACCTTGGCATGATGGAATTATATGCATGAAGCCATGAAGCCTCAAGTAGTCTCGAAGAGTGGTGCTCTTGAAGTGACAGAGGCCAATCTCTCTTAAAGTTTTTGAACATGTTTGAACACAAGACAGAAGAGGAGGATGAAGTCAAGGCGGTTTTCTTGATTTTAGGTGCACAGCAAGATAATTCCCGAACAGACTTGAATCGTCATCGTACAACCCTGACACAGCTGCCAGATCTTTTTCAGGACAGATTGACAGTCCGATCGCTTGGAGCCAGTCAACAAAAATGGGGAAATGAACCTACAACTTAAAGTGACTTATGGTCATTTTATATCATTTTTTGCCATTTCGTAGGGAACATGATGATATATGATGATAAGCGGATTTTGGGGGTTTCCTAAAATTTCAGACAAACCTACTTGCCTTGGTTTGTGTTGGATCATCTTGCAGTTGCAGAATTTGATCTCGCAGGAATTGTATTTATTGACTACCTTGCAGTTTCCTGACCATTGAACTTCATGGCCATTACCATCCTTACCATCCGTTGCCGGAAGTTTTTTATGGTCCAAAGAAATTTTCCGATTTGTACAGATGCAGCCGGCAGAGATTCTTTCCGGTGATGCGGACCTTCCAATGAAGGTGATGCAGGAAGAGGATCGAAATGGCCTGGTGCTGAGGAATTTTGCCAGCGAGGCAGTTATGGCCTGGGCCAAAGAGTTCTGTGCCCTAGGTGGGGTTTGCTAAAGATGTGGGGTTAGCATGGATTATATGGCGTTATTTTAACATAGTGTTACCCCCACTAGAATAAAGGCATGTGCAAAGCATGCATTTGTGGTACAAATGTATTAATATAACATGATCTATATAGTCTATATATGATATAGGGTAATACGGTGTGTATATATATATACACACGTTTCATGGGGAAACATGATTCAACATGAACATCTCTGACAATTTCCAGGTGAACCCGTGGCAGATCAGCTCTGCTACTACGAGGGCTACAAAGCCCAGGCTGGTGAGACCTTTGAGCAGCAGCTCAAGCGGCAGCTGGTGGAGGACATGAAGGACCGGGGCCGCAGGTTGCTGCGGTTGAAGGGTGGTTCAACTTCTCCAAAAGCCATTCTTAGAAACATGAAAGGTGGAATAAGATGGATAATGTGGTTGATGTTTGGATCTAATGTACTAATGACCCCTGGTGTTTCCCATGGGATTTTTCCATGTGATTTTTCCATGGCTTTTCCCCATGGTTTTCCCCATGGTTTTCCCAGGAATTTTCCAACCACTCCAGGAGTGCGGCCAGGCATTGGCGGATGACAAGGTCGTGAAGCAAGGCACCGAGATGGCGCGCGGAAGCCCTGCGGCCGTCGAGCAGCTGCTGGAGCTGCTGACGCGTTTGATGCGGCTGCACCAGCAGTGCTGCGGGGAGGAGGACTTGCGATGGAAGGCCGGGGGAGGGACACAGATGCAGCTGGAAATCGGTGTAAACATACAAAAAACATCAAAGAACTATTGAACATGGCCATTAATGGTTGATTTACCTAGTCAAAATGGTGGATTTTCCACAGTTATCTTAGTTTACCAGAGGGTAAGACAAACCTATGATGACTGGGATATGAATTCGGATTTAAATCGTCCAAGATGGGATAGAATGAGGATTTGTTATGGGGATATATAGCAACCAACAGAGTATTTTGTTTGGGTGGAGGTTCTTCCTATTTTGTAGTTTCATCATGTTTCATCCATATTTTGGGGGTGATGATCCTCACTAAACAAAATGAGGTTCAAAGTGGTTAAGTACAGCTGGAACGCACATATCTCGTAATATCATAGATACTCGTAGTGGTACGTCTAGGTAGATACTATACAAGATTGGTCATGACTTGAAATTCAGGTAACAATGGACTCACAAAATGTGCAATGTTTCAGTCATTGCACCACCTGATCTTTTGACCAAGAAGCATCCAAGAACCATAGATGCCATAGAAATTTCAACTCATTCAGGCATATATTTTGCATTATTTTGCTCCATTTTCTTTTCAACCAACCTCCGATTTTTTTTTGGTCCACCGGTCTGTGGAGTTTGGCATCCAGGGCATGGCCAGTTATTTCTGACAGGTGAGCAGTGTTCAAAACCCCTGTTGGGTGATGATTAGTTCGGGGATTATACTCCCAAGATATTGGAGATTATAATAGTCCAATAGGGGAATCCCTATTAACCAACCAGTATAATGGAATGAACACTGCTCAGGTGAAGATCCAGATCAACCAGAACGGGGCCTGCACCAAGTTCCATGATGACTTGGTGGAGGTTCGTTTGGCCATGGCACTGACTGGTGATGGCACGGTGCTGGCGGACAATCGTCAGGCCAAAGATTTCTGGGGGGTGATGGTTTGTTAAAGGGATTATATGAAGTCATCTATGTAAATCTTGATATGTAATCTACTTATGGTTTTCCCGTTCATCCAACCGATTTCAACTGGTCCAATGAATCCAATCTGATACTGTACCCGGTACCCTATGAATCAGTAATCTTTGGGATGATGTTGGGTGAATGTTCCCTCACTCCAGGTGGATTGGGACTTCTACAAGAGTTGCGAGGGAGTGATCCCTGCGCTGCAACAGAAGCCAGATGCCAGCGCCCAGGAGGCATCTGTCATGGTCGAGGAATGGAATCAGCGCCTTTGTAAGGAGGAGTTCGTGCTGAATGCGGGTGATGTGGCTGTAATGAAGGGCGGAAAGCTCACGGATCATCCCTGCTGCCTGGAGTTTATGGAGGGGATGTGTAGAGGTGAGATGCTTTCCACCATATTTTGGGACATGTGAATATCTTTTGTTTTTTTGTGACAATTTTCCAAGGCTTACATCGCGCCCCCTACTCCGCGGGCGAAGATACGGAGCCCGTGCGGCTGCTGATCAATGTGGATCGTATCCCCCAGGACGAGCTGCAGCAGTTCATTGATATGGACTTTGGAGAAGGCCAACTGTCAGTTCATGGGGAGTTGTTACTGCCAGGCTTCATGCAGGATGATATTTTTATGAACTAGGAGCCTCAGGAGCATGAACTGGCAATTCATTTGATTATTGTAAAATAATCCATAGCCTCGGTAGATAGATTTGGATAGATTTGGTACGTTTACTTTTTTAAATAAAATCCTGTCAGAGTGTGTCTTGGATTTTGTTCAGGTGAGGAAGAGGAGGAGGTTCAGGAGGCCTCTGAGGCTCCTGCAGAGAAGGAGACTCCGGACTCATCGCTGCTGCCAGTCACGGTGCTGAGTGGTTTTTTGGGCGCAGGGAAGACCACGCTGCTGACGCACGTGTTGCAGAACCAGGAGGGTCTGCGGGTAGCAGTGGTGGTGAACGACATGGCGGAGGTGAACATCGATGGGATGCTGGTGAAGGGCACCAAGATTCTGCAGGGCCAGGATAAGATGGTGGAGATGCAAAACGGATGCATTTGCTGCACCTTGCGGGAAGACCTCATTGAAAACGTCACCAAGTTGGCCGAGGAGAAGCGTTTCGACTATTTGCTGATCGAAAGCACGGGCATCTCAGAGCCTATGCCGGTGGCCACCACCTTTGTGCACGAACATGATGGCAGAAAGCTGTTGGGCAGCGTGGCCAGGTTGGATACCTTAGTGACGGTGGTGGATGCGGTGAACTTTCTGAAAGATTACCAGAAAACCGATACCCTCCAGGATCGACAGCTGGGAGCTGAGAAGACGGACCGGAGAACCATTGCCCAACTCCTGGCGGATCAGGTGGAATGCGCCAACCTCATCCTGTTGAACAAGGTGCTGGGTGAAATATGGTGAAATTGCTGCGAAAGATTGCAGACTTAACACTTAAAGGTGCCACCAACACTGTAACACTGTTTGCTGCAAGAAAACAACATTTTGCGTTTCCCAGTTTCCCGTGTCTTAAACTTGACCCATACCCAGGTGGATTTGGTGTCCGAGTCTGATGCCAAGCACCTGGAGGGTGTTCTGAAGAAGTTGAACCCCAAGGCCAAGGTCATCCGATCCACCTACAGCAAGGTCGACCTGAAACAGCTGCTGAACACCAAGAGCTTCGACATCGAGGAGGCGGAGCAAATGCCTGGCTGGTACCAGGAGTTGCAGGGGAACCACGTGCCGGAAACTGAGGAGTATGGCATCAGCAGCCTGGTTTATCGGGAGAAGAGGCCCTTCCACCCTACCAGGTTGGACAAGTTGCTGAACAACGGCCTGGACGGCATCCTGCGCTCCAAGGGCATCCTCTACGTGGCCGGGGTGGACCGGGCCCTGGTGTGGCACCAGGCAGGTGCTGTGCTCAGCATCGATCAGGGCGCACCCTGGCAGCATGACGTAGAGGAACTGGAGCCGAGGCAGGAGGTGGTTTTCATTGGCCAGGACCTAGAGAAGAACAGCTGCTGGGTGATGGTTTTGCTATGTTTTATTATGTTATAGTTATGTAATGTTATGTAGTTATGTTTCTTTTTTTTGTGTGTGGAAATGACATTTTTTGTACTTTCCATCCAATTTCAGCCCTGAAATCATGGGATGACAATTGAGCTGCATCTTGGCCAGTTTTGAATCCCTGGGATCCCAGTTGACCCAAGTTGAGACCAGGTTTGAAGCAACGCCTGGAAAAGGCCTTGCTGACAGAGGAGGAGATGCAGCTGGGCCCAGTAGAGTGGGCCAAGTGGCCCAATACCTTCAGGCCACGAAGCGGCAAGGATCGACGGAAACGCCTGGCGAAAGCGGCGAGAGTTGTACAGAATAAGATGAAGAAACAGAAAACAGCTACCGAAGCTGCTGCATGATGTTTACTTACACATGTTGACTATATTTGACTTCTACTGAGAAGTTGGAGGGGTGGGAGTTCAGGTTGCAGGACACTTACCCTGCAACATGTGTAGCTCGGTCTGCTTTATACCGAATTTGCGCAGTGCCAATGCCCGCAAGGCGCAAGGTCGGATCCACTTCTTGTGAAGTGTTTAGGGGTGTCTTACAGTTTCACCATATTTAGCTCATTTTAATCTTGCGACGGATAAGCCGGGAACACTCCGCCAGTAGCGATGTGCCGCGCCGAAGCAAAAGGCCATGAGCCCAGCAGCAGAACTCTTTGGTAAAGAATGGAAGCCAGATATAGCAAGATGAGACAGGTACATAGTTACAATACATGTTACATAGGTAAGGAAGGGTGAGGAAAGTGTGGTCTTCCTGCGTTTTGAATATCTTTGAATCATATGACTTGGGAGTGGACGAGCTGAACTCCAACTGCTCGACAGGAGTCCATAGAGGGCCAGCCACCTGAAGAGCGGCGATCACGCTGCAGCAGCTTCTCGCTTGCTGTTTCCCAGCAGGTTCCAAGCGATATGTTGGAAGTGGGGATGGATCAAAACCTACTATTCCCTATACCATATTTGGATATATTTGGGGGGATTCGGATAACCATCCATTTATCAGCTTGTTTGGTTTTCACCAGGGTACCAGAGTTTTGACTCATAGGATTTGAGTGTGAAACAACTTTGCCATGACATCCGCCATTGAAAGAACAGGAGTTGACCAAAGATCTGAACATTTGGAATTTCCTCATACTTCGTGGCGGGTTCACGGATCATCCCTCCAGCCGAGGGTTCGCTTGTGCTGATGCTGTTGGGAAGTTCTGTCGCCAGGATGACTTTAATCAGAATATTTGCAGGTCGTCGACCAGTTCCTGGATCCCATTCTCCCAAAATCATTGCTTGGCTGAAACCAAATTATTACCCTCTGGTAATTTAACATAGCTATTGAAAATCACCATTTTTAATGGGAAAATCCACTATAGATGGCCATTTTCAATAGCTACGTTAAATTACCAGAGGGTATAGGCTTTCAACTTTCAACCCACAATGGTCTGATTGGGACAGGTCGGACAGGTCGGACAGGTCACCGAACTGCCAAGTTTCACCTGGCTGTTTTACACATGGTCCAGATGAGCGATCGCAGTGCGAGAGGTCAAAATCATCACGCGGATTCTTCGCCGGAAGAAAGGTTTGTTGAGCTGTGGTAGTTCAAATGTAGGTGTGTTGACAAAGGTAATGATTCTCCAAAATGCGGTTATAGACTTTTCTTTTTTGCTTCGAGGGCGATGTCAAATCACACGACATGACAAACTTGCTGCTCATGAACCACAAACTTGAGAATGAGCCTTCGGTTTAGCGTTTTCCGTGACTGGAAAACAAAAACTACTAAGCCATCATCTGTGACGTCAAGTTTGATATTCAAGATGTCCATTCATATCATTCATTTTTCCTGCTTTCCTCGCTTCCTTCCGCCTTCCGCCTTGTGGAGCTAGAAGATGCACTGCAACACTTGGCTCAGTCCAGCTTGAGCTTTTTCGGGAGACTCTTGAGATATGACGACATGAGTAGGTCAGTAGGTGCTTAGCTTGACTTGAATGATGCCTGGTTTATCATGGTCTCATATTGTTTCAACATGCCTTCAGACTGGCTTCATGTTCAAGATCTGCAAACATCCCAAGTTGAAGGGAGTTTCGTTGGCGTTCGTTGGGCTGCTGTTTCGCGGTGCCTTTTCTTCAGGCCCCTGCGCTCGGCAGCTCCTCTTGCCATGGCGAGCACAGCTACATACCAAGAGCTGCTCAGTTTTCCCAGATGGAGATGTGTCAATACACATACTACCAGATCTACCAGATTTGTGTCGATGATACCAACCCATGCTGCCATATTTGGAGGGATGAACATGAATGAACATCTTCGGGGACAAATACGTATCCCAGATGGGGTCCCTGAGCCAAACATCCCACGGAAAAAAGAGCTATTGGTAGCTGCTAAGATCTCTTCCGATATAGTACTCATAGGAAAGGATCATGACCCACAGCCCTAAGGTTACCAAAGCCACTGGTTTCTGATGTTCTTTTGATGTTTTTTTGTATATTTTTTTTCCTATGACCAGTGACATCTACTCCCAGGTTCCTGCCTCATGCCGCTAACGGCACCAAGCCCACGGAGCTCCTATGCGAAGTGACGGCGGGTGGTGGATTACCACCCGCGTTGCATTGCCGTGGAGCGGTGGACGACCAGCACCATGGTGCTGGGACACCGTTGGAGGGCGATGTACAAAGTAAGATCGATGGTCAACAGCCAGAGGAGACTCTGCTTCAAAAACAAGGTGAGGTTGTGGCTGAGGAAAGATACATAAAGGTACATTGATTTAGAAGTGTCTCAAGAGTTTCGATATGTGTCAATGCTATTTTGCAAAGGATGTCTTTTGTTGAGCCAGGATTTGGTAGCTCAGCATAGCTCAGCATGTTCTTCAGATTTGTTTTGCGGCCTAGACCCTCATCTCCACAGACTACATACTACAGTAGTCTTCAGTACGATTGTGCCAGCAAACTGTGAGGCTGATCTCATCAATACGATCGTTGCGCGAAATAAACACAACCCCAAAACCATCCCAAAACCATCCAAAACCATTGATGTTTTCCCAAAATGATCAGTGACTTGGTTGATTTTGGGGCCACCCATTTCAAGAACCCCTAAAAGAGGCTGAAATTTCTCATGGAACCTATGCCACATCCATGGCAGGTCCTGGAGCTGTGCAATTTCTTCTCCACGTAGATGCCGATGTCGACAGCAAGCACAGTGAGACGACTGCAGTGTACATCGCTTTACAGGACCGGGTCACAGATGTGAACCACCGAACCACCTTTTTACATCTCACTCGACAGTGCCATGATGTGCCATGATTTTCATGTATTCTGAAATTCGGAGTCCATCGCAGGCACCAGTAGCTCATAGTAGCTTTAGATATTTGATGATATTTGCTGCGTTTGCGCTCCTTGCAGTCGATCGACAAGACGGGCGGTGCATCCGCGCTGTTCCTGGCATCGAAGAATGGAATCGACAAAGCGGCGTCCCCCTTCGGCGCCCAAAGACACTCGATTGCTGATGGTCCAGGTGGATGATAAGGATCGATGATAGTTGAGAGTTGAGTAGTGGCCAGGGGCCAGGGAAAACCCTTCGACCTGTGCTTGTTGAGGAATGTTGCGGATACTTTATGACCTTCAAACCCATGGCTTTCGATACCAATACAGACCTTCGACCTCGTTGTTTGCCGTTTGCCATTCCCATACAATGCAGCACAAATTCTCTGATGCGATTTCTTGGAGACCAACTTGGCCCACAACAGGTTTGTTTCACTTTGCTTGAACAATTGGGATGTGAACAATTCCTCAAAATGATGTATTACACCTAAGCCTAACCTTTCAACTGGTGCATTCTTCAGCCGCACCTGGCAGCGTGCTGAGGTGCGAACGGAGCCGTGGACACGAAGGAGACCCCCATGTTCACCAGCCAAGGTGAGGGGTGTTTGATGTGTCCCAGGCAGCTAAAGGAGAACCTTTCGGGTGGTGAGATAATACGAGCATGATGATTGACAGTATATATAGTGGGTTTAACTATACAACAATTGTATGCAATTGTGATTTGGCCACAAAAAATTGGTGATTCAACCAACAAACTTTACTTTTTGAAGACTTGTTTGAACCTATCGCTATCGTTTTTGAATAGCATTGATCCAAAATTTGGCGATAACTCAGTATCTTTTTCAAATGGCTTTCATCGAGAAAGCAAAGTTGCTGGAGGCTACATGCACAAATTGGGGCACTTCTCATCAACTGCGCAACGGAAGTTCACTTGAAGCGTGTGTCCCCTGGATCTGCCCGGTGCAAGGTGGTCATACAGCGGTGCAGCATCTTCAAGCAGATGGAGATGTCAACCAAGGCGATAAAGATACGACCCCTTGGGACCGAGCTGTCCAGGAACAGCACGAGCAGCACACTGACGTGTTCAGACAGTTGCTGGATGCGCAAGCTGATGGGAATCCACAAGATGTGAACAGGGCCATGCCACTCTTCACCACCTTTCAGAGCCTTGGGCATAATGGGTCCGGAGCGGCCTCGAAACACAGTTTGCCGAAACATCACCACGTAATTTCAGGACAAATTGGTGGCACGATCTGTACGTTGATGAACCTTTCATAACCTTTCTAAACCTGGCCTCGATTAGCTGTGGATTTGCACCAAGGAAAGGCTTCAACGACACTGTGAAGGAAATCTTTGAGAACATCGATCCCAAGATGTCCATCGGGATCAAGGTGCCTGAGACGAAATGGCTATCCGAAAATTCAGGGAGCCAATACCCTGCACTTTTGCAGTGTCGGAAAATTCAGAAAACTATATAATATAACATCTAATAACGGCCTGCATATTTCCATGACCAGTTTCAGTACCAACACTTATTGGGGGCCCAAAGCTCCGCACGTTTCGTTTGTTTTCGTTTTGTATTTCTGCACGCTAGGAATCTGAGGCAATCGATCTTAGATTTAGGGAGAAGTCAACTAGGTCGCGCATTTTAGCTTGGAATTGAATCTATGTTTTGCTGAAAAGCCCCAGAATTTTGTGCAGGAACTATGCCAGCCTACTTCCTCACATTCGCAAGTAGTCAGCCCCCAGAAGTATTTTTAGTTCGACACATGTCCGACACGAACCCCGAAGCACATCCACCACAGAAGGTTTGAGAAGTTGGCAGTGACCAAAACCTTTTCACTGCATGGTTATACCAAGTTATACCATGTTATACCACTACCTATATAGTTTCATGCTGTTTAATTCGATCATATGGGATGATTATGACATATTCTGACTCATTCTGACGGCTTGTCACATCAGCTTGCGCAAGGTCGATGACTCGCTGGAAGCAAGTCTGGATGTGAAGAAGGCAACGTGCCTCGAACGTGTGGAGGTGGGGCAGAATGCTATGATTTTTGATATGCTGAGACCTCCGACTTTGTGTGGATCCATGCCTATGATGTTGGTCTAGGTACTGGAATAAGCGCGTTTCCATATTATATTATGATTTATCATGTTGATCCTTACTTTCCTTTCATTTCTATGCTGGATCCACCTGAGCCTCTCCAAAGAGACAGGAACTGTGGTTGCCAAGCTTTGAATCAAGTCACTCGAGTACAAGAACTGACCAGGTCGCGGCAGAAAGTGGGAAAACCACACAGCTGAAGGCAGCCAAAGGGGAGTGGTCTCGGTCTCATGCACTTCACACTTCATTGTTGAATTTTGCTGGGAAACGATCCAGGCTTTCCTTTCCCATTTTTAGGACACGCCTTTGAAGCCTGTCAAGTAGCTGATTGTGGAAAGGTAATGCTGCAGCTATGCAGACATGATCAGACATGGCTTGGTCGCAGAATCAAATGTGGAAGGGAGCCGATTTTGTACCTTGGTAAAAGATGATTGCAGTCGACTTTTATCACTCAGATCGTTCAGGCAGGATAAAGCCAGCAGTGGGATCATACTAGCAATATGATTTGCATTGATTTGCAATCATCGGGAATCTAAATCCATCTATAAGTCCCAGTGCATTCCAGGTCATTCCGATAGCACCTTTTTCCTTTCCAATCCAACACTTGATGAACCATTCGCACTCTGGGATTCCGCTGGAGGCCGATGACTCCGACTCCAGTGACCTTGGGCCTTTTGAAGCAGATGAGAAAGATGTAAAGCGCGAGGAACGCAACTTCCACGTGCCTCTTCAGGCTGGTTTACCATGGTTTACCACGGTTTACCTGGTTTTGGGGTGTACTTGGGGTGTATATATGGGTGATTATGGGTGTATCATCTTAACTTTCGCGTTCAGGCTGGTTTTTGGGCTTGGTGACCTTACTCTTGGGCTGACAAAAAAACAGCAATTCTTTGCTAAGTGGTTCTGGTGCTTCAGGCCGCAAGTTGTGAAGATACGGAAGACCCCTTTGCCGCTGCCATGGGTGGGCAAAGTGTGAGCTCTCCAAATGACGAGGCCTGAGAAATTCTTGGGGACGGGAGCCAGTAGCAAGGACAGCATGCTAACTACACGTTGGGCCAAACAAAACATAAGAGAAACATAGAGAAACCAAAAGGCTATGTGCCAAGAAATTCTTGCCGAATTTGCTGAAATTTGTCTCCGACTCCACTGCTGTCAGTGGTCTCCAGATCCGTTTCATTTTTAGTGAACATAGTGAACTTATCAATGAAAATCAAATATATATCAAATATTTTCATCCAGATCTAGATACTGTACCCATTCTTGCACACGGCCGTGTTTTGGTGGGTACTACTTGGGTGTAGAACCCTTTTTCAGACAGACCGTGACAGACCCCAACTTATTTTGCTGTCCTTGTTTGGACTTTTTGGCATCCAGAGCCACGCGCGGAAAAGTTGGGGATCGACGCATCTGGTCCCAGGTAACGTCCTCGACAACACCACTTGGGTGTTGCGACGAGGAGCCAGGGGTTGGGGTGGTCATTGTTAGGTGGCCAGCTACCAAGAAAGGGCTGGTTCACTATCCTTGAAAAATGATCCAGGCAATTCAAACAATTGGTAATCTGATTCATCTGTGTCTTGGAGCGACCAACATTTTGATTGGGTTTTCTTGGCAACGTACCGGCTTAGCGGTCAGCCCGAGGGCCTGCTGCTTGCACTTGCATATCAATCTATGACGTCTAGGTGTGTCCGTTTGCTGGTGGATCAGCCACCACTTTCAAGAGGCACAGCGCTTGGATCTTTCCGAACCCTTCCGAACTGGGCTGTATGAATTCATTAGAGGGTTCCTTAGTCCTTGGGGGATTCCCAAGTCACCATGGGTGTTTCAATACCAAAACGATCTAATTTGGATGATTATGGGGTAACCCCCATGACTTAGGACACAGGGATGATATCCGCACTGCCTGAGTTGCTTCCCAGCTGCCAGGAGACCTGGCCTCCAGATTTTGTGACCCACTCTTGTTCTGCAGACGCCTCTGCGTCAGTTACAGACATTTATTGCCAGGCTTTACCGCACTAAGGACAGTATAGTGCAATGACATGCATTTAAAGATCTTGCTCCCTGGAGCCAAAGCATGATCTATCCAATTAGTTCTTTCGGACTCTGCCGGATATCTAGAACAACCAGTTTCTGATGGTTGGGCAGGCCTTGTACACATTGCTGGCCGAACTGCTCCCAACCAGTGGTTTTCAGATTTCAGGAAAGAGGCATGTTCGATTTTGACTGCAAAGTGATTGGAACAAACTGAGCACTTGGTATGTTGCACAGTTGCCTCGACCCTGACTGATTCCTTTCAGAAGCGACCAACTGCAGACTGAGACATGCAGAGTCGCCCCTAGACCCTTTTTCTATCGCAGGCAGGTTCTACCTGTAAGTGGGGGGACAGATTACAGTTTACATCTTACTTATCGAGGGTCACAACATGTTGGAACATGATATGATTTGTTGTAAGTGTTAATAATATAACTGATGATTGGCATGTCATAACCCCACTTTCAAGTAGCTAGGTTGCCTGTCGCTCGAACTTCTTATGACTATCTGCTCTAGGCTCTGAGTTCATCAGAGTGCTGAAAAGGTCCGTGTGTGAAAGTTGTCGTTGGTCTCCGTTGCAGCTATCACTTGGCCACCAGGGATCATGGGGGGCTGCAAAACTGGGTGCCATGCGGTGGAAGATATCATGTCTGTGAGATGTTAGATCCAAAAAGTCCACAACATTTTGGCCAAAGAACAGCACCAAGTCGGAACGCCAGATGGGACAGAGCAAAATGAAGCTTCATTTTATGCAAATCAAATGAATTCTAGGTGTGAAATGGTGTGAAGATTTCAACTTCAAAGAATTTCCAACACGTGTTCTTCACTTCTGGAGCCACTCAACAGTATCCCGTTGAGAGTCGGAATTCGGCTTCATGGCCTCGGGGTCCTGTGACCTGCCGGGTTGAAGTGCAGGCACTGTGGGAAGCGACATGGTACCTGTTTCTATTGTTTGGCTGATGCGTGAATCGACACTGCAAGGCATTTGTTGAACACTGCAAATTCTCCAAATGGAAATGTGTCGTTTTTTGGGGGGTTCCATACGTGTTGAGTATCTATCCAGATTTGGGATTACCCTTCACCAACCTGATATTTCTGGGATAGATGATAAAGCCGAAACTAGCGAGATTGCAAGTAGTCCCTCCTGGGTGCAACCGATGAAGGCAACATCGGTAGTGTTCTCAATCCTCAGCAGGACAGGATGCAAGGAAGGTGTACGAGAAAAGGGCAACAGCCCCCAGGTTTTCTTTGACCAAAACATTCTGTTCATGACCAGCCGCTGGAGGAGTTTGGGAAATTTCTGCCCCTTGGATTAAATAAAGTGGTTGGTTCCATGAATGACCGCTGTCCGAATGACTCCCCCCTGTGTGATTTGATCCCCTTGGGGTTGACAGACCAGATGGTGGTTTTCATGGGTTTCTTCGAAAATAGGCTGCCCCCAAAATGGATAGTTTCTCAATGTTTATCAGATTCATCAGCATTTTCCTTGTCAAACTATCACCATTTTTCCTGTTTAGTAGCCAAGTTATCATCGGATCCCCCATTTTCAGATCCACCCTGTAATGCAACATGAGCCACCACTGCACCATGACCTCGAGGCGTAAAGGAGAGAAGCTCTCTGACGCCGCGGGCGACGAATACATGGGCCTCGGGCCTGGAATGCGATGCGAAGCCACCGAACATGGCAACAGAAAATCCCTTGAGGTTATCAATCCATCTATGGATGTTTGAGAAAATCCATATATGGCAAAATCCATCCAAATATCATCCCTTGAGTGTTTGGAATCCCAAATATGATGTTGTATGCATCTATAGATGGATTTTCCAATCAGAATACTGGGGAGATGAAGCCACAAGAATGATCCAAAGTGGAGACGTGGTTGATGTCAGTTACCAGACATTGTGGGCATATGAACCAGCCAAAATGGGGATTTGACCATCATATTATTCATGATCAATATGATAGGGGGAATATGTGCAGAGATGAACCGAGGCTGGGGAATTGTTTGCGAAAGCCACGGAATTTGAGGAGTTCCGGGGGGAGTGGGGGTGTCGAGCAGCGAGAACATGGATGAGCGGTTCAAAACGGCAGCAGCGGAGTGTTGCCTGCAGAAACATCATTGGTGTCACTCTTGAGTAGGTATAGTATTCAACATGCAGATGTGCAGTTTGGTGGATGTTGCAGTTGAGCAACCCCCGCAGTTTGTGCTGTTGTCGCCACTTACGGTAAAACTACCTTACGGTGTACAGATGCAGCAAATCCTGTTTGCGCAGCTTTTGGAAGGTGTTCAGGTCACGTTGCACCTTGAATTGCATGTTCCATTATTGTTCTTTTCTAATTCTAGGCATTTTTCCAGGATTCATGGGTCCTTGTGGTTTGTCAACAGAGTGCTCCTGAAGAAACTCTAGACGAAAGAACTGGGCCACATACTGCTTCAATTCATTTTGGTTCCAAAATTGCGAGATTCCTGTCAACTTGGTGAAAGATCAGATCATAGATATCATATCAGTGAAGTCAACAGAAACAAGTTTCACCTAGGCGCCATGGCAGCCATGTTGGAGTCACCCAGTGCTCGGGTGAACCAGCGAGTGCCACTGAGATGGCGGAGCCTGAGCTTTCTATCCCAGAGCAGATGCCTGCTGAATTTTGAGTCTGCAACTGTCCTTTTTCCAGTAATGTGAAAAAGGTTTGCATGTCGTGCTATCATTCTGAAGTCTTGCGGTTCTTTAAAAGCTCAAAATGCAACTAGAGACATCCTGTCTACAGATCCCAATTCACACCTCATTAATCCTGCCTTGAGCGAAGAAGCAATTCCTCACGTACAGTGATTATCTTTACATCTGATCTGGTGCTAAATCAGCTCAGGATTGTGACCAAGTTCAATATGATTTCGATTCTTGCCGCCCAGACACAAGAAGAAGAAGCAGCTGATTTGTGGGTTGATGCAGCTGCAATTCGGAAGAAGGCAAATGAAATCCTGTCACTGCTCAGTACTATCCCAGAAGAAGAGGTAGACGTGCAGGACAGGTGACACTTGTGGGTGGGTGGCAGCTGAGGATCAAAGACGGAAAATTTCAGACACAGCTTGATTGTTGTCAGCAGATGGTTGCAGTCGAGTCTGTAGTACTTTATTCTTTTGTCATGTCATCTCTTGTCCATGCATTCTCATTGCCCAGCATGACTGCCTTGAAAAGTTTGACATGTGGCTGAGCCAGAATCTTCCAAGGACCAGGAGCTCCAGATCAACGATCCTAGCACTTTATTAAGTCTTTTTGCAGCAGTGTTCGACTGTGCGCGGGCCATGGCGACGCCGGATGCGCATCGGAACTGGCGATCAGCTTGCGGAGCAATCGTTTGGGCTGCTCGGAGGGCTGAGGAGCTGCTACAGCCATGGCTGCTGGTAGAAGTGGTCCCTGAGGAGTCCGATGTATTCACACATCTTACGGCAAGATCTCATCCAAGGGCCCCAATTGAGGATGGTGTCACAGTCACAGCGCTGACATGGAGTGTGACAGACGAGACCTGGACACAAGATGCAGAGGCTTTTCACTTTCCAGACTTTCCAGATGCCATTGCTGCCGGGGAAACAGAAGCAAAACTGCAATCCTTGGAGCACCAACTGCTGGAGTTGCAGAACACATACAAAAGTCAAAAAGATCCCGAAATTGCCTTGACACTGCACGCACTAGGCAATGTGAGTCTTAGGGTTGGAGATCTCGAGCAAGCGAAGCAACACTTTGATGAGTCCTTGCGAATGAAGCGCTCCTTGTATGGGGGCATGGATCACCCTGACATTGCCGCGACACTGCATGCACTAGGCAATGTGTGTGTGCAGGCTGGAGATCTCAGGCAAGCCAAGCAAATCTTTGATCAGTCCTTGCAAATGAATCGCTCCTTGCATGGGGACAGGGATCACCCTGACATTGCTGTGACACTGCTTGCGCTAGGCAATGTGAGTCTGAGGGTTGGAGATCTCAAGCAAGCAACGCAGAACTTCCATGAGTCCTTGCGAATGGAGCGCTCCTTGCATGGGGACAGGGATCACCCTGGCATTGCTGCAACACTGCATGAGCTAGGCACTGTGACTCGGAAGGCTGGAGATCTCAAGCAAGCGAAGCAGCACTATGATGAGTCCTTGCGAATGAAGCGCTCCTTGCATGGGGACAGGGATCACCCTGACATTGCTGCAACACTGCATGAGCTAGGCACTCTGAGTCGGCAGGCTGGAGATCTCAAGCAAGCGAAGCAGCACTATGATGAGTCCTTGCGAATGATGCGCTCCTTGTATGGGGACAGGGATCACCCTGACATTGCCGCGACACTGCATGCACTAGGCAATGTGTGTGTGCAGGCTGGAGATCTCAGGCAAGCGAAGCAAAACTTTGATGAGTCCTTGCGAATGATGCGCTCCTTGCATGGGGACAGGGATCGCCCTGACATCGCTGCAACACTGCATGAGCTAGGCACTGTGACTCGGCGGGCTGGAGATCTCAAGCAAGCGAAGCAGCACTATGATGAGTCCTTGCGAATGAAGCGCTCCTTGCATGGGGACAGGGATCACCCTGGCATTGTTGCAACACTGCATGAGCTAGGCACTGTGAGTCGGCAGGCTGGAGATCTCAAGCAAGCGAAGCAGCACTATGATGAGTCCTTGCGAATGAAGCGCTCCTTGCATGGGGACAGGGATCACCCTGGCATTGTTGCAACACTGCATGAGCTAGGCACTGTGAGTCGGCAGGCTGGAGATCTCAAGCAAGCGAAGCAGCACTATGATGAGTCCTTGCGAATGAAGCGCTCCTTGCATGGGGACAGGGATCACCCTGGCATTGTTGCAACACTGCATGAGCTAGGCACTCTGAGTCGGCAGGCTGGAGATCTCACCCAAGCGAAGCAGCACTATGATGAGTCCTTGCGAATGATGCGCTCCTTGTATGGGGACAGGGATCACCCTGACATCGCTGCAACACTGCATGAGCTAGGCACTGTGAGTCGGGAGGCTGGAGATCTCAAGCAAGCGAAGCAGCACTATGATGAGTCCTTGCGAATGAAGCGCTCCTTGCATGGGGACAGGGATCACCCTGACATTGCTGTGACACTGCTTGCGCTAGGCATTGTGAGTCTGAGGGTTGGAGATCTCAAGCAAGCAACGCAGAACTTCGATGAGTCCTTGCGAATGAAGCGCTCCTTGCATGGGGACCGGGATCACCCTGACATCGCTGCAACACTGCATGAGCTAGGCACTCTGAGTCGGCAGGCTGGAGATCTCACTCAAGCGAAGCAGCACTATGATGAGTCCTTGCGAATGAAGCGCTCCTTGTATGGGGACAGGGATCACCCTGTCATCGCTGCAACACTGCATGAGCTAGGCACTGTGACTCGGCAGGCTGGAGATCTCAAGCAAGTGAAGCAGCACTATGGTGAGTCCTTGCAAATGAATTGCTCCTTGCATGGGGACAGGGATCAGGCTGACATTGCTGCAACACTGCATGAGCTAGGCACTGTGACTCGGCGGGCTGGAGATCTCAAGCAAGCGAAGCAGCACTATGATGAGTCCTTGCGAATGAAGCGCTCCTTGCATGGGGACAGGGATCACCCTGACATTGCTGTGACACTGCTTGAGCTAGGCAATGTGAGTCTGAGGGTTGGAGATCTCAAGCAAGCGAAGCAGCACTATGATGAGTCCTTGCGAATGATGCGCTCCTTGCATGGGGACAGGGATCACCCTGACATCGCTGCAACACTGCATGAGCTAGGCATTGTGACTCGGCAGGCTGGAGATCTCAAGCAAGCGAAGCAGCACTATGATGAGTCCTTGCGAATGAAGCGCTCCTTGCATGGGGACAGGGATCACCCTGACATCGCTGCAACACTGCATGAGCTAGGCACTATGACTCGGCAGGCTGGAGATCTCAAGCAAGCGAAGCAGCACTATGATGAGTCCTTGCGAATGAAGCGCTCCTTGCATGGGGACAGGGATCACCCTGACATTGCTGCGACACTGCTTGAGCTAGGCAATCTGAGTGTGGCAGGCTGGAGGTCTCAAGCAAGTGAAGCAGCACTATGGTGAGTCCTTGCGAATGATGCGCTCCTTGCATGGGGACAGGGATCACCCTGACATCGCGGCAACACTGCATGGGCTAGGCATTGTGACTCGGCGGGCTGGAGATCTCAAGCAAGCGAAGCAGCACTATGATGAGTCCTTGCGAATGAAGCGCTCCTTGCATGGGGACAGGGATCACCCTGACATTGCTGTGACACTGCTTGAGCTAGGCAATGTGAGTCTGAGGGTTGGAGATCTCAAGCAAGCGAAGCAGAACTTCGATGAGTCCTTGCGAATGATGCGCTCCTTGCATGGGGACAGGGATCACCCTGACATCGCTGCAACACTGCATGAGCTAGGAACTGTGACTCGGCAGGCTGGAGATCTCAAGCAAGCGAAGCAGCACTATGATGAGTCCTTGCGAATGAAGCGCTCCTTGTATGGGGACAGGGATCACCCTGTCATCGCTGCAACACTGCATGAGCTAGGCACTGTGACTCGGCAGGCTGGAGATCTCAAGCAAGCGAAGCAGCACTATGATGAGTCCTTGCGAATGAAGCGCTCCTTGCATGGGGACAGGGATCACCCTGGCATTGTTGCAACACTGCTTGAGCTAGGCACTCTGAGTCGGCAGGCTGGAGGTCTCAAGCAAGCGAAGCAGCACTATGATGAGTCCTTGCGAATGATGCGCTCCTTGCATGGGGACAGGGATCACCCTGACATCGCTGCAACACTGCATGAGCTAGGCATTGTGAGTTGGGAGGCTGGAGATCTCAAGCAAGCGAAGCAGCACTATGAAGAGTCCTTGCGAATGATGCGCTCCTTGCATGGGGACAGGGATCACCCTGACATTGCTGCAACACTGCATGCACTAGGCAATGTGTGTGTGCAGGCTGGAGATCTCAGGCAAGCGAAGCAAAACTTTGATGAGTCCTTGCAAATGAATCGCTCCTTGCATGGGGACAGGGATCGCCCTGACATGGCTGCAACACTGCATGAGCTAGGCACTGTGACTCGGCAGGCTGGAGATCTCAAGCAAGCGAAGCATCACTATGATGAGTCCTTGCGAATGATGCGCTCCTTGCATGGGGACAGGGATCACCCTGACATTGTTGCAACACTGCATGAGCTAGGCACTCTGAGTCGGCAGGCTGGAGATCTCAAGCAAGCGAAGCAGAACTTCGATGAGTCCTTGCGAATGATGCGCTCCTTGCATGGGGACAGGGATCACCCTGTCATCGCCGCAACACTGCATGAGCTAGGCACTGTGACTCGGCAGGCTGGAGATCTCAAGCAAGCGAAGCAGCACTATGATGAGTCCTTGCGAATGAAGCGCTCCTGGCATGGGGACAGGGATCACCCTGACATCGCTGCAACACTGCATGAGCTAGGCACTGTGACTCGGCAGGCTGGAGATCTCAAGCAAGCGAAGCAGCACTATGATGAGTCCTTGCGAATGATGCGCTCCTTGCATGGGGACAGGGATCACCCTGACATCGCTGCAACACTGCATGAGCTAGGCATTGTGAGTTGGGAGGCTGGAGATCTCAAGCAAGCGAAGCAGCACTATGATGAGTCCTTGCGAATGAAGCGCTCCTTGCATGGGGACAGGGATCACCCTGACATCGCTGCAACACTGCACGAGCTAGGCACTGTGACTCGGCAGGCTGGAGATCTCAAGCAAGCGAAGCAGCACTATGATGAGTCCTTGCGAATGAAGCGCTCCTTGCATGGGGACAGGGATCACCCTGACATTGCTGCAATACTGGATGAGCTAGGCACTGTGACTCGGCAGGCTGGAGATCTCAAGCAAGCGAAGCAGCACTATGATGAGTCCTTGCGAATGAAGCGGGGACAGGGATCACCCTGACATCGCTGCAACACTGCATGAGCTAGGCACTGTGACTCGGCAGGTTGGATATTCAAGTCAGGGAGACGGACTTTGATACTGGACCTTTTACATTGCGCACACTAATATGAACACGACAATGTTCCCCCCGGATACATAGAAGATTATATTCGAATTGTAATATAGATATTTAAACGTTGAAATCATCTTCCTGTAACTAAAATGAACGGGTCCCAAATGGACACCATAGTGTGGCTTCGTGTAAAAAATCAATCCGGCCACGTCCAAGTTTATGGAAACTTACAATTTTCTCAACATATCTCAGTGAACATGGACGCAATTTCTCATTATTAATTATTGATGCCGAGAGTTCAAAGATCTCATTAATTGTTCATAAGCCTTGCGATAATTTAGATGCATACAACGTACTCGGATTGATGTGTTGAATATCACTACTAATGTTCGTCATGTTCCCATCTTTGTTCATTAAAGCATGCTTTCCGGTGAGAACACATAGAACTGCCCCAAGAAGGAGTCAGTATCCCAGCCTGAAGCTATGTCGCTGTGATGAGTTTGCCCCTGTAGCACATCGCCCAAACTCTGATATTCAAATCCAGTTTCATGGTAAATGGTGACCTGGCAACGCTTCCCACGTGGGTGGGTGTCGAAAAGGTCTCCCTCAGAAATTGGCTGGTCAAACAACAGGGAGGTCGTGATTGCAACAAGGCAACAAGATGGCCTTGCGCCCCAACTTGTTTACAAAAACTCGAAAGCGACTGAGAAGTCGCGATGGCAGCACCGCAATGCAACAATGATTTTGGCATGAGAAACTTTGAACTTCATGAAATCGTTTGAGAAATGCTGAAGAAATAGAGTTTGGTAGAACAGTCATCCGGTTATGCCAGAGATTGCCTTTGAATGCTTCTGAGGCACTGCCCATTCCAAGAAGTTTTCGGGATGGCTTTCCTCTGGAGTTTGATCCAAAGAACCTTTTTCCTTTCTGGGTGCTGCAGAACGGTTCCTGCTTGGTGCATGCCGAGCGTCCTTTCTGGGTGCATGCCTTTACAGATCCAAAGAACCATCAGAATGGCTGCCAGCCATTTTATTGAAAAGAACGCTTTGCACAGCTCGCTCTGCAGGGAAAAGTCATGTCGCTACTGTCGTAGGTGCTGAAATCCCAAAGTGAATGCAAGGTGAATGCACAGGCGGAATGGCACGGGAAAGGCACTTCGGCATTGCTACAGAGCCAGTACCATTAGTTGACACCCCTGAAGTGAAGAGTCAAGTCTGGTGCCACTCAGATTATGATGCCCAACAATCTTGTGCTGAACTTGTGAATGTATGCCAATTGGCCATGTTGCCAAGCCTGGCTCAGGTTGACCCATGAAGTTCCGCGAATTTTTAAATACTGTAGCCATGTTACATTCCGCAAGACTTTTTTCCTATCGCGATCAACACATACTATGGCTTTTATCGAACACTTATTTTCTTACAGGATCTTACAAATATAGATAGAATTGGACCTCATTTTGATGGACAGGCACACATGCACATCACTGTGACCAGAGTTTGCCTTGCCTCCTGTGGGCCTTAGATCAGGCTTGCTGGCCAAGATTCAACGGACTTGCTTGTCAGTTGAAGAAACCCGTCACCAAGTCTTTGCCGCTACTGGTAGATTTATTAAGAGTGGTTGGTCATACTTAGCTTGCGCAGAATCAGGCAGTGCATTTCCGTCTTAGCTCAACACAGATTATCAAATGTGCTATTCTCAAGATTTGTATTTTTTTTCCTACAGGTATTGTAATCCATGGTTGGGCGACGACCCCCTTGTAGAAAATCATAGAACATCTGCTGTGTATAAAATCCAAAATCGATCAAAATCGGAGATTCGATGATCATTCCCATTCCTGAGCAATATTTTGACCCCGGCTCAGAAGACATCGACCCAGTCTCCAGGCAAAAGCCATGTCAAAAGCCTCGTCCGAGGGCCAGGCGACAGAGTCTTCCGATGCAGATAGCTTCGAGTGTTACGACCCGATGGCCTGCGCAAAAGCCACGAAGGCGCCGGGGGCGCACAAATCAAGACGCTGAGATTCTTGCAGGAGTTTCCCAGAGACGACTCCAGGGTTTAAACGTCTTTGATTATGGCCGAGGTTGAATGGTGCTCAACATTGAAAATTCTAGAATTATGCCTTTGAGTTGAATAGTACAGTATGATGGGTAACGAGTCTTTCAGCAAGTTTTCTTGGAAAGTTGCAAGACAGGTTCCTCGGAAACTTCTGGGAAAACTTCTCGCCACTTCAATTTGCCCCTCACAAGGGAATGCTACATTTGTGGGCAATTGGTATTGTACGGAGCTGGGCCATATCCACACTGTATGTTTTTGGGAACAATCATGTCTCCAGTAGAAAACAGCATTGCGTCTCATGAAGAGATTTTCCTGTGGACACGTCCAAAGTGAGTCAAGAGGTCATGCCCTTTTGGCGAACGCAACAGGAAATGATATGGGCTTTTGCGAACAAGATTCTCATAAAACCAAAGCCTAACCAACCTCTAACCACTTCTGATGAGAAATTCTGGATGACACAGTCCAGAAACTGGTTTGATCCTGACAGACACCTTCACAGACCATCCCGTTGCGAAGGAGAAGAAGCGGCGTGGGCGAAAAACTCCTTCAGCAGGGTGTCTAGCTGTCGTGGATTGCATGTGCAAGAAAACGGACCTCTTTGCGAAACAATGGACAGAGCTACAGAGGCTCATTGCAAATTCCGAGAATGCACGTAGATTGTCAGAGGAGATCAAGGTTTTCTATGGCCAGATGGACCAGAAAGCAGACAGGAAGAGACAGGAACTGCAGGAACTAGACCAAGCCCATCCTCCACACGAAAAGGAAAATGCAGCAGGTGTGAAAGCCACCTTAAAAGAGAAAGAAGATTTGCAAAAAAGCCTGGTTCTGACTATACGGAAGATTTGCGAATGTGCCAAAGGTGTATCAGATGAAGATGATGAAGAGAAATGTAGGCGTGCTGCAGAGTTTGTCGAAGAGGTACTTAGCGAGTTCAAACGGATGCACTTCGCAGCCTTGGCCTTTGTGCAAAGGTGCTTTCTTTATGCATGTCCAAAACTCTGGAGCGACAGGGAAGCAGTCATGGCAGCGGTCCAACAAGATGGCCTTGCACTGCAAATGGCTCCCGGCGAACTCAAAAACAACCAGGAGGTCGTGATCGCAGCGGTGAGAAACAACAGCCTTGCGTGGCAATTTGCTTCGAATGAGCTCCTGAGTGACGTGGAGGTTGAGATGGCAGTCCACGACAATGACGTCCAGTCACTGGAAAATTCACCCGAGTGGTTTTTCACGAATACTCTGCAGTCCAACGACATGCGCTTCGCCATAGATATCCATCGCAACCATGTTGATCTTTGCAACTCGACTTCCTTGGCTGAGCTGCTGGACAAGTCCTCGAATCTGGAGCAGGCGCATCCTTTCCTGTTTCCTGGGTGGGGTGGATCCTTCTTTGTAGGCACAAATGTTCAAACGTCCAATGGTTTTGCATGCTCCGCAGTCAGGGATGAGCCAGATGCTGCTCGAGTTTTGCCTTGTAGACCTTTCCATTTTCAGGGCAGACAGAAATTCCGCGACACATTCGAACAATGTTGAAACCTAAGCGAGCTAAATTTTGTGGGTCGTTCGCCGAAACTTTTCCGTTTTTAGGAAGACACTGGTTGATACTCCACTTCTGGTGCAGCGAGTTTGTCGTTCCAGGGTTGATTAGACAGGTCTTCGCCCGGCAGCACTCATGCTGACAGGGTCAACAGGGTGTGTGCCCCCCCGATTCCGTAGCATCTTTATGCATATTTTGGAAACGGGTGACTTGTGTGTCTCCTACTCTCAAGCAGACCCGTGTCTTGTGAGGGTGTCTAGCTCCAGTTTTGCCAACCAATCAGGGAGGCCTTGATCTCCGCTGTTAATGGCTCCACACTTTGCATTCAGTGATGTTCACCGTTCTCGCAGGCGTTGAAGCTGCTTGAGGAAATGGAAAAGTCTGCTGAAGGCGATCCCAGGCTCCAGACAAGGAGACAGCAGCAAGGAGACGATCCGTATTCCTTGAAGGAGTTGCTTGGCATTCAAGTCAGTGATGGCGGTTCTATTATTAGGATTCACTTGGGATGTGTAGTTGATCAGACACGGCCTACACATATGAAATCGGTAAGACTCCTCAAGGCTGGAAGAAGACAGCTCTTTCTAGACGTTGTCGGTCTTAGCTTACTGGCCCCGCTGCACCGTTACGTATTGCTACTCGCTTTAAAACCGGTAAACGATGGTAAACGTATGTCTATATATATATATATATTATGCAATTTCTGCAGTGATCAATTGGATCATTCACGTCAGATCACCTCAGTTCGCCCGACGCTCAGATCTTGCAAGGTTCAAAGGAAAACAAGCGTTGGGATCCGACAGGTCGCTGGGCCACCAGCCATCTCTTGCATAGCCCATAGCTTCCAAGGGACTTTTCAAGCCATTGGGCAATTCGAAGGCTGCTACCACTTGCATGGTAGCGGAGCCTACCATAGGCTCACGGTTTTTGTCTAGCTCTTAGGTGCCTAGCCTCTAGGAGCAATGGTGGAAAGGATCGAGCGAAACAAGGAAGGGGTACCATGCTGGGATGGATCGTCAGCGACGTTCCAAGAGTACTCAGAGGTTGCAGAGCACTGGGAACAGACGATTCCCTACCACAAGAGGTATCTTTGTGGTCCAAAGCTCCTGAATGAGCTGTCAGGGACTGCAAAGAGGTTCGTGATGTCCAAGCGGCCAGGCTGGGTGTCGCACTCAGGAGGGGTTCAGACCTTGCTGAACCATCTGAGACAACATCTAGGACTACCACAACTTGCCGAGATGTCAGACTTCTTGGCCAAGTACTTCAAGCAGAGCCGCAGGAAGAAGAGCGAATCCATGAACGAGTACATCACCCGGAAAGCAGAGTTGTATGGGCGAGCTGAGTCCACACTGAGCCGCGCCCAGGAACACTACCAGCCAAGGACTTCCAGAGGAACGTCCCGGGGTGCCTCCTCTACAAGTGAACGACCTCGTTTTGAGGCCATCCAGGAAGAAGCAGACTCCGAAGTTCTGAATCCTGATGGAGCCCCATCTAGTGGGGAAGGAGCTGAAGATCCAGGGGAAACCGAAGATGCCAGGAGCCAGACCAGCTGGTCCGGATGGCAGGATTGGAACTACAGACGATGGGAAGAAGAAGATTGGGACTACTGGTCATGGAACAGATCCCAGGACTATGAAGGATCAGCTACATGGTCGACTCCCACCGTCAAGCTACTTCCTGAGTTCGTACAAGGGTGGCTTCTCCTGCAAGATGCAGGACTCGAGGTGAGCGAGCGCAACATGATCCTCGCAGCCATCAAAGGCGACTTTCGCCTTGAGAGGGTTGCTCAAGAGCTTAGAAACCAATGGAATGATGAAGACTTGCGAAGACGTGATCAACATGGAAAAGGAACTGCATGGATGACACAGGGTGATGAGTCTCCTGATGATGATGAGGAGGGCATGGATTGGGCCAATCTTGCTCTGGCCGGTCTGAATGCTGAGGGTATGGCATTGATGGCCGATGCAGAGTCTGAGGCTCTGTCAGCCTTAGCCTTGATCGACCAGGGACGCCGCACTTTGAAAGATGCCCGTTCCAGGCAGAAGTTCGTCAAGTTGAGTCGCCAATACTATGGTCAGAAGTCCTTCAAGGGTTCTGGGAAAGGCAGCATGCATGTGAAAAATGAGCAAGGAAACAACCATACTCCGAAGTGCTTGAGCTGTGGAGGGAACCACAAGACCTCAGAGTGCCCTCGAAAACCCCAAGCACAAGCAGCTGAAGTTCAAGAACATGCTCCCTTCATCTGCATGACCGACCAGGTGTTAAACACTGAGGACATGGACCAGAACTTGGCTACGACTCACCAAGCCATGACTGAGGGTAAAGCTGTGATCGACGGTGGTGCTACCCGCAATTTGGGATCTGTCACGGCCTTGGAGACCCTGATGAACATCAATGCCAAAGAACACGGTGATGATGGCGTCGCAGATCATGGCCGAAGGCCGTGAAGGTCACTTGAAGGTACATACCTTAGATCGTGGTGAGGGCCCCATTTTGTTCAGTATAGAAACTTTGAGGTCCTTAGGTGCCATCATCGACTTTGAACATGATTTGATCGTTTTTCGCAAGCTGTCGGATGAACGCGTAATTCAGCTGGAAAGATCCAGCTCCGGACACCAGTTGCTTCCACTGACCAAAGACTGGTATCGCGAGTCGCAGAAGACCTCGACTCGTGTGCCCAGCCTCAAAGATTTCCTGTAGGGACATCTCCTCCCGGATTCCACGTCTGCTGGGAAAAGGGAGGTCAGTAGTTCTAGTGCAGGCAGGTTTTTCTCAGTGAAAGGACTTGAAGAAAAGCATGATGGTTTTGACGGTATTTCCGGAGTTCCTAGTGTTGTTGTTCATGGTGTGAATGATGAATCATCAGGTAATCCAGTAGACTCCAAAAGTCCGATGTGCGAAGCACAGACCTCCACGGCAAGCATGGTGATGAACGTCAAAGCTGCGACAGCTCGAGAACCACACGTTCCTGGTGATCAACAAGCCCCTTGTGGACCTCCCTCCAGGAGCCATGCCAGCCATGAGCCGTGCCCAGATGCTATCTGAGTTGAACCGCCTGGGAGAAACACCTCCAAAGGCTTGGACCAGTGCAGAGATGAAGCTACGCTTGGAAGAACTGCAGTACGACTTGGGGATGGATACCAAGAAGGGCAAGGAACACTCGCCCCTTCGCCAGATGATCATCGAGTTGAATCGTGCCAAGAAGGAGAAGAAGGAGAGCCTGAAGTGGCATGTGTCGCAGAATCTCAAGGTGCCCCTGAGTGGCTACGAGACCATCGAGAACCTGATGTCCAAGGGCCTTCAGGCCATTTACGACCTGGCAGAGAGCTCAGAGACGGATCCAGTCGGATTCGGAGTCCATGCCGCCAAGACCTATGGCGACATCCTGGTGGAGGAGAAGGGCTACGCCAAGTGGGTTGTGTCCACGGCACGTGAAGATCCTCACAACTGCTCACCTCGTCTGATGCGGTTGGCCAAGTGGCTGCACAACATGGAACAGCAGAACATGAATCCAAGAGCACAGGCAGTCTCTTACCACCAGAAAGAGTCCAAGGAGAAGATCATTACAATGACCGAGACTGGAATGACATCAGCCGACACCAAGCAGATGCCGTCAAGCTCCAACGATGCCATGATCCAGATGATGCAACAGTTGATGACAACGGTGAGCCAACTTGGAGAGGAAGTCCAGGATCTCAAAGCCGAGCGCCCCCACAAGAAGGAGGGCAAAGCTGTGAGCGAGGTGACATCCGGGAGCTTCGAGATGATGCAGCAGTGAGTGAGGCTCAGACTTTTGAAACTCACGTGCAGCAGGAACACTCAACTTGTGCTCAGCCCGAGGGTCACCATGAGTTTGTTTCCAAGAAGTTGCCCACGGGTCTTGGTAGGTCTTTGGGGTCCAAGTCGGATAGATTGGTGGCTGATACCCTCCAAGAGCTGGAATTGTACGATAGAGTGGCACTGCTGGAGATAGCTTGCAGCCAGGAACGTATCTTATCTAAGACAATGCATGACCTGACTGGCTCTGAAAAATCAGCACAGCGGCTTTGACTTGAGCACCAATGATGGGGTCCGGTCTGTCTTGGATAAGATTGATACCACTCGGCCTTCACATGTCTGGATTTCCATGGAATGTGGTCCCTACTCGGTTATGCAAAACATAAATCAAAGAACTGATGCTCAGAAAGAAGAATTGGCTCGAAAACGTAGGGAAGTTTTGAAACAATACGTAGGAGGAGCCATTGTCTACAGTTATTGCATTCAGAAAGGAATCCATGTGACTTGGGAATGGTCTCAGTCTTGTCAGGCATGGCGGTTGCCCTTGGTTCAACAGTTGGCACAAAGGTACCAGGTTTACTTCGCCATCACCAGGGGTTGCCAAGCCAATTTGAGAGATCTCAAGGGTCGGTTTGTGTCAAAAGGATGGAAGTTGATGACTACTCACCCCCTTTTAGCGATTCGAATGTCCTTGCCATGCCAGTGCGGTCCCAGGGTTGAACATGTTGCATGTGAAGGAAACCTGACTCGGAAGTCTGCCTTTTACACCGCTGAGTTTGCCAAGAGGGTTTGTGAAACCATCCTTCAGGGTACCACCACCAAAGATTTTCAGAGGGAACTTCATGGTCACCACTCCGAAGGGGACATGTTTGGTAAGGGTACCTTTTGTGTTTGCAAAGAGCTTCAACAACATGGTTCTCAACTCAAATGTGGTGCATGTCGCATGTCAGTCGAGGGTCTCACGGGTCTGGGATTGGCGGCTGAGGAACAGGGTCCTTGTCAAATGAGCCCGGAAGAGATTCAAAAACGGTTGTACCTGTTACACTCTGCTACGGGTCATAGTCCTGTTCGGTATCTCATCCAATCCCTGAAGAAACGTGGAGTGCACCCCCAAATCATTAGGGAAGCGGAAAAGTTCAAGTGTACTGTTTGTGAAGAAAAAGGGAAACCTCAACCATGTAACCGTGCTTCTCTTGAACCCCAACCCCAAAGGTTTGACGTGTTGACTGCTGATGTGGGGCATTTCATACACCCTCAAACTGGGGAACACCACCAATTTGTTCTGATGGTTGATGAGGGGTCACGTTTTAAGGTTGGTAGAGTGGTTCTCACTGGCAAGAAGAAACATATTTCCGCAGCCCTTTTTATCAAAACCATGAAAGAAGCCTGGACCAGCTACTTCGGGAACCCAAAGTCACTGAGGCTGGATCCTGACGGTGCTTTTCGTAGCCATGGTCTGAGTGAATACTGTGATCAACACCACATCTTTTTAGATCTGGTGCCAAGTGAGGGACATTGGAAACTGGGAGTATGCGAACGCGCAGTTCAAGCAACCAAGTCAATCTTGGAAAAAGTGCTGCATGAGCATCCTGACACGTCAGCTGAAGATGCTTTGTCGGAAACCATCCGAGCCCTCAACTGTCGAGAAGTAATCAGGGGATATTCACCTATTCAACATGTTTTGGGAAAGTCGCCTGATGAAACAGACCGCATTTTCAATCCGAGGCTGGTACAGTCTCCAGAAGTTTTGGCTGACGCAGCAACGACAGTGCATCATCAAACAGAGGCACTGCGACTGAGTGCGGAAAAAGCTTTTTTGGAATGGAATGCGAATGACAGATTACAACGAGCATCACAGTCTCGACACCGCCGAGTCCTGAATTTTTCTGCTGGTGATCTAGTGTATATCTGGCGTAAGCAGGTAACTGGAGATGATGCCAAACCTGGCAACAACACCAAAGGAAGGTTTGTGGGTCCGGCCAGAATTTTGGCTACTGAGCAAAGACGAGATGATCAGGGTCACCTGATCGCTGGCTCTTCTGTTTGGCTTGTTCGGGGACGGCGTCTACTGAAGTGCTGCCCTGAGCAACTTCGTCATGCCTCAGATCGAGAGAAAGTTTTGGAAGAGCTCCATTCTCCCGATCCTCAACCATGGACTTTTTCTAAAGTAGCTGCAGAGCTTGGAGGTAACGAGTATGAAGACTGGAGCGAACATCCAGTGGAGTCAGAATGGAAGAGAGCCGCAGATCCTGAACAGGAGTGGCAGCCAGCAGTTCGCCTCAGAGCAAAGCGCAGCAAACCATTGGAGTATGAGACTCCAACCACAACAGCCAGGTCTCCCGAAACCGGAGGTGCCCAATCCTCAGGGGATAGAGGCCCAGTGGGAAGACCGAGATCACGGAGCCCCATGAGAGGGGATATCAACACTCCACTACCTGAAGGTTTTCAGGTGGCACCAAACTGGACTGCACAGGTACCTGACCAGGCCTTTTTGGCCACAGGTGAAACAGGCATCTGGAAGCAGGATACTTTGGTTTCTGTCGAGATTGATTTGCCGGAGAATCGCAATGCATCAGAAAAGGCAGTTCGATCACTGGAATCCTACTTTGTGGCAGCCCTGAAGCGCAAGAGCGTAGAAGTTTCAGAGAGAAGAATGACCCCAGATGAAAGAGCAGCTTTTCAAGGTGCAAAGCAGGTGGAGGTGAACAACTTCATTGCTGCAAAAGCGTTTGAAGCCCTGCCAGAGGGCTACAGAGCCAACAGGGCTGATGCGGTGAAGATGCGATGGATTCTGACCTGGAAAGCTTTACCTGATGGTGGACGTAAACCAAAGGCACGAGCTGTACTTCTGGGATACATGGATCCTAGCTATGCAGAAAGGGCCACAACCTCTCCAACAACAACTCGACAAACGAGACAGATTCAGCTGTCAATAGCTGCTGGGAAGGGATTTCAAACATGGAAAGGAGATGTGACAGGAGCTTTCTTACAGTCGCGAGACTATCCCAATGAGTTGCTCTGCATACCCTGTCCTTAAATCCTAGCTGCAATGGGACTCCCACCAGAGTCCATGACTCGAGTTCGTCGAGCCTGCTATGGTCTGGTAGATGCACCTTTGGAATGGTATCGTTCCATTAGCTCATACTTTGATCAGCTGGGTTTGCGTAGGTGTTGGTCCGATCCGTGCTGCTGGACGCTTTGTGAAAAAGGGGAATTGATTGGTATTGTTTCTGGACATGTTGATGATTTCTTATTTTCTGGGAATGAAAAGAACAACACTTGGTTGAAGGTAATGGAATCAATTAAACATGAATACCGTTGGCCTGATTGGGAACAAAATGATTTTATTCAATGTGGGGTTCGTGTTTGTCGTGAAACTGATGGTTCATATTCCTTGTCACAAGAGAAATATGTTGATGAGTTAAAATACATCAATATCAGGGCCCATAGGAAAAAGGACAAACATGGTGCTACGGACGAACATGAGAAAAGCCAGTTGCGGACACTGCTGGGAGGTGTTAGCTGGTATGCTCAACAGGTGGCACCACAATTTGCCGCCGAAGTTGGACTTTTGCTTTCTGAAGTCAGTAAAAGTAGCATCGAGACCTTGTACCGCGCTAACAAACTCATGAACCAGGTGAAGGAATCCAAACATCACAAACTTTTGATCCCCAAGGTTGACTTGGAGTCTTGTGGGCTGTTTGCTTGGTGTGATGCGGCGGGACAAAACAGAGTTGATGGAAGTAGCACTCAAGGGTTTTTGATTGGTTTGGCGAACATGAATCTCATGAAGGGTCAACTGGAAGCCGTTTCCCCCCTGTGTTGGAATTCCTCCAAAATTCAAAGGGTTTGCCGTAGTCCTGGGGCTAGTGAAGCAGCAGCATCAGTGAATGCAGAGGATGCACTGTTTTTCTGTCGGTATCAGTTTGCTGAGATGTTAGGCAGGCAGTGCAGGATACGTCATGTGAACAGTCTTGTCAATTCCATACCTGGATGCGTCATCACAGATTCACGAAACGTTTTTGACAAAACCTCGACAGAGGTCCTTTGCACACGTGGCTCAGAACGTAGGGTAGACCTAGAACTGATGGCCCTGAAACATGCTCAACTTAGAAATGGCGTTGTAGTGCGATGGGTGCACTCGGAAGCTCAACTGGCCAACTCGCTCACGAAGAATGAGCAGCGGCAACTTTTGCTCTGGTTTAGCATGAAGCAACATTGGAGGATTGTCAAAGATGATTCCATGTCATCAGCACGAAAAAGGAGAGAGATGGGCAAAGAACCACTCGAAGATGGTGACACCATCCCCAAACCGGATGCAATGAGTCCTAAGGGAGTGGACATTACCTGATGATTCCTGTTTGTGGTGTTTTTCTTGTTGTTGTTGTTTTGGGTTGCGTGTTTTGCATATTTACTTCAAGACCTTATAAGCAACAGGTGGCATGCAATTTCTGCAGTGATCAATTGGATCATTCACGTCAGATCACCTCAGTTCGCCCGACGCTCAGATCTTGCAAGGTTCAAAGGAAAACAAGCGTTGGGATCCGACAGGTCGCTGGGCCACCAGCCATCTCTTGCATAGCCCATAGCTTCCAAGGGACTTTTCAAGCCATTGGGCAATTCGAAGGCTGCTACCACTTGCATATTATATATATATATAATTAGATGTGCAATCTGTTCGCACATGACTCTGCTGTATGGTCAACAATAAGGAGCCTGGATTGAGTCCAACCTTGTGCATGGTAAAGCCACGAGAAAACCACAGATTTACCCGTCCTTTGGTAAAATGTTGCTCTTTTCATGTTTTGTTGAGACACAAGTCTTCCTATGATGCGTTCAGATGCTTAGGGTTTTGAGGGGGGACTTGGGTGCCAAGAATGAAATGTTTGAGAGTGTACTTGCCTACAATCGCTTTTGCATGGGTTCCTTGCTTTGCTTCACTCCTCCTTGTGTAGCTGTCAGGTTGATAGCGTCGAAAAGGAAGCAGTGTGGCGCTCAGCAGAGAGTCTTGTTGGGTCTTCTTGCTTGTTGATGTTGGGATAGTTGCAGATACATCGTGGAGTCTGAAGGCCTAAGACACACAAAAGCCACCACGCATTGCACTTGTTGAGCAGCTGCTTATCAATATCCAAATGAGTAAGCGACAACCATATGTATTTTAGATCACTTTTTTTAAAAACGTGTTTCACTTTTCTATTATTTCGCCCTAGCCCTAGCCTTGCCGCAGGGTTTACAAACCTTTACAACCGATAAAGGACGCCCCTTTTTTACAGTTGCACCATAGGAGACGAACCTGTTTGTGTCCGGCATAGTCGACAAACAAGTAATTTTGTTGGCCACTCAAACAACATCGCCGACATTCTTTTTTGCAGTAATTATCATGTATTTTGCAACATGATGAATCATGAAGCAGAGCTACACGCAATCCAGTAGAACCAAAGAAATTTGATGGTACAGTACCTTCCAACGCTCAAAGGGGATGCTGAATGTTCATGCAAACCGATAGGCAATCCAGCCAGCTTTCAAAAGAGTATACCGTATACCGTAGATCCACAGGACGTGAGAAGGCGGTAAGCGCTGAAGTCACGTAGCCATTCTGGCAAGTTTGGCACATATGATCACATCCTCTGGTGTATGGCAAATTGAAACATAAGAGAGTAGCGTGTTTCTAGCAGTAGTTCAACATCAGTGCTGCGAGGTGCAGCAGTTGTGTGTCAATCTGTGTATAGTTCTGTGTATATATGATTGTATGTAAAATGTAATCCATCTCAAAAACGCACTTTGTGTGTTTTTGTCTAAGTATAGTGAAGTGGGTTGGGGTTCACTGACAGAAGATGCCTTTTTGTGACTACCATGATATATGGCTGTATAATATGATTGGCTTGAAACACGCTGATGCATGAGTGAAAGGCCTGTATGAATAACTTTCAGCAGAATGACACATGTGATTTCTTTCCGCCAAAAAGAACACTGCAGCGTGACCAAGCTATGAGCTACTAAAGCAGAACACACGCAAAGACAATGAACGATAGTTTTCCAATTCATGTACCGGCAGGCAAGCTTCTCTAGACTCTCCTAAACTCACTGCTTTGATGACCAATACCCCACCATAGATTTCGGATTAGGTTTTGGTTCAAATCCACTTGGGACCAAAGAAGATTGGGTATAGTGATTGCCTCTTTTTTTTCTCCCTTCTTCACCCGAACTTCCATGGGCAATTGTTCTCATTTATCTTCGAAACCATTTTCCGTCACTCAATGTTGAGTGTCACATTACTGTAGCGGTTGAGAAGCGAATCACATCTGGTCTTGATCCGCATCAGTTCTCCAATCACCTTCAAACTATGTCATTGGGTCCGGCTTTGATGAGAAGTCTGAGCTTGGTATAGCATCTTCAATGATGTACGAAAAGAGTCACGTCAGAAAGGCTTAGGAGGATGTTTGCCGCCATAGCAGTTCTCCAAGAAGATACAAGAACATGTTGTTTGGCCAAGAGCGGATCCTGAGGACTCCGAACTTCCATGCCTTAGATATATTTGAACGCTGGAAGCCAACAAGATGTGTGCACATGCAATAGATGCAGTAAAACCAGCTACAAAGGATGAGGTCATCCTCGGGGAAAGTTCCGGGTATGATCCGGTATGTACAATTGCCTTTTGACGTGCACCCACACTTGTCAACTAGTTTGAAATAGCTTGAACATGAGATTCCCTCTAGCCAGTATGTATACGGAGAGAAGGCCCTTTTGAAATGGACTCAAGACACTGCAGATGGAATTTAGCATGGTCAGCATCCGCGAAGTACGACTTACTTGAGCCCCGCCCTTACAATCCCTTACGTGCAGGATTCACTCAAGTACACGATACTGAAATATGAAGATTTGGGTCCTGCAAGCCCACAGGATGATGCACACATGCAATCATCTGAAACCGATTCATAGCGCACAAACAGCGGGCGCGGGTTGGTCACGGGGTCCAATGTGACTGGAATTGTGCGCTGCTGTACAGCCAGGATTTTTGCATAGGTTTGCATTGACCATTAGCAGATGTTCAAGACTCAAGTATTGATTTTAATGGGGCTGATCTTTGGTGGGGCGTTGCGCTGCTGGTCTGCAAGCTGGCAAAATGTTGGAAAAACAAAACGCGGAATCATGCCAGAAAGCCACACCAAATGCAAAGGGTTTAGTTCAAACATGTGCTTTTAATATTTTTTAATTTTTAACATCTTTTAAAAAGGCGGCCCCAAATATTGCAACCAGAGAAAGGTTGCAAATAGCGAAGGTTCTACATGAAGGGAAGGCACCCTCCTTGTGCATACAAGCTTGCAGGTTTGGTTGGCATTTTTTAAAAAAGAATTCCTGGCGTATCAAGTTCTTATTTTGAGCGGAAATCTTCAGATGTTTGCTCTTGCAAAAGTCCACAAGCGCAGAATGGTGCAGAATCATGGGTTTTCCCAGGTTTCCACACGTCTGTGGTCAGCTTAAAAAAATGGGTAGCCACCATCATTTGCTTTCATCGCGCCGATTATTAATGCGCTGCCGCCAGTTTTTTGTTCATCAAGGCGCCAGATGGAATTTGATCATACGAGTACTCGAAAGCAGATCCTTTTTTTCCATGACTTTTCACTTGTTGTGTTTGAAAACACACTCTTCCCCTGTGAACATTTGATGCTGTATCTGTATCGGACTGTATCGCTTCACAATGTGTAAAGTGACCCTTGTCGTTTCAGTCGTTTGATGTTTCTGGTGGTGGTGGTGGCGAATCTACCAGCTCACGAGCGGTGTTGTGAGGATTGACATCCATCTCAAGCAAGTGGACAACAAGTTCAAGGCATGCAGTGCATGTTGTACACAAAAACATTGTCAGGCATTCCGCAAAGGTTTATGCTGCACTCCGAAACGACAGGGTGCTGATCGTTTGCATGAGCAGAAGCAACATGCAAGAACTGCAGTGCCAGCAATTGCTTTTGCTTTGAGACCCGAATCGCTCCGTCATTGCAGGATTCCATCAATGAACTTGAAAGGCGCAGGGGGTTGCATTGCCATGTTTGCCAGTGTTGCTGTGATCGCACATTTGCAATAATATCCGGCAATGACATTCTCAACTGGCAAAGATGCCCTTGAAGGCTTCAAAGCCAACTTGCTCCGTATCTCCGGGAGGAGCAAATACAGCAAAGCCGGGAACAAGCCGTGGCCCAAAGCTTGCGATTGTCAATGGACCTTGTGTGCGGGTCATGGTCATGTCTATTCTGCGGAAAACCTTGTCATGTTTATCTCAGGCAACACGCCAACTGAAAGCTCTTTGGCAAAACAAGATGAATCCAATTCGGCCGACACCTCATCGTGATTTCACGATAAGGTCCAGGACCCAGGATCATTGTGTTATTGAAAGTGGAGAACCTTTCAAAAAGCAAATTGCAGGAACCAGTGGTACTGGTGCAGTGCAGATTCTTACTTTGCATTTCTATTGTCACGATGCAAGTCTTGATTCCAAGTACTGGGGACCGTGAGATATGCTTGCATTTGCTGCCAGTACCCAATACCTCAGACACGCAGTACAAGAGTCGACAAAATCGATGCTTGGTGAACAGCTGGAAAGTGTTAGCAAGTACGCAGCACTACTCGCTTTGCACCACTACTCGCTTGAGCACTTGTTTTTTTCACAATTGCAAGTCAGTCATCCTGGACTTGCTTGGCTAACAATGCTGAGGATGGTGGAGGCAGGTCACTGGGAGGACGGGGCACCCACTAGCAGCCATGGATGTACATCCTAGGCTGATCACTTTTTGTCTTGCTTTGCAACAGGGCAACACACACGCTGCCAAAGCAGGAGAACCGTGTGGAGGAGATATTCACCGAATTTCGCGTGCTCCTGGCATGTCTTATTCTTGACTGCGCTGAACTGAAAGGTCGTAGTCCATGACAGACATCATACTGCTTTGTATTCCGTTTGATGAGTTGTTTAGTGATGTTTAGCGTACCGTGTAACCGTGTAGCGAGGAGCTGTTCTTGCACGCTACAGTTTGACTGCAATGTCGGCTGTTGGGATCTAGATGATGAAGCCATTGCGAGCTGCAAAACATACGATACGATCCAAAAAGATCTGAAAGCGATAGTAGGGGCAGTGAACTTGTCGTGTACATGGCAGGGCATTTGCAGACGCTTCCAAAGCCTACTTGAAGAGGACGAGAAGCATTGTGGAGTATGGGAACGTATACATACCGTGAGGATTTGTCACATCATTACATGCCAAGTTAAATTGAGGTGCCATAGGGGTGCACAGTCCCAAGCATCCAACTGTCAGTACAGGGCGACGGGCTCAAAATATAAGGCCCCCATCCATGAAATGGACCCACAGGCAATAAATAGCCCCGATCCATACCCATGATATCCCATGATCCATACATCTCTAAGGGATATCATCCATACCTATGATCCATACCCTTGATCAACACGTACCAAACAAGATGCAGCCCACGAACCCGAACGCAGTCACGTAGAACACTATTGTGAAACAAATTATTGAACAGTCTTGTACATTTTGCCCCTGTTACCATGCCAGTGCATTGTAGACTGTGGAATGCGGAAGAGGGTGGAGTGCAAAGTGTGGGGTGTGAAGAAAGTGGAGTGTTGGGGAATGTAGTGTGTGGAGTGTAAAGTGTAGAGTATAAAGTGTGGAGTGTAAAGTGTGGAGTGTGGAGTGTAAAGTGTGAGGTGTAAAGCGTGGAGAGTGGAGTGTGGAGTGGCAAGTGTAGAGTGTGGAGTGTAAAGTGGAAAGTGTGGATTGTAAAGTGTGGAGTGTCAAGTGTAAAGTGTGGAGTGGCAAGTGTAGAGTGTGGAGTGTGGAGTGTGGAGTGTAAAGTGTCGGGTGTGGAGTTTGGAGTGTAAAGTGTAAAGTGTGGAGTGTAAAGTGTAAAGTGTGGAGTGTGGAGTGTGGAGTGTGAAGTGTAAAGTGTGGAGTATGGAGTGGAACGTGCGGAGTGTAAAGTGTAAAATGTGGAGTGTAGAGTGTAGAGTGCGGAATGTCAACGCATGTCACAACATGCCATGCCTGCCACGGAATTTGCACTCTGTCACCGCTTGGCACAGTCCTGACTTTGCGATTCCCATGAAAACATGCAGCACGACACGTCTAATGTGCTGCGCCTGCCACGAACAATGCAACTCATCTTCTGAAAACGACGCAAAACTACTATTGCGACTGTCACACAAAATATCACAACATGACTTTTGACACGTCACGAAGTGCCACGACTGCCACGCAAAATCGACATTACAACCTGCTTTGACACCTTCGAAAAGGAGAGGTTTTGCAGCTTCCCCCATAGACACGGCGACGCCACACGACAACCAGAGAATCGAGACGAGGCACGTTGGAGCTTCAAAACGAGCATTTCGTGCGAGACTTCCTCGACTTTTTACACTTTGTAGCTTCAAAATCGACGTTTTCCTACGAGTTTTCTCATAAATCTATAACCTCAAAATCGATGTTTCGTGCGAGGCGTCCATTTATTTTCAGCACATGTCACAAAATGCCACGTCTGCCACGCAATATGCACCTTGTCACCACTGGACGCAGCTGACATTGTGATTCGCAAAAAACACGCAACACGACTCTAGTGCTGCGCCTGCCACGCAAAATGAAGATGGACACGGCCAAAATGCTGCGCCTGCCACGAAAACTGCAACGCATCTTCTGAAAACGACGCAAAAGTATCGCGCCTGCCACACAAAACGACTTTCGGCACGTTACGAAACACGTCTGATTCACGAAGTGCCACGCCTACCACGCGAAGCGAAGCAGCGCGACGCTGGAAACCTCCAATAGTGACCCCTGTTGCAGAACTTACCAAAGGCACGGCCATACGGCCCTCACACGGTCGCCTGCGGACGGTTGCGGACGGTTGCGGACGCAAACGCAACGTAGAGTGAACACACTCTCAACCCCCAGGCCCCCAGAGTGAAACGGGAACCCTTGAGCCTTGCTACGCATTCGGGAAGAAGGGAGGGCTATTTTTTGTTTTTTTTAGGTGATTTTTTTTTGTTTTCCTTTGTGGCTTTGTGGCTTTTGTGGCTTTTGTGGCTTTTGTGGCTTTTGTGGCTTTTGTGGCTTTTGTGGCTTTTGTGGCTTTTGTGGCTTTTGTGGCTTTTGTGGCTTTACCATGCTTTACCATGCTTTACCATGCTTTACCATGCTTTACCATGCTTTACCATGCTTTACCATGCTGTACCATGCTTTACCATGCTTTACCATGCTTTACCATGCTTTACCATGCTTTACCATGCTTTACCATGCTTTACCATGCTTTACCATGCTTTACCTATCTACCTATCTATCTATCTACCTACCTATCTATCTATCTACCTATCTATCTATCTATCTATCTACCTATCTACCTATCTACCTATCTACCTATCTACCTATCTACCTATCTACCTATCTACCTACCTATCTACCTACCTACCTATCTATCTATCTATCTATCTATCTCTCTCTCTCTCTCTGTCTGTCTGTCTGTCTGTCGGTCGGTCGGTCGGTCGGTCTGTCTGTCTGTCTGTCTGTCTCTCTGTCTCTCTGTCTCTCTGTCTCTCTGTCTCTCTGTCTCTCTGTCTCTCTGTCTCTCTGTCTCTCTGTCTCTCTGTCTCTCTGTCTCTCTGTCTCTCTGTCTCTCTGTCTCTCTGTCTCTCTGCCTCTCTGTCTCTCTGTCTCTCTCTGTCTCTCTGTCTCTCTATCTCTATATACACACCTTGTATCCTTACATGTACCCTAATCCAACCCTAAACAGACTTTAAATGGAACCTAAGCCAACCCTAAATAATTCTAAATATCCCTAAAAAACACTAAATAAAACCTAAACCAACCCGACATAACCAACCCTAGAAAAGGCATAAACCAACCCTAAACTAAATAACCCTAAACCAACCCTAAATAAACCCTAAACTAACCTTAAATAGGCCCTAAGCCAACCCTAAATAAACCCTAAACCAACCCTAAAGAACCCAAAATAAACCCTAAACCAACCTTAAATAAGCCTTAAACCAACCCTAAATAAACCCAAAACCAACCCTAAACAACAAATAAACCTTAAACCAACCCTATTTAAATCTGAACCAACCCTAAATAACTAATTCTAAATAAACCCTAAACCAACCCTAACTAAACCCTAAACCAACCCTAAACACTAAATAAACCCTAAACCAACCCTAAATAAACCATAAACCAACACTAAATAAACCCTAAACCAACTCTAAATAACACTGAATAAACCATAAACAAGCACTAAATAAACCTTAAACCAACCCTAAACCAACCTTGAATACACCGTAAACCAACCCTAAACCAATCCTAAATGACCTTAAACCAACCCTAAATAAACCCTAAATCAGCGAACACTATGGTAGCTAGCATCCAATGCAACTATTTATACCCAATACGGTTGTGTTTCAATCTATATTCTACATGTTCACCAGGTGCATGTTATGCATGGAAAAATCGATTGAAACCATGGAAAAATCAATTGAAACCATGGAAAACTCAATGAAAACTAAGTATGGAAAAATCGCTGAAAACTTTGGGTAAATCAATGAACACCATGGAAAAATCGAGTAAAACCATGGAACATCTATGAACACTGCAAATTGTAAATTTTAGCTCCAAAATTCAGCAAAATAAAGGTGTTTGCTTCAACATGTAGCAAATAGCAAGGAAAAGTGCCCCAGACTGAAAAAAACGAAAAAAAGGAAAAAAACAAATACCCAAAAACACGTTGTGCTAATACCAGGCCACTTTAGTATTTTTTCTCGAATAGGTCCGGATCAAACCTCCTATACGTAACTCAGTAGTTCTATACGTCCGGAATCGTCCGGATCACCTCGGAACGATCCATACACGTTTTTTGCGCCACACCCACAGTGCATGCAAAAGCAGGACGGTAAACCTGGTAATGACACGCAGGTGTTTCTCAAATCGAGGTACGTATTATTTGTAATGTTTGCTAAATGTTGAGCCCTCCAATCCTCCTGATTGAGCAAGTAATTACGGATTGCGCTTCTAAGTTCTTGTGTTGCATATTTGCAAGGTCTAATCATGAGTTCTTTAGCAAGGATGGCATTCGTGGGTGCGGTTGGGTCATGCCAATGCAAGAGTAATTGTCAAAGCATCAGAATTCGATGTTCATTTGAGAGTTGGAACCATGGCTGTTGCAACTCAAGAGCTTGACGCCAGCCCAGAATGCAGCACCGCTTTTGTTGCAGCCAACGGCCGAACCACCTTGAAGAGTTGTCCAGGTTGGTATTCATTATTCATTCACATTTCTATAGATGTTTATTGTCACAGCTACTAGTACCAAATTTAACTGTCATCGTGAAGGAGAGATATCAGATATGAATCATCAACCCAGACCTCTTGAACCCATTAAAACCGGAGAGGTTTGCTCACTGCAGGACGCTCATGCAATTCCCGACTGCAGCTCTGATCCGGTGGGATTTCAGACATATCCATATCTACATTCAGGTGGCTTGAACTATGATGCAGCTGTACGACGCATTTAAAAGGTCGCATAGGTTCTTCTCCAAAGCTTCCTTTGTAATGTCTATTGATCTTTGGTGACTCGAATTTTGTTTGGAAGGTAAGCATTTTACATCATATTTTACCAAAGGCGCGCCAGTTCAAAATGGCTGACCACGCACACTTTCCTATGCAACAGGAAGTCAAGACCATGACAGTTTTTTGACTGGCTGTATGGGTATTGGCCAGCTCACTCATGTCTACTGGAGGTTATGATCCTTTTGCCGGAGATTGGATTATCACCCTGTAGTATATGTATACATAATTATGTATATATATATGATTATGTATGATTATATAATATATGATTATGTATGATTATATAATATATGTATGATTAGATAATATATGGTCATGTATTATATGATATATGATTATATATGATTTTATATTGTATACTATGTGTATATATATATATGTATACTATGTATATATATATATATGTATACTGTATATATGTATATGTGTATATATATATATATGCATATATATATATATATATCTCTACATATATGTATATGTATGTATATATTTTTGTACATATAACATATATATATATATCTGTATGTATGTAATGTAATGTAACGTAACGTGACGTAATGTAATGTAATGTAACGTATTAATGTATTAATGTATTAATGTATTAATGTATTAATGTATTAATGTATTAATGTATGTATGTAATGTATGTATGTATGTATGTATGTATGTATGTATGTATGTATGTATGTGTATGTATGTATATGTATGTATATGTATGTATATGTATGTATATGTATGTATATGTATGTGTATGTATGTATATGTATGTGTATGTATGTGTATGTATGTGTATGTATGTGTATGTATGTGTATGTATGTGTATGTATGTGTATGTATGTGTATGTATGTGTATGTATGTGTATGTATGTGTATGTATGTGTATGTATGTGTATGTATGTATGTATATGTATGTATGTATGTATATGTATGTATGTATATGTATGTATGTATATGTATGTATGTATATGTATGTATGTATATGTATGTATGACGGGATATAGGGTTCTCACTAGTTGCTACGCCAACCTTTGGCTCAAGAACACCGCTGCTAAAATAGCGAGTTGCATATTCTCCGTTCATGGTAGCGGAGCGATACGCTCCAGGGTCTTAGCAATGGACCAACAACAAGCGGCACAGGTCCTCCAGTCGCTCCAGGAACTACAGACCGAGGTCAATCGACTAAGAGGCCGAGAAGCTGAACTGACAGCACAGGTCGCTTCTTTTGGTGCCGGTTCGGCTGCTTCAGCTGGACCTGGCAGTGCACTGGCACAGTTGGTGCAGTCACAAAAGGAGCTTGTGGACGCCCTTAGATCGAAAGAACAAGTCCGGTTGGTCGACAACAAGGGCCTTGGCAAGCCCGACAAGTTTGATGGGACAGCCGAAAGATTCTTGTCATGGAAAATCAAGACGTCCTCCTATCTTGCAAGTGTTCGCAAAGACCTTCGTGAGATTCTGGTTTGGGCCGAAGATTGCGATCATGCAATCACTGCAGATGACATCGACAAGGCTTTTGGGAGTCAAGCAGATGCCATTGACCAGGTGTCGAACATCAGTGAATTGAGACGCGAGCTTTGGGACGCGCTGCTAATGCTGACAGAGCGTGAGCCCTTTGACATCGTGCTGAACACCGGGGAATGCGGCATCGAAAGCTGGAGAAAGCTCACGCGGAGGTACGACCCATCCACTGGTGGTCGCAAACGCGCTCTCCTCAATGCAATCTTGTCACCGGCTCGATCCAAGATGGAAGATTTGCCGTCCAACCTGGAGAAGCTTCTTGACAGCATCAGACTTTATGAACGTCGCAAAGACGCATCTGGCAACCGAACGATGTTGGCAGAAGACATCAAGATCAACGTGATTGAACGATTGGTGCCGGCAGAGCTCGAGCGTCATCTCGTTCTCAATCGAGATCGCTTCAAGACGTTCGAGTCCATGCTGTCCGAGATCCAGTCCTATGTGGAACATGCCACCGGCAACAAGATCAAGGTGGTGAATAGCCAGCCCTACGACGCACATGGCCGTGGGGACGATCCTATGGATGTCGGAAGCTTTGGAAAAGATGCGAAGGGAAAAGGTAAGGGCAAGAAGGGAGCTGGAGGAAAACCTGGAAAGGGAAATGCAACAGCTGAGAAGAGAACATGTCACAACTGCGGACGCCCAGGACATCTGCGGGCAGATTGCTGGGCACCTGGAGGCCCCAAACATAAGGGGACGGGTGGCAAAGGCAACAGCAATCAGAATAAGGACAAGGGCAAGGGCAAAGGCAGCCCCGGAAAGCACAAGCAGAAGCCCAAAGGAGGCAAATCTGTGAACAATGTCGAACAAGGTGAACCAGAAGCAGAAGACTGGGACGCAGCTGATGGCGACGATGGTCAACAAGCAGCAAATGGTTTAACGCTCTATGGCGTTGATGGGCCACCACATGACGAGGATGACGACGAAAGTTTCCAGGTCGATCCCGAGTCCGAGGAGTCGGAAGCCTCGACAAGTCGCAGAAGGTGGTTTTCTTTGCCTCACCCACGTGCGTCATGGCCTGAAGAGTGGGACGACCCCGACTATGATGGACCGAGTGGATCGAGTGGCTCAAGACCCCTTCGGTCGCTTCGACTGGAGGAGGTCACCGAGCACGAGACCACTACATCCAAGTCCGCGTCTTCCAAGGCACCTCGAACGCCACAGGGAAGACCCAAGAGGGGCAGAAGTCCAAAGAGCTCAACACCAAAGAGAGGCAAAGCAAGCAGATCAGGGCCAGTCACTCCGGAGTCAGCACTCCGACGCTTTCGAATGACTTCGATGACACCACCACCAAGGAGAAGGTTGAGGCATGGGCCACAGACTCCAGAAGAACTTCTTCGTAGCTCTACACCTTTGCCAAAGACCCCACCGACACCTATAGCATGGCCTGCATCACCTCCACAACAGCCGATAGCCTCGCCCAAGACTCCACCAGGACCACCACCAGGATGGCAAAGCCAAGTAGCTTCACCCAAGACTCCGCCATGTCCACCACCGGGATGGCAAAGCTCTCAGGTGAAGCCACCACCACCTGTCAAGGCATCATCGGCAGCTTCGACTTCAGGTTCTCGACTTGTCCAGATGCTGAAGGCTGCGCTGAGTTCACAAATCCGCAAAGTCCAAGAAGAAGATCCTGGTTCAGGAGATGGCCAGGCAGATGCGATGTTAGCGGCTTTGAGGACTAGATCTGTCAAGGCACCGCACATCACAAAGCAGAACATCAGCGATCCTTCTTTCCACGACTCGAGATACCATGCCGAGATTGCCAAAGGTGTTGCACACAATGTGGCCTGGAGAAATGAACGTTTGAGAAGACGTGCAATCGTCCACCGACGAGGAGGAGTCAAGGCACGTGCGGCTGAAAGGATTCGACTTGACAAAGAATGGCATGAACGCTTTGACAACCCAGAAAATCCAGAAGGCATAGTGAGAATCGAGGATGAAGACAACTTGGATGCGGGCATCGAGACGGTGGTTGTGGGCAAAGCTGGTCAGAGCACAGTGATAGAGTTTTCAATGGAAGAGCGGAAAACTTTGAGGCAGTTCCCGGACGACGAGGCCAAGTTGCTGCGGAAGGATCCCAAGAAGAAACCCATGACCAAGCGTGTTCGAAGCGTTGGGTACAGGGTGAAGAAGAATCGCAACCGCAATGTGGCGCGCAAGATGGCGAGGAAGAACCGACCAGCCTTGGTTCTGAAGGAAAACACTGAAGTGGATGCAGATGAAGATGATGATGAAATGGAAGAAGTCTACATCGAAGAGCCCGATGAGCCTCGAGACCGACCAGGCAGAGGAGACCCCGATGGTGGAGCTGGATCGGCTCCTGCTGCAGTCTACAGCTTGGGGGCCTCTGACGACTGGCGAAAATGGGAACGAGCAGAGTTGAACATCGACACCGGTGCTGCCATCACTGCAGTACCACTTGACTTCGCCAAGGACTACCCGAGGAGCGAGTCCAATGGAGCAAGCTACAAGGCAGCCAATGCGGAACCCATCGAAGATCAGGGAAGTGTGAAGCTGGTGGGATACGACGAATCTGGCAACAAGATCCCAATCGATTGCCGAGTTGCAGATGTGCATCGGCCACTTCTTTCAGGTTCCGAGATCGCCAAGAACTACCACATCGCCCTTGGACCATCTTCGGGGAGATTGATCCCAAGAAACACTCCTGCGGGACGGGCCTATTCGAAGGCCATGAAAGATCTGATCCGAGATTATGGCGATTCAATGCCCATTGTGCACAATCGCCGAGGCATCTATGTGTTGGACTATTGGGTGTCACCTTTTCAGGGGCATCCTCAAGAGGAGTAAGACCACAAATCAACGCTGTTGGCGAGGATCCAGCTGTTTCAGCCGGAGCCGATGCCATGGAAGATGGAGGCGATGTTTCAGCCGCTTCGGCCGGAGCAGGGTCCTCAGGAGATGTTCCAGCTGCTTCAGCCGGAGCAGATGCCTTTGAAGATGAAGTTGATTTGGAAATCGGTGAAGAACAGAGGAAAGCCATTGTGAAGAAAGAACCACATCAACCATCCCAAGCTGAAGTTGACGAACATGAAAGCACTGGACATGTTGTCCATCGGAGCTGGTGCTTGCACTGCAAAAGGGCACGTGTGACTGCTGATCGCCATGTGCCTAAGGAACTTGATGAGCCAGAAACGCAGTTGCCCACACTGAGCCTGGACTACTTCTATATGAACCAGGACCAGGTTGCGGATGAGGCGACCCTTCCGAGCATTGTGGTGAAGTGCCACAAGACCAAGAGATTTTGGGCGAGCGTTCTCCCGGGAAAAGGGGCGGATGCGTTCGCAATCGCGTGGCTTGGGGGAGTTTTGGATGATGCTGGTTTTAATAAGGTAATCCTTAAGTCTGACGGTGAACCCTCCTTGGTATCCCTTAAACAGAAGGTTAAGGAGATAAAGACCCACATCGAAGTGCACTTGGTGGAAACCCCAGTAGAAGACCATCAAGCCAATGGGTTTATCGAAGTGGGAGTGCGAGAGATAAAACGACAATGTCGTGCTCTCCTCAGCGACCTGGAGTTCAAGCTGGAAAGGAAGGTAGATCCGGGCCATCCACTTTTGGTTTGGCTCCCGCGGCATGCTGCCTTTCTCTTGACGAGATACCGAGTAGGTACTGATGGAAAGACCGCTTTTGAGCGGACCTATGGACGAAAATGGCGGATTCCGCTTGTGAGGTTCGGTGAAAGCATCCTGTATAGGCCGAGGGCCAATCGTGGGGGCAAGAGAAATGACCTTGCTCCAAGGGTATCCATTGGGATGTACGTTGGAACTGGAAACAGAAATTCAGACGTCTTTGTCATGACGGAACGTGGAATCATGAAGGGGAACTCGATCCATCGACGCCCACCTGACGATCAGTTCAAACATGATCAGTTTGACTCGCTACGTGGCCTTCCTTGGAGGTTGCAAGAACGAGAACATGGTGGACTGAGGATCGCCCTTCCCGATGTTGCAGCGCCTCGTGAAAGGCCTGCAGTGCAAGAAGTGATCCCAAGGAACCTCTATGTCACCAAGAATGACTTGGAAAAGCATGGGCACACACCTTTGTGTCCTGGATGTGAAGCAGCAATACTTGAGATGCCAAGCCGAGCTCACAATGCTGAGTGCAGACAAAGAATCCAGATCGAACTTGACAAGACTCCAGAAGGTCAAGAAAGGATCAAAAGAGCGAGAGAGAGAGTTGCACAAGGCAGGCGCCCAAGAGGCGCGGCTGCACCGCCTGAGGGTGGTGGGGCAGAAGGTGGTGAAGCTGCACCACCAGTTGTCCCAGGAGGGGAAGTTGAACAACCAGTCTTGCAAGACCGTGTTCCTTTGGATGCGGAAATGGATGCAAGTGAGGCTGTTGGTGAACCACTGGTCGACACCGATTTTCGTGGAGAACTCAGACAGAGAGAACAAGAAAGAGAAGGAAGCCCAAAGAGGCAGAAACAAGAACAATCCCGAGGAGAGAAAAGGAGTTCACAAGTCGACGTTGAAGATCTTTACAATGAATCTTCAGCTCAGGCTTCAGGGTCAGCCGGACCACCGGCACCGGATGCTTCATCTGGTGTTCCGGAAGGTGCTGCCGCTGCACCAACAAGTCCTGAGACAAACCAGGAGATGCTACATCTGTGTTCCTTGCTCAAAGATGTGATCGCAAAAGGGAAGGTTGCTGAGATCTTCTCTCCACCGCGTGTGGCTGCACAAGCCCAAGTGGTCGGGCTAGCACCTGGCTTCTCGATTGACTTGGAGACAAAGCGTGGTGATGGAACTCACTGGGACTTGAGTAAAGATGAACACATTCGTGATCTGTTTCAACTGCTTGACTATGAGAAACCAGAGTTCCTCGGCGGCTCACCTCCCTGTGGGCCATTCTCGAAGCTGCAAAGCATTGTGGATGCGAAGGGCAATGTTTCACCTGAAGTTCGAGCGCAGAGACTAAAAGATGGTCGCAAACATCTGCGCACGGCAGTTTCAGCGTATGAGCATCAAATGAATGCTGGAAGGTACTTCTACCATGAGCACCCTAAAGGGGCCGCTTCGTGGGAAGAGAGAGCTGTGAAGAGACTGAGGGCAGATGAACGGGTGTATGAAGTCACTGGACCAATGTGCCGTTGGGGAATGAAGGCCGCCGATGGCCAAGGTGAAGGGTTAGTGAAGAAAGAAACTACCTGGCTCACGAACTCTCCAATCCTGGCACAGACCCTACAAGGGTGCTGTTCAAACAAAGAAGGCAAAGTTTGGCACCGCCATGTACATCTTGTTGATGGACGAGCCTGAGCTGCCCAGAAATACCCACCAAAGCTTGTCCACGCAATTCTCAAGGCCATTAGGCGCCAACTGGAATGTGATGGAGAACTACACTCACTTTCACATGGCCCAGTACCCGATGCTGGACCTGTGATCAATGAAGAGGAGGAGTTTTGGAAGCAGCTGCCCGACAGCGATGACACCATCGTGGAGCCAGTGCTTGACGCACACTCCGGTGCTGTCTTGGATGTTGACAAGGTCAGAGCTGCTCGACAAGAAGAACTAGCATGGGTACACAAACAGGGTATCTATATCAAAGTTCCACTTACAGAAGCCCAACAGTCTGGAAAACCGGTCATCACCATGAAATGGATTGACAGAAACAAAGGGGATGCAACACACCCCAACTACAGGTCACGTCTGGTCTGTAGAGAGATCAAACGGGCCAGCAATGCTGACTTCATTCCGGACTATGCGTCCTTCAGTTCGATGCCGCCTTTGGAATCGCTGAAATTGCTTCTATCGCTTATGGTGACTTTGAGACGATCCAAGTCTGGCAATGCACTGAAAGTTCGTCTTCTTGACATATCACGCGCTCACTTCTATGGAGAGGCAGAGCGTGATATCTTCGTGCAGTTACCTGAAGGAGATCGACAAGAAGGGTTTTGTGGCAAGCTCGTTAAGAGCATGTATGGAACACGCGATGCATCAGCGATCTGGCAAAGATCATATACAGAACTTCTCATCCGAGCTGGTTTTGCCAAGAATCAAGCTTGGCCATCCTGCTTTTACCATGAAGGTTACGGTGGTATTCGAGTTCTTGTACACGGAGATGACTTCGTGGTGCTTGCTGATGATGCTGGACAGAAATACCTTGAGGACACCTTGAGGTCCAAATATGATCTGCGGGTCGATGGATCGATCGGTCCTGGAGAACGGCATCAGCAGTTCGCAGTGCTCAATCGAATCGTGACCTACAACGAGCAGGAGGGCTCTGTATCCTATGAGGCGGATCCCCGCCACGTTGACCAGATGGTACGAGATCTAGAAATGGAAAACTGTAAGCCAGTCAAGACACCATCTGAGAAAATGTCAGCCACGGAGGCCAACTTGAAGTTGACCACCCCGACCATCACACCGGACCGTGTAAGTTTCTTCCGGTCTCTGGTGATGAGAGCGTCGTATGTGGCACAGGACAGACCTGACATCGCGGAGGCAGTGAAATGCCTATCAAGAAGAATGCATAAGCCCAAAGAATCTGACTTTCAGGATCTGAAACGCTTGGTGAGATTTCTGAAAGGGAAACCACGTGTACTTTTGAAGTTTGGTCGCCAGAAGTTTGCTGACACGATCCACATGTACGTGGACTCCGACTTCGCTGGGTGTCTTCTTACAAGGCGCTCAACAAGTGGACTTGTGGCAACCTTTGGCCGCCACACGGTGAAGGCCTCGAGCACTCTTCAGAGCACGATCAGCTTGAGTTCCAGTGAAGCGGAATACTACTCGATCGTTCGAGGAGTTTCCATCGGAATGTCGCTACAGGAGATCTTGCGAGGATGGGGCCTACAACCAAAACTTAAAGTGCACACAGATTCATCCGCTGCGCTGGGAACATGTAACCGTCAGGGCTTAGGCCGCTCACGGCATGTTCAAACTCGCTTTCTGTGGGTGCAAGAAAAGCTTGCACTACATGAATTCGAACTGGTGAAGATCCCGACAAAGCAGAACGTAGCTGATTTGTGCACCAAAGGTTTACCTGCGAATGAGATGGAAAGACACATGCAAAGCATGGGGTTCGAGTACTCTCATGGTAGAGCCGAAGCTGCAAAGGCTTTGGAATGAGTGTACATCAGCTTAGGAAAATCCCAGCCTCTGTACAGGAGGGGTGACGGGATATAGGGTTCTCACTAGTTGCTACGCCAACCTTTGGCTCAAGAACACCGCTGCTAAAATAGCGAGTTGCATATTCTCCGTTCATATGGGAACACACATGGGAAACCAATGTGTTTTTTTTCGCAAAGTGAAAAAGCAACTGGTTCAAAACACACTAAACAAAACTGCCGCCAGGACACAAACAACATCAATCAGTGTTTCTGATGTCAGTGACTCTTAGTGTATCAGCCAGTGACCCGATGTCAAACTCCTGCATTTGTGTCGTATCATGACTGGGCAGAATGAGTGACAACAGTCAGAATTCAATAAAGTTGAATCCCAATACATCACCAATAAATCACCATTGAACCACCATTAACCTATAAATGTCATTTGGGATCATAACCTCAGTCATTAATGATGAATCATGGTCCCATTTTAAGGTCCCAAGATGTTTAACATCGCACACCGGTAGCAACAAAACCTAATGAATTTTACTGCCATTACAAACTAAAAAAGCAATCTCGACCTCAAAAATCAAAAGCCATTAAGTATGCATAGCTATTTATGCAATTCTTCTCATTGTTTAACCAGGGTTAACCAGTATCAATGATAATACGATTTCACGTTGATGTCAACATGCAATGATCGAATATTATTATTATTAATATTATTATTATATATATATATAATCCAAATTTATTTTTGATTGATCATCCATCTATAATTGCGTATTGTGTATCCTATCTTATTACCACTAACTAATCCCATCCCACGTTCATATTAAACACTCCCAGTGTATGGTTCCCGATATGTGTAAATCCTCTACCATTGTTTCTCGGGTTGTTTAATATTACGGGGGTGGAATTAATTATGGCCATGAACAGCGGGAAAAAATCATCAATAGTTCAACTATTTCTTTCGTTCAATAGTTCTAATCCCAATAAATCATGATATCACCAAGAAGTCACCATTATATCACCAATAAATCACCATTACATCACCAATAAGTCACCATTACATCACCAATAAATCACCATCAGTCCATCAGTTGATAAATCAATGAACATTCCTTGCCATTCTGCAGGAAGAACCAGCCAGTGGCTATCCCGGCTATCCCTCCAAGGCGCTTAAAACTTGGTCGATGCTGCTTCAGCTTCATGGAGTAAACTACTTTATTCATGGCAAAATGGTGATTCAATGGTGATTTAACCACTATAAATGGTGATTTAATGGCTCACAATGGTTAATAATGGGATGATAATAGGATGATAATGGGATTTACCCTCTGGTTATTTAACATAGCCATGGAAAATGGTCCATAGAAATAGATGGTTTACCTATTAAAAATGGTGGATCTGTCCATGGCTATGTTAAATAACCAGAGGGTAGCTATTGCAGTTTGGTTAAAGTATGATAATTCATCAAGATGGATTCAGACTCAGTTCAACTAAAAGAACTCAACATAACTCATAACTCAACTCAGATATCAGATGATTCAACACAAGATTCAATATCAACTATATCAACTAGCAAAATTGTATCTAAACTGTTTAGTTTAGAGATTTGCTGGTGGTTTGAATTTCTGGGAAAAACTCGCGCTCAGGTGAAGGGTGCCGATTGGCTCCTTGAAGAATCTGAGGCACGTCCGACCTGGAACCCAGCGACGCTTCAAAGGTCGAAGAAATCCCTAGGTTTCTCGGTATAAAACCAACCATAAATACCAATAAAGGATGATAAAGGGGTAGAAATAAATAGGGATGGGATATCTATCTATCTATCCTATCCTATCCTATCCTATCCTATCTATCTATTACAACTGGGTTCAACAAAAATCGTTTTAATTACTTGTTCTTTCTGGCCAAACGGGATGATCCCCACAGGAGGATTCTTGGCTGATGGTGTATCCTTTTTCAGTACCAACTATAGCTTGGATCCAGAGTACATTCCACTTGAGAATTTACTTTTTACTGCATTTTGCGTTAGAAATTTCAAGCAATCATGAATTGGTTTTTGGTTTGTGTTTTGGACTCCTGGAGATATGTTCGATTCTTTTGACTGACAATCCCAAAGAGGGATCATGAAACTCCAAGCGACCAAGCAGTTCTCGGGGAATGGGGAGGAGTTCCATTGAATTTCGACTTATAAACCCACTAAAAAAATTGATTGCCATGGCATGGGATGGATGACCATTCCGCATTAATACCATTTAACTTGACTCTGGCACATTTGTTGCTGGTTAGATCCATTGAATCCCATTAGATCCCCATTAATCTTGTTGGATGAATCCCATTCAATAGATTTATATAGATACCATTAATGCCTGTGATATTCCCATTCAATCCCATAAGCAATGTGATATTCTCTAAATCAAAACAGCCAAACAACCCTCTTAAACGACATTATATGTTGTTGACTGACGACTTCACAGTTTTGACGATGGAAGGCGAAAGAAGCATTGGCAAAGACCAAGAAAGAGGAACCATAGCTGGATGCTGGATAGACCTTGGAAGGGTACTAAGTCTAAGTAGTACTTTGATTTTCTGCTATAACCATCTATAACCGGGGATATATATATATAATATGTATATATATACATATACATATATATATATATATTCATATATATATATATATATACTGTATAACTACATACCAACCAGCAAACATGATTGTTCTGCAAGGTATCTAAGGCTGGCATTGGTATGAGATGTGCTATATCTCAGCCAACATCAGTCAACTACCAGCCAGTCTGCCAACGGCATCGCCGGTCAAAGCATTTCACACGTAAAAAAGGGCCCCAGTGATTTCAAAGCGCGCTATAGAAATAAGACTTGGAAGTCTGGAATACATCAGGTACTGATCATGTTCACTATCTTGGAAACACATGAAACCATGTTTGGTTTCCTTAATCCTACTTATTGTAGCTTCAGCATCCTACCCTCTTTAGATTGCCCAGGTATCAGTTCCAATCCCAAGTGATGGGAGAAGTCAAGTGATGGAATCTCGTTTTATTTTAGTTGTGATTTCAATTTAGCTTTGGCTTCCACCGATTTTTTTTGAATTAATGTTGTCCACAGACCTCAAAAGCGATGCAAGGGAGGGAAACAGTCTTTCCATCATTTTGTGTTGTAATTATGTCATAAGTTTGATCATCATTGTCATCATTTGATTCTTGTTTTTTTCAGTTTGAAGATGTTTTTTGTCATGATCATCATTTGATTCTTGTGTTTTTGATCTTCATTGTCATCATTTGATTCTTGTTTTTTTTCAGGTTGAAGATGTTTTTGTCATGATCATCATTTGATTCTTGTGATTTTGATCCTCATTGTCATCATTTGATTCTTATGATTTTGATCCTCATTGTCATCATGTGATTCTTGTTTTTTTTTTCAGTTTGAAAATGTTTTTGTCATGATCAGCATTTGATTCTTGTGATTTTGATCCTCATTGCCATCATTTGATTCTTGTTTTTTTCAGTTTGAAGATGTTTTTGTCATGATCATCATTTGATTCTTGTGATTTTGATCCTCATTGTCATCATTTGCTTCTTGTTTTTTTCAGTTTGAAGATGATTTCGTCATGATCATCATTTGATTCTTGTGATTTTGATCCTCATTGTCATCATTTGATTCTTGTTTTTTCAGTTTGAACATGTTTTTGTCATGATCATCATTTGATTCTTATGATTTTGATCCTCATTGTCATCATTTGATTCTTGTTTTTTTTCAGTTTGAAGATGTTTTTGTCATGATCATCATTTGATTCTTGTGATTTTGATCCTCATTATCATCATTTGATTCTTGTTTTTTTTTTTCAGTGTGAAGATGTTTTTGTCATGATCATCATTTGATTCTTGTGTTTTTGATCTTCATTGTCATGATTTGATTCTTGTTTTTTTCAGTTTGAAGATGTTTTTGTCATGATCATCATTTGATTCTTGTGATTTTGATCCTCATTGTCATCATTTGATTCTTGTTTTTTTCAGTTTGAAGATGATTTCGTCATGATCATCATTTGATTCTTGTGATTTTGATCCTCATTGTCATCATTTGATTCTTGTTTTTTTCAGTTTGAACATGTTTTTGTCATGATCATCATTTGATTCTTATGATTTTGATCCTCATTGTCATCATGTGATTCTTGTTTTTTTTTCAGTTTGAAAATGTTTTTGTCATGATCAGCATTTGATTCTTGTGATTTTGATCCTCATTGCCATCATTTGATTCTTGTTTGTTCTTTCAGTTTGAAGATGTTTTTGTCATGATCATCATTTGATTCTTGTGATTTTGATCTTCATTGTCATGATTTGATTCTTGTTTTTTTTCCAGTTTGAAGATGTTTTTGTCATGATCATCATTTGATTCTTGTGATTTTGATCCTCATTGTCATCATTTGATTCTTGTTTTTTTTCAGTTTGAAGATGTTTTTGTCATGATCATCATTTGATTCTTGTGATTTTGATCCTCATTGTCATCATTTGATTCTTGTTTTTTTCAGTTTGAAGATGTTTTTGTCATGATCATCATTTGATTCTTGTGATTTTGATCATCATTATCATCATTTGATTCTTGTTTGTTCTTTCAGTTTGAACATGTTTTTGTCATGATCATCATTTGTTTCTTGTGATTTTGATCTTCATTGTCATGATTTGATTCTTGTTTTTTTCCAGTTTGACGATGTTTTTGTCATGATCATCATTTGATTTTTGTGATTTTGATCCTCATTGTCATCATTTGATTCTTGTTTTTTCAGTTTGAAGATGATTTTGTCATGATCATCATTTGATTCTTATGATTTTGATCCTCATTGTCATCATTTGATTCTTGTTTATTGTTTCAGCTTGAAAATGATTTTGTAATGATCATCATGAGACTCTTGCGATTTTGATCCTCATTGTCATGATTTGATTCTTGTTTTTTTCAGTTTGAAGATGATTTTTTCATGATCATCATTTGATTCTTGTGATTTTGATCCTCATTGCCATCATTTGATTCTTGTTTTTTTTCAGTTTGAAGATGTTTTTGTCATGATCATCATTTGATTTTTGTGATTTTGATCCTCATTGTCATCATTTGATTCTTGTTTTTTTCAGTGTGAAGATGTTTTTGTCATGATCATCATTTGATTCTTGTGATTTTGATCCTCATTGTCATCATTTGATTCTTGTTTTTTTTTTCAGTTTGAAGATGTTTTTGTCATGATCAGCATTTGTTTCTTGTGATTTTGATCCTCATTGTCATCATTTGATTCTTGTTTTTTTTCAGTTTGAAGATGTTTTTGTCCTGATTATCATTTGATTCTTGTGATTTTAATCCTCATTGTCATCATTTGATTCTTGTTTTTTCTGTTTGAAGATGTTTTTGTCATGATTATCATTTGATTCTTGTGATTTTGATCCTCATTGTCATCATTTGATTCTTGTTTTTTTTCAGTTTGAAGATGATTTTTTCATTGAACCCGCCAAGCCAAACCAGAAGGAACCAGCTCCAGATTCTTCACCTTCACCCACTTCCCCTGCAAAGGCGGTGGCTGGCAGTTGGGTGCGGCTGGGGACTATGTGTATATATATATGTCTTTATCTATAATGTATCTAACAATATCTATAGTATCTCTAATATTATCTGATTGATATTTGATATTTGATGTCTAGTATGTCTGTTAGTCAGCAAAAGCTGGTGCGCACATATAGCGACGGCAGCGACCGACAGCGCCCTTTTTTCTGCGCCCAACGATCAGAGTTCACGATCGCTATCAGCCAGTCAGTACCAGGCAATTCCATTCAGGTTTTTGTCGGTTGCTGCAGTTGAGTGATCCAACTGTTCATCAGTTTCTTGATGTCCGACATTAGACAGAGTTGAATTTTGAATATGTGGCGAAAAACAGATGGATTCATGATATGAAAAAGGCAACAGTTGGGAACATCAGTCACATCAGTCACATCAGTCACATGATCCACCACCACCATCATCAGCAGAATGGCAAGAACGAGATGTAATCACAAAACAAAATTATCATGATTCCATGAAAGATCATGAAAGATCTGTAACCCGGCCCTTATTTGAACGAGGTTCCGTGTTCTTTTGGACAAGATGTGCAGAATCACTCATCCTCACAGATTTAAACTACAGGATTGATGAAAACGAGTGTCATAAGTCCATGCCTTTCCCACCCTGACTGCATTACTGTGTTCCCATGATCATTTTCTTTGTGAATGTGGTACCATCCAGAACCACCGACACGTTGATGTGATTTGATCAGGAAACCATTTTGTGTTTCCAGCGTCAAATACTCGTAGAGGGTTCCTGCAAAATGTCCCCACTTCAAAACCAATTCAAACATTCCAATCATTCGGGTGTTCCCCTTTTTTTTCAACAATGGGAACCAATGGGAACTAAGGGAAGGGTCAGGTGCAAAGTCCTGGGGTCTGGGATGACTGGGTCCATCTGGGGCCGTTTTTTGCCGAAGGAAACAAAAGCTCAAGAAATTTCAGCGGCTTCACCGGCTTCTTCACCTTCACCAAAGGCTGGGGGGAGATTGGTGGCCCAACATGTAGATTTACTTAGATTTATCTCCAATACAGCATTTTTTTTGTGAGGAAAGTGATGATAAACCATGAATGATATTGAATGATCATAGATTGAATGATTATGGATTTTGGTATACCCGCGTACCCTATGTTCAAAGCCATTTGGCACTTCGCGACATTGGCCTTGGGTTTAAACCTTGACTCATCCACCATTGGCTATCTCTAGGTTCTGTATGTGAATCGCTATGGCTCAAAAGACACCAAGAATAAGAGAACCAATAAACAACCCATGTTGGTGGTCAAGATTCTTGGGCCGTATTCATTTTTTTGAGTCCCATCTACCATCACCTAGTGTGGAAATATATTAGGCTTTGCTTTGACTGAACAAATAGGGACAAGAAAAAACAAAAAAACTAAGTTTCATCATCATATGGAGGTTTCCTGAAATAGGGGTACCCCCAAATCATCCATTTATAGATGGAATTTCCATCAAATAAACCATCCAGCTATTGGGGTACCCCATGACTTTGGAAACCTCCATATATAATCATCATGCACAATCATAATATATATATATAATATATATATAATATATATATATATATAATATATATATATACTAGAGTATATATATATACCCTCTGGTTATTTAACATAGCCATGGAAAATGGCCTGTTTATAGATGGTTTACCTATTATAAATGGTGGATCTTTCCATGGCTATGTTAGTCATAACCAGAGGGTATATCAGTTATCATGTTTTCCACATGAAACCGGCCAACCGGCCATGACTTGGAACCAAAAATCCCCCTTCGCCGCCTTAGGCGCTGCAGCATGGTTTTGCTCCAGCCTATGGGAGTGACCTGGCCCACCTGGCGACCAAGGTCGCGGTTCAGGAAAGATATGTTTAAATGATATCTATGAGGATTAGATATGAGGATATGAGGATTTACAGATTTAGCATATTATATATATATAACTCAAGAAAATTGATGGAAAATTGTCAGTCGTGTCCCCAATTCCGGTGTTTTTTTGGACTTTGCGTTCATGCAAAGTATTGGAACGGCAGCAGATAGAGCTGCGAATGGTCACTGCTTGAAGATGGTTTGGGAGGCAGGAGATCCCCCTCCGTTGAATGGGAAAATAATCACAGTGCATCTCTTGCACCTGGAAGGCAAATCCGACTCATCAAGCCTCCTTTGAAGGGACAGTCTAAAGTCTAAGGCGTACAAGAAATGACCTCCATTGCTACCCTAGTTTCGACCCATATATTGGATTGTCCAATGGCTGTTTCATGGGTGTTTCTGAAAATTGGAGTACAGCACCCTAAAGCCCTAAAGGTTTACCAATAAGATCAAGTTTGTATGATTCTTGAGTCACCCATAGGTTGAATCATCCAATGCAAATTATCAGCTCCCAGAATTGGTGGAAAATCTGCAGGACATCCAGCCATTGATCAGCCTTTTCTGGGTTTGGCCAAAAAACTCCCGAGGTATTTGGAATCAGAACAGTCTCCTGGCTGCACTCCGGTTTTTTTGAACCTCTTTTTTACGGCATAACTGCATAAGATGGCCTGCCATGTGCATAAAATGGCCCAAGGATGTGGGGTGTTTTTCAGAGACAGCTGCTGAGAGTTTCCGAACCATCCCTATCAACACAGCAATGAAGCCGGCTGGGTCAGAACTAATCCAAGAACCCATTCATATGATCCAATGATTAATAGTGGTTAAACAATATATATATATATTGATAGTGGTTAATCATGGTTAATCATATGATCCAATGATGAATAGTCCAATACCTTGCAAGACCAAGAAAGAACCATGGTTGGTGAAATGAAAAATGACTGCCACCATGGACAAGCGGAAGAACTGAAAAGCCAAGAACCCCACCGCTTGGACAATGCAGGCCACTTGTGCATGAGCATACTGGCATACCGATGATCATTCCGAAGAGAACTGCATAAACTGCATGTGGGCAAGGGTTAGTAACGGTTAGTAACGGTGTGCCAATTCTTGGGACAGTCTACTGTCATCTACTATCTATTCAAAATATTCTGTTGCCAACATCTGCTTGAAATTGTGACCCGGCTGCATGCGGGGTTCATAAGATGGCCACTGAGGTTGGCATTGGGAGGTCGAATGGGAGATGGGTGTGTTGCCAGTCTACGAAAGTTGTGATCATGTTGCATGTTCTGTTTTGTTGGCAACATCGAACACTACCATGGCCGAAACCACCACAAGGCCGGACTTAGCCATTTTTAGTGAAAGATAGAGGAATTGTTTCCACTGTTTCTGTCATCTTCATGGCGTGGAAGAATCCAACGAATATCTCCAGTTTCGAGATGTTCAAAAACTGTGCCAACATATTCCAGTGGATTTGCAAGTGCCACAGGTCTGGGTACCCAAAAAAACCATGGTCCCTTCCCTCAGGAGAAGAATTGCATGGACTTGGCCACTTCTGAGGTTTGGTCTGCCTGGCCATGGGATATGATGGGATATGTAATTGGTGAGTAACGAATGTTGGACGATTTCGCATAGCTTTCTGGTACCAAGCCTGTGACTCAGTGAACCAACTTCAAGCGCTTCAAAAACCTCGGAGGATGATGTTGACAGGCATATGATATAGCTTTGGGATGTGTGGAATCATTGAAAGGACCAAGTGATTCATGGTACCGTGTTGTTCTTGTGCAAATTTGATTTTTGGCACTGGAAATTGCAATGAAAAACATATAATGCAGATGGCAATTTGACCCAGGTTAGAGGACCCGTTGCGATCCCGATCCATGGATGAAAATTGAAGATCCAACATGTTGTTTGTGAATTTGAGGCTTTAACCATGTTTAAGCATCTCATCTTTGGGTCGCCAACATTAACTAAACTTGGTGAACTGCAGGTATTTACCAGCTTTTGGGATATTTTTGGGTGTAAGATGGTGTAAGTACCTGATGGTGAATTGTACTGTTGACTATCCCCGATTGGGTCCTCCAGCTGCGTGCCCCATCGCCGTCTTGCAAGAAATCCGCATGCCCATCGCAGGTTCGAAAGACTTTGGAAGAAAATCCCTTTTGGAAACACGCCCTGGAGCTTGGTGTGGGGGAGAATATTCATCACTGAGAAGATAAGTTGGTAAGTTGGCAATGGAAGAACATATCCCAAGTAGGTGGATGGGTTGATGAATGTTGATGAGTTATATGGGCATTGTCACCACATTGCTAATCAGTTATATACTTATTTCATCTTATTTCAGGGAGGGATCGTTTACATCATCTTATCTCCAGAATGTCACCTCCGCAGCGGACATCTTTTGGGGGATGGGAAAATGCTCAGGGAATGTTTGGAATTAGAAATTCCATCCGGGTCAAAATGAGGTTGAAACGACCACAACTCAGGACAGTCCTATAATATATATATATATATATATGTATGCAAATCTATGGGACTCTCTATGGATTTAAATGACATGATCCACAAGAAGTATATAAGCATTGTGGAATCAACCGAGTACTGTGCCATTGTTTTTTTTCTATGGGTCATAAATCATGAATGTGACGCATCCAACATGGGTTATTGATGGTGCAATTCCAAGTCGCTATGGCGGAAGCCATGACCATGGCGCATTTAGTTCGATGACTTCGCGTTTTTAAAGATGGTGTTAATGGTGTCCATAGGATCCATGTATGGTGTATATATATATGCTAACATTGGGGGTATATTGATGGTAAATGTTACCATATATAGCATACATGGATCCTATGGGATAGTTACTCTAACATCTGGTTGATATCCCATATCCCATTGATTTCATGTAGTCATATCCCGAAAAAAGGAGGTTTGCCCGGAGAATGTGTTTTCTAAAACAAGAAACGGCCCTGGTTTTTTTCACGGACCCCCAGGAAGTCTGCGAAGGGTTGTCGCCGCAAATTATTATGAAACGAACCATGAAGCAATTCGTGTCGTACTGGTGGCGAGGGGCCACACCTAGTGTAGCGTCCATCCCTGCAAGGCACTTTGAACCGCGGATGAAACATGTGTTAAAACGGTGGGAAACATGAGATATATTATTTTATATCATTTTGGGCGAACGTTAGGTTCTGCAGGTAATATCCTATATTAGTATATATATATAGGTATACTTCGTTATGGAGTTCGTCTTTTCTTGTGGTTTAAGAGTTCCAAGTTGGGACGCAGTTGAACAAGAACGTTATTAGGTGGCTTGTGAAACATGCACAACTCCTATGAAACGTGCACAACTCCTATGAAACGTGCAATACTCCTATGAAACGTGCAGAACTTCTATGAAAAGTGCATAACTTCTGTGAAACATGCACCTCTATAAAATCACTGCAAAGAACTTTTGTGTATTCCTAAAGCCTCATCGTTCTAAAACCCTGTAATGAACTCTTGAATGGAGTATACCCATATATATATATATGTCAATATATGTCAATATGATTAATTTGATAATTCCATAGTAATTAGTGTTTCAGTCGGCTTAACAAGATTTATTATCATTCAACAAAGGCACATTAAGTATTTAAGTATATTTAAGTACTGAGATACCATTCATTGGGTACATTAAATATGATTTTTAATAATTGTAGCATGGTATATATATTGTACTTATGTACCATGGTATCATAAATGGTATATAAATGGTATACCATTTAATGATATTAATTGGGTACATTAATTGGTACATTAACTGAAATATATACCATTAATTGGGTACATTAAATATACATTAATGGTACATTAATTGGGTACCATGGTATATTTCAGTTAAGTCATGAGTCTCCCATCGCCGCTGGCAGCTACGCAACGTTCGGCGGCTCGAATTCAGACGGCAGGCGGTGCCCCAACAGGACCGTTGGGATCCCAGTTACTAAGTGGTTTATAAGCCATATATACAAGCCACATATAAACCATATACAAGCCATATATATATATATATACATATATATATACATATATATATATATATACATATATATATATATACATCTTGCGATATTCGATATTCCATAAATATCGGTGCATACCAAGCCACCCTCCTTAGGTAGCTGCAAACATGTGGGGCTCGTTCATTGGATTTTACACCAAAATTTCAGTACTTTTACCAATTGTTTAATGGGTACTTGGAGGGTCTAGGTATGGGTTTGTTTGAACATGTTGAGGAAAACACCCAGATTTGATGGTTAATATTGGTTAATCCTTAAAAATAGCATTCTTTCGTTCCTTTTTGACCATTCTTGGACGGCCCCCTTGTTTTCAGATGCAGCCATATCAGGAGATTTCTCAAATTTAGGTATCAAGAAGTTGTTCATTTTTTTTTAAAGGGGAAACCAATTGTCTCGGTTTAGTATTACCACAGATCATGTACCGAAGAATCTCAGTACCAGTATCTCCGTCGTGATACTTCCAGGTGAATCATCCAGGTGATATGACTCATCCTGCAGTGGGTGATACATCGGGTGATACCTGAGAGTCAAAGCCAACTGGTGCCATCAAAATGATGTCCATTCAATTCATCCTCAATTTTGTCACTTTTTGAAGATTCACTGAAGATGTTTGATGTGTTTTTGGATGTTTTCGCAGCAGACTGTACCATATAGGCGTGATGCTGATCCTGCAGGTGCCATCATTTTCCATCGATTTTTCCTTCATTAAGGCGCTGTAAAGAAAACATGGCGTTTGGTGCTTGAATTATACATCACTACAATGTGGGGCCCCCAAACGTTATAAGTTGGTTTATAAGCCCCCATGAACTGTATACTTATAAGTATCATAAACCATCTGGTTGGTGGTTTGGAACATTTTTTATTTTCCATAATATATGGGATAATCCTTCCCATTGACTAATATTTTTCAAGATGGTCAAAACCACCAACCAGCCATAGTTGTTGGAATTATAAACCAACTTCTGGATATCCTGTGTGGTTCATTTCTCCAGCGTTTATTCCATCAGAGACATCGCAGGATTTGCCTCATGAGTCAGTTGCGGAACCCAGGTGAAAGATGCAACCAGCTGGCCGTTGTTGGTTTGAAATGTGTAAAAAGACTGCAGCAACCAGCGAATTATAGGGATTGCAATGGACCATACTACTTGGTATTAGTCATGATTTTTTGCGCCGGGGCACTGGCTGGCTGATTGGGATTTCCGTCCCCAGCCCGAAAAAAAAGTGCTAAGGGGATGGCAGATTTTGATGATCTCAGTGTGAATGCCACAAAAGTGTCCAGTTTTGGGGTTTGTATAAGGATGCAGTGAATTACAGTACACGAAGAAACATGTTTTCAAAAGATGAGAATATCATCAATGAACATGGTATTGACTGAGAGTTGCCCCATTCGTTGTGTCGTCTAACAGATCTTTTTTGTTGCTTCACCATGGTTCATCCCATGGTGAGACATCAACCTCTTGGATAAACAGAACACCAGATACGCCACCACGCTTCGATTTCTTGAACAAGAATAGTACTGCACATACACACATCCCCAACCTAAATACATTAATCATGTATATATATATGCATTAATCATATTATATATATAATATATTGCATGTATAGTATACATACACACACAAAACATATTTCAAGTACTAAAATTATTGGTGGTTTTTATAGGTTTTTATGGATACTTGGAGGGTCTAGGTCTAGGTATGACCCCAAAGGGTGAAAAAAGCCAAGGCCGTTGGCGCCCGGCTTGGTCGAAGCCGCGATGACACGGCCGGTGGTGCCACGGAAGAAGAAGGCCCCGGGGGCCCCCGGTGTTAAAGGGTAGACTGGCAATAGGGAAAGCTTACCCTCTGGTAATTTGTTACATAGCTATTGAAAATGGCCATTTATAGTGGATTTACCCATTAAAAATGGTGATTTTCCATAGTTATGTTAATTTACCAGAGGGTATCCAAATGAGAAATAAACAATAAATGAAAGATGATCCAAACATAGGGAAAGACGATCCAAACGTCCAGACTGTTTTTGTTTATATGCTTCCTTATTGTTGTCTTTAGAATGTGGTAGATTGGCAATAATGAACACCTATGTAGTTATAGTTATCGTATGACCATGATAGCTGTTCATCCATAGAATCACCAATCCAAAAGCTTACGACTCATATATAATCAATAGTTTGCAGTTTGTCCATTGACTATAACAACCTAAAATAAAAAAAACCCAGTGCGAATGGATTATCATCATTTTTCCAATGAAGATTGTACTCTTGGGATATACCAATGTTTAGAAACTTAGATGGGCGAAGGAAACACCAAAAATCAGCGTGTAAAAGAAGCAAATTCTTCTCTCTAGATACTGGAAATGAATTTGGGTATGGGTCAAATGTTGGGGGTATCAATGGACCCACAAATTTGGGTGTTTTTTTTGCATTGAAGAAGGCTGTGTTTGTGGTTGATGAGTTTGAACCATACCCACACTGCTAGAAATCATTTCAGGTGATACAATGGAAAAGAAACATAAAGTGTTTTTCCAACAGCAAACACAGATGATTCAAGTTGTCTATTAAATATATATGATTACTAAAAAAAATGGTGTCCGTTTCAGTTTGGGGACCAGCAAATGCGGCAAATGGGGAAGACATGCCAACAAAAATCCAAGATCTTCCTCAATTGACACTCTATACTAAAATACATATCATATATAATCATATACATATATACTGTATATATTATTATATGTATGTATATGTATACATATATATATATAGATATATACATATACATTATATGTGTATATATATATATATGTATGTATGTATGATTATGTATGCATATACATACGTAACTACATATGTGGTAAACCAAATACTAAACCTTTCCCAAAAGCCACTTCTGGGTGCTGTTTTTACCATCCCCAAAACGGTAAGATGACCACAGCTTTATTGTGACTAGACCGTATTAGATCCTCAAGTATGAATGGATAATATTAATGTTTTTTTTTTGTTTTGTCAATGGTTTCCATCTTGTTTTTCTATATGTTCCATTGTTCCATTCCCTGAAATGGAACGATGATGCTAACACCAAGCAGTTGTTCAGCAATCTCTGGGTTCCTATACGATCG